CCACTACGCCACAGAAAGCAAACAACTTTCTGCAATTTTAATTGTAGGCAATAAATTTCAGATGGCTGCGAGTCAGACATGACTACGGACTATGAGTGGAGCGGCAGGACTTTACATATTTATTAAGTGCTCGGAAAATATGGCAGGCTGGCACGAATTGCGGTTAACCCGGGCCACAGGCTGACCCACCTGGACAGGTTTGACTTGCTTCTGTCATCCGTCCGCACTCACCATTCAATCTTTGCTCTGCCAATCTCAGAGTGACATTTGTTATTGTTGTCGGTTTGGGTGATGCTTCAGCTGCTTCTGTTATTGTTGTTGCTGCTGTTGTTGGTTGTTGCAGCAGTTGTTGATTGTCAAATGCAAACTGTGTCGCCTCAGAATTTCTGCAGCTCTTGATACCCAATATGAAACGAAAGCCAGGGTATATTTAAATGAGGTTTAAAGGTCAGAAAATAATTATTTTTAAGGGGGCTTTGGGGATCACTTAAAAATAACCACATATTAAAATATATAAAGTAAATATTATAGAGTATAGTCAAGTCCTATCTATAAAGTCCTTAAACTCTTCAGCCTCCTGTCTATGCTCATGTGGCAGTTGCAATTGCAGTTGACACAAGCAATTTGGTTGCACAGTTAATGAAAATTGAAAAGTGCTCGCTCGCATTACGCATACGCCGTGGGGTACCATTTTGAATTGGATCGATGATGCGTTGTCACTGGGATGCGGTTGCATAATCGCTGTTCCACATTTCGCGCTGCACTGATCGCATACTCAGTGGCACAGTGACACAGCAGCTGCACAAGCGAACCCATTAGAAGTTGCAACAGCTCCACCACCCACCCACCTTACTTTTCTCCCTTTTTCTAAAATCTCATCGCCATTGCAATTTCTCGTCCTGTTCGTCCTGCACGTCCTGCTCGTCCTGTTTGTCCTGTTTTTGTGTTGAGTCATTTTTGCGCTCAAAAGCACTCACTAAAACAAATAAACACTTTGCGCATTGTTTCGTTTTGACAAATGCGTGTAATTTACGGAAATGTTTGTTTGTCCATCCCTCTCGCTCTCACACTCTGTCTCCCGTCTCTTTCTACACTCACTAATGCCTACTCACTCTGTCTCTGTGCCCCTGTTTATAGCATTTTTGCCAGCGAACGCAGCTCAGCTCCATGTTTGCTTAATTGTCTTAGGCTTGTTTGCAGAGCTCTTGGACTCCTTAGCCAGACTGACTACGGCGGCGGCAATTAGTTGGAGCTGCTAAAAAGCCATGTAGTAAGTGGTACACTAGGAGAAAATAAAGGAGAGAAGATGGAGAAAGAAACACTTATAAATCCTTGATTTAAAGACACTTAATATTCACGAAAAACAATAGCTATCTCTACTGATTAGTGTTGTGATGTGGGATAGGTAGGGTAGAAGATGGGTATATTATAACGGGAGGATATTATTAATGGATGCAATAATCCTACTTTTGATCACTATTTCATAGGACTATCTTTTAATTCTATAAAGCTCCAAAGATATGAGATGGTTTCAGTAAAATAGAAGCTCGAAGAAATCTTCCCTAATATCCTGATAAGGACTATACATAGATAGTATGAATTTTATACCTTTCTAACTAGATCCTCTTCAAAGATACTAAGCCTCCTCCTTATTTCCTATTAGAAGCATCCAATATATCTTTCTCTTATCTGTAATTTTTCATCGTGCAGCCTGCTAACCACTATACCACCATTCCCTTCCTGGCACACTCTTACACTTACTCTAGATTACAAAGGACTGCAACGGGCTAGAAAAATATAGGTTAAAACTGAATGTTCTACCCCATATAACGTATAGTATATTCTTTTTTCTTCCCTATTTTTACCCTGACCACCGCATTACCCTCCTCCGGGTGCTTTGGATCATCAAAGTGGCAATAAAATATGCTTTCATATTGCCAGTGCTTGAATGGCTCATCGTGGGCCAATTGAAATGCTTATTACAAGGTGGTATTGGGGCAGAGAGATAGAAGGAGAGATGGGGGCGTGGCAGCAGCATCTGGTATCGGGGCTGTGGTTAAGCAGATCAAGCGTGGAATCACAAAGACTGGGCTCCCTTTGTCTGGCCCGGCCCTCTTTGTTGTGGCCTTAATGAGGAAATTTCCATTGGCCTGGCCGGCTCGAGTTGGCAATTTACGATACCTTTGTGGTTTCAATCTAGCAATGGGCAACATAATTAAAAATTGTGACAGCCATAAATTTTGTTTGGGTCTCCTCCGAGACGAGAGATAGCAGATAATTAAAGTGGCCAAAAAAAAGGACACTCTACCCTCCCTAAAAAAAAAGGAATAAGTATAAAAGCAACACAACTGGTTTCTAAACTGTTCCTCTTAATGCTCCTCCAGCTCCTCCTGCTCCCTCCCGTTTGGTTAGAAAAGTAGCTTAAAAAGCCAAGTGAAATCAATTAGGTCGCAATTTATGTCAGAAAAGTGGAAGCCATAGTTAAAAGTCGGAGGGACGGTAGAGGAGTAGGAGAACGGTGGCAGTTTAAGCCTTTCTAGGTCCTGGCAACATTTGATTTCAGTATAGTTGCAGCAGCTGCTCCTGATTGCACTGCACTGCTCCGTCCAACAGGGGAAGAGGCGGAAGGCCCACATTACAGAGCAGCTGTCCGCCCAAATCCCCAAACGACCACGCCCTCTTATCCCCACGACGCCCCTGTCCATTTAGCTGCTGCTACGGCTACTGCGGGCTTTGACGTCGCCTTTTGGATGGGACTTGGCCTGTTGTAAAGTGTCAAAACGTGTACTTGTCGCTGGCAGGATGTGCCGTTCAGCTCCTGCTTCTCCTGATGCAGCTCCTTTAATTTGAATTTTATGCACTGCATGCATAAATTTATGGCCCGGGACCCGCCTTCAAATGGCGACGACAATGACAAAGGCAACATGACAGGCACATGTCCATTATGGCCAGACTTGGGACGGCCGTCGCCATCGCCGTCGCCACTCTGGTCAGGCCATGATTTCTGAATTGCCGGCTGGGATGGCTAACGTCATTCAAATGTGCTGGTACCCCAAGCTTTTCTGCGCCTCTTATCTTTCTGGCTTCTTGTCTCAAAAGTCGTGTCTTGTCTTCGGACATAATTCCGAGTCCTTTTTAAAATTCAGCGCTCGGTGGAATGGGAACCATATTTTAATTTCCGGCTCGCAGAATGGAATTTGCGTTAAAATTAATTACTCATTTAATATGGCCTTGTTGAGAAATTAATTTTTAATTGCAATCGCAGCGAGCGAATTAATTTTTATATCATCGTATGCTCTGCAATCACTAAAATGGCATTCCACGGAATTTCATCCTTTGTTGTCAGTCCGGCTGTGGCTCTTGCTTTCGCTATTGGATGCTTTTGCTGATACATTGATTTTGATATCGCGCTGCGCCATCCATATGGCGCCGTATGCATGGCAGCCTTAATATCCTGCCTGTCAGAGCGAGAGACACGCCCCCGCCCATCCTCAGCCCCCCCTCCCTTGCACACCTAGGTATGTGTACATATGGATTGGTGCCTGGGCCTGCCTGTGTGTGGCCTCGCCCCAACTTTTGTCAGGCTGTCAAAGTGCTAAAAATAACATGTCGAAAATGGGGGAGCCCAGAGAAATAAAAAACTGAAATTACAAAAAACCCAATAAAAAAAAGAGGGGAGGAGGATACCAACGGAAATCCGAAATCGAACGCGTTCTGATGCATTATAAATACCGCAATTGCATTGAGTGCAATGATTTCCAACTTGTTTTGGCTTTTCTGCTTCGTTCTGGTCTGACATCATGAAATCACGCTTCACTTCTGTCTGCCACAACTCGGTGCGAAGTACGAAAATCCTATCGAGATGATGGATATGATGGGCTTGCAACGGGGTGGCGGGAACTTTGGCAGTCAAAAATTGATTTGCAACTATCAAAATAGGGCTTTTACACTATAGACTTTATGACCTTCATAGCTCTAAAACTAAACTCTAATTGGTTCTATTCAAAAACAATTAGTTGGAATATAACTCTGACTACCCATTGATCAAACAGTCAACTCCTATCCAATGTAGGGTTTGTGGAGGTACTTTTACAAAGGTTTCCTCATGGAGAGCATGTGGAATAATCATAAAAACCAAGGTCTACCAATCACATATGTATAATTGTTGGCTTTATAAATCAAAAGCCTCCACCACAAAAAAGGCTTGTCATAAAAAGTTAATAAATATGGTACTCTGCGAGTGATAATAGTAACTCATTTACACCGTGATTGACATTGTTTGGAGTGGGAGTACATACATCTAAAAAAAAAGACAAAAAAAGTAAATGCATTGTAAAGCCCATCTAATTACGAGTATCCAACGCACATGACAGCCGACAACCGAACTAGGACAACTATCACAGGATAACAACGCACTATGGCAAGGACAACTAGGCTTACTAAACTGTGACCCAATGTCACACGTGGTTTTAATTATTGTTACAGAATGTGTGTATGGCTCTGTAAGTGAGTGAGTGAGTGTGTGTGTGATTTTGGGCATAATTACATTTTGTGGCATTCGGCAAAGTGTTGATTATTAATTAAAATGGCTTTATTCAACGCCTGGCAGCCGCAGCCGGGCAGCTAGGCAGGCGACACAAATGCGTTATCATAGTATCAGTTAAATATTTAAGCATTCCTTTGCCTAAATACTGTCCATGTAATCATGGCTCCATTATGGCATAACGATGCACTCCAAAAAATAACAAGAAGCTTTTAGCTTACCAGTACTATAATCTTTTAATGGGTTTATACATTTTCTCTCTGTGTACATGTGTGGCGGGCTACAAGTAAAATCAAAATGCTTGGCAAATTGCTGTAGACAAAGTTTCTGAAACGCAACTCCGTAGCGAGTGTTAATGGCTTGTAATTAAAGTGCAACGTGAGACGTTTAAATGGAAATTGCATTCGGACTAATGCGCTTTCTCCGCTTTCTCCCTCTATCTATTATCTATTTGCAGAAGGATCTGTTCGTGAGCAAAGTTGAGCCGACATCGCCGCGCAACGAACGCAAATTCTCCGCTGCCACAGCGCCATCGATGAAAACAAAGTGGCTGAAAGCATTTAAAAGCCTAAAGCCTGCTGGTTCTGGTTCAGCACAACAAGCAGATAGGTGAGTCGTATAGCTGGCCCAGCACCATCCTCCTATATTAGAACCACCTTTAGCACCGGCTCCACCTCCACATCCAGCATTCCACTCCACCAATCCACCATTCCCATTCACTCCACCCGCCAGTCCAGTCCCAACTTTTACACAACATTATCGGGCAAGGGGGCGGGACGATAGATACTGCATAGGGCCGAGCCCCATTAAGTCGAATACAAACCGCAGCAGCCGCTGCCACACTAAGAGGGGGCCACCACCCGTAAAAAGATACAAAATGAAATAGTGCGGCAAGGGGGCACGGCACGGCTACGCCCGCACATTAATATGACTAAAAGCTTGTGGAAAACGCGAAAAATTATTCAGGCATTCAAGGAGGGCTGCTGGCTGCGCGGCAGCTCCAACAAAAACTACTTACAAAAAGAATTCCTAATATTTGCACAATCCCCGATTATGCAACGTTGCAATATCAATTCCGGGCACCAGTTACCAGTTACCAGGCACTCCACCCTAACAAGCCCTCAACTTATAGATTAAGTTAGTCCGTAAGTGCTATTTGCCATGAAATAACGTTCTCTAAATATATATATTTTCTCTATAAAATTTACTTACTTACGTATTCACATCCTACAACCACCTCCATTCGAAACATAATGACCAAAAATGTATAAAACGCATTCAAAATGCTTTGCCAAATACCAAATGTCTCGTTATCCGAAAATCGCGCGAAATCTATTTGTCAGCCAACCACCCCGACAAAATCAAATGTACCACGCTGTATCAACCGTATTGACTTTGAGGTAACCGAAATTCAACAAAAAACCACACAGCCATTTTACTTTAGTTGCTAATATTAAGCCCACACACTCGTGTACATAATTATGCCAATATATATCATATATAAAGTATTATATCCATGTACCTTTGCAGCAGGCTGCTGTAATGTTGCACGCAAATATGTAGAATTAGCATAGATATAACCCAACAACTAAACCCAACCCGCTTGATATTGGTCCCCGGCTAATTGGTTTCACATGACACTCCATTATTATTTGCTTTTACTTTTTTGGTAGAATCGATTTTAAATTTCAATTCCACACACATTTAATTTCACTTCGAACGCCGTAAATAGCACCTATGCTCTGCCATGGCAGTTCTCGGCCATCAATCACGTCCCGTTCTGGGGGCAGCAATTAAGAGGCAGACGTTGCAACTTGCAACAAAATCCACAGCTAGTTAAACTGGCACAAAGACAATATACCATATAGTGTATGTACGTGGTACGAGCATGTCCTGGATCAGATCCAAGTCCAGTCCGACAAAAGTTGTCCCTGTCTGTTCAATAACTATGGTATGGATGTCCTAGCTGGTTGTGTTTCATGTGTTCCGGACAAGTTTCCTGATTCTGCTGCCCAGAGTGGGACAGTAAATTCCACTCGGCGCTAGTTGAACTGAAGCATTGAAAAATATGCGAAAAATTGCAAAACTATAAATTTTGTGGAACCCTTTCAAGTCACCAGCCACCCAAGCCCACCCATTGTGCCACAGTAAGCTGCAACGCCAGTGGCAACTGCAACAATACTTAATTCCGGGGCCTGCACAGCCAATGATGATAAATCGGAGAATCGAAAGGAATATTATCGGCTTAGTGGTAGGTGCTTAAGTGGGCTTTATCTCTTCAAACTTCATGGCGAAATATTTCGTACCTCCGAATTTCGCATACAATGCGTACACTTTCCAAACGTGACAAGAAAATCGCTGCCTAAAGTTCTGTGCTGTTATATTGCAAAAGTTTTCGGCCCAAAATTACGGATGCCCGAAAAACTAAACCGCAACCGGGCCCCCCGGGCAACAAAAACCAAAACAAAAATAAGAAGAAAATAATACGAAACGAGCCCCGTAACTCATTTCGCTTTAGAACTGGCCTTTTTATAGAATATTTTGCTGTTTTTATATTTATTTTAATATTTTTGCATTCATTTGCCGAGTTTGAGGAAAGTTTTAAGTTGCATTCATACCAAAAACCGAAAACCAAAAACCCCAAAGCCAAATAATAAATATGTTATGAGAATTATTATAATTAAACCATTACTCATGCCGCAACAATATGTATAATTGCTAAAGTGCATTTCTCTTTGGTTTTAGCATTTTGCAAAATAGATGCATCCCATAAACCCCCCAATCTCTCCCAATCTAACTAACACCCAATGCCACAAACATTAAAACATTGTCTAATGGATATTGATAATTAAACTTGACTAGCTAAACCCCCTAAGTCTGCATTGAAACTATAATCTCCCCAAGTATAAACCAGACCAATCTACTGTACATATCAGTCGTACACGCCCGATTGTAAATTGCCCACTTAATTAAAACACCTTGGGCATTATTTGTTAGTGCTAATTGTAAGTCAGAACGATAGTTTTATCAATATTTAGTTTAAGACTTCCATGGCTATACTCTCTCGTATTCAATGTCATCATGTCAGTGTTCATTTGTAGCTGTCAATCAAAATGTTGCACTTTCACTCGCTCCACCCCCCAGGCCGGGAAAATGTGTATTTTTGGATTTTTCTGCTCTGTGTTTGTATATTTTACGCATTTTGTAACAAACAACTTTATAAATATGGCGCCAACTGGATGGTTGGTGTGCTTAACTGAATTTATTTGCCAGGCAGCAGCCACCAGCCTTCAGCCACCATCCACCAGCCAGGCACCAGTCAGTGTCGGTTTGTTCATCTGTGTGCATAAGCCACTTACAAACAATCAACGTCGAGCCAGGACCTCCTCCTCCCAGTCCAGTGCGGTTCCAGGCCACTTCCTAGGCCTCTGAGCCAGCTTCTGCCTCAACAATTGCCCTATTGTTCGTCCCTTGCTTTTTAATACACAGATAAAAAATACCACAAAATACTGCATTAAATCTTTTATAGTTTAAGGTACTTTCTACTTGGAAGACCCCTATATTTTCTTCTGTGTATAGTACCATCCACCCACTTGGCTGGCAAATAAAACAAAGTGCCAAATGGGCCAAGTGGGCGGCAGGATACGTAAAGGAAGCCGTTGCAAATTGGTTGTATCTTTGTATAAATATGAAATGAAATTGCTGAAATGAATTCGATGTGTACACAATATAAATAACACAATAATTTGCATAAGCGCCATGGATTGAGATCCCATAGTCGAAGGGTTGTAAAATACTCTCGTGCATGCATCCAACACTCTATTTGTTGGCGGCAGTGATAAATCGACCAATTTCCAGCAAATCCAATTAGGTTGAGTACCGCACAAAATGTGTTTATTTTAAATACAATTCTTTTTAATGTGTTTCTTGTCCAAATACACACTCACAGACAGCCAGACATCCAGCAACTAAAACAAGCAAATATGTGAGTTAAAAAAAAGGAGCACACGCACCGAGGGTTTGATTAATGTGCATTGTCCAATGCCCTCGATGTCCCATTGTCCCATTGTCCACACTCCGCCATTGTTCGGTCGCCATTGTTTGTGTTGTCACTGTGCATATAGAGAACATATAGTATAACTATAAATATACAAATACATAGCATAAAATAGCATAAAAGCAGCCTTCAAATCCATTAGCTGGCCGTTCAATTTATGAGCATATGTTTAGCCAATTTGTTGTTTTTATCCCTCGGCTAGGGGAGTAAGAGAAAAGTGCAACATTATCGACTCCATTCAAGTGCTCCCAGCAAGTTCTAATCCCCCAAACGATTCGTTTCCCTCACAGGCGCAATGGAGCCTCCAGCACAGCCTCCGAGCCGCTGCGTCCCAACCTGGATGGCAGCCACCACCTGCAGGAGTACACCTACAAGAAGATAACGGCATGCGACGTCTGCTCCCAGATCCTGAGAGGTAGGTATTCGGCAAAGTTCCCAAAGCCAAGGCTTGAGGTGCTTCTCCCCGACTATATTCAACTCTATGAGCCATTTTCGTAGCTTTTTAAATAATGAAAGTCGCCCATTTTACTTTGTGGCATCGAGTTAAGCCCCTGTGTAACTCCCTTCTTGAATTGCAGGCCACACCCGGCAGGGACTGCGGTGCCGCATCTGCAAACTGAATGCCCATGGAGACTGCGCTCCGAACCTGCCGCGTTGCCAGCCGAAACAGAAGCTGCTCCGGCGCCAAAAGAGCACCTCGGAGCTGGAGAACCGCGTCGATATTGAGGAAGAAAGTGAGTATACCACACGCACTAGCATTCGAGCCATGGCCCCTAGCATACAGCATACAAAATACAAAAATACAGCACTCTGAATACTAAACACTAAAGTACAGAAAGTACATAGTCCCTGAAACACCAGGCTATACTACTAACATGGCTAACAAGAGTGGCAAACGACTTGCATGGGAAATGCAATGTGCTATGTGCTGGCCAAAAAGCAGGCGAGCGGAAAAATGAAACCTGAAGCTTGACTTGAAATTCCTCAATAACAATTTGCTCGAATGGTCGAATGTGAGCCCAAAAACTGTGTTTTGCATTCAAGGAGGGACACCACCCTGATTCTCCAATAAGATTGCATTTCAATCCGTATGCATGTTCCCCCATCGAATTTTCTTCGTACTGATCCGATCCGTTCCAGACCACCTGCTCTTACCTGGCAAATACGTTTGTTGTTCTCATGTTTTTTTTTCTACTTTTTTTTGTTGTTTTGTGTTTTTTTGTCCAAACCGCATCAGCAACATTTTGTTTGCTGCTTGGCAAACATTTATGGATTCGTGTTGGCCAGAAAAATAGAAAGGCGAGGTGGACGGTTTGGAATTCCTGGTGGGAAAGCCAGAGGAGCGGTGATTGCCTGGTATCAGTTGATTTCACAATGGATTTATGGCACTCCCGGGGTATACAGATTGTGGTGGCACTTGTGATTTGTGTCGCAATTCTCCAAACCTCAGCGAACAAGAACTTTTGCAATATTTTCCGGCTCTAATACATACGTATATGTACATACCAATATACCATACTCGAACGTACACATAAATTCAAAATTCTAATCTATAGAAATCCCTTAGATGGTGATGAAGATGATGATGTTGATATCCTTTTCCTGCTCATTGAACAGCAAACAATTACAGTTGTCATGAGGAGAATAGAATCTGTTGCATACCTTGAGGGTGCGACGGCCATTTACAATGTACCGTAGTTTATGAAAACCGCACACAAATTCCAAACTGTAGACTCTCGACATTTATTTGATTAAATCACTGAATTGAAATGAAATCCTTTTCCCTTCCATATTCCTCTGTTGACAATTAAACCGAAAAAAACACAATTACCAATGAAATATCCCGAAAATAAAACCAAATACAGCCTCGCCGCAGGAGTCGCTTGCAGCCGATCAGCCAGATCAGCCAGATGATCCAAATCTGAGTCCCAGTCAGATAACGATAACGAATCTGAATCCGAATTCCAGCGCAAATCAGTTGAATGTGCCAAATGCGAAGTTTCGTCAAAAGACGCCCTTCATGCATCGCATTGCGCAACTAGGTATTCCCAATGAACTAGTATTACTCTGTTATACATACATATGTCTAGTATGCGCCATGACCGTGCCATGTACACCTAAAACATCTAAGTATATCTATATAGTATATATACTCGTATATATAAATGTATGTATACTCTGTATGTATGCGCGAGATACTCGATTGAAATGCGCTTGAACCTTAAACTTATGATTTTGTGTTCCGTATTTTGTGTTATTTGACTGTTGCGCTTTGATTCACTTAATTAGCGAGACTTAATCAGCGAATGCCAACCAACCAGCTCGAAAAAAAAGACACACACTTCCACACTATACTACACACTCAATAATTGCAGCCACAAAAGTTAACAAGACACCAAGTTTCTGGCAAATCGAAGCAAAAATAAAAGAGCTGGGGGACAACCACTAATCGAAATCAAGAGTTCAAGTAGTGGAGCATGTTATAGCCGCAAAACATCAGTACTCAGTATCAGTATCAAAGCATTCAGTAATTCAGTAATGAAACAGTTCACTAGATCCTTTGCCAAATCACGCCTCATTCCGCATAAGTGTTGTGTTGGCTAACTTGTTTGGATTATTCAACTAGTAGGGTTTAATCTCGGGTATAAACCACCACATCTTAGGGCTGCCATGTGGCTTAGAGTAACAGTAAACAGTAATATATGAAATACCCTTCTCACACGATCTATCAAACGTTGAAATCATGACAAGTATCCCAAGTACCAGCCTCAGAGCTCATTTCCAATTATCGAACCCATTTGCAATAATTTACTAATGCACTTCAACAATGCATCATCAACAACATTCAACATTCAACTTCACCCGAATCCGATTCCGAATCCGAAACCGACTATTGAAAACGATCAATCGAATCGATTAAATTCGAAAAAAAATCTCCTTAAAACTGGCCCTTCATCAACCAACCAACCACCAACCGTACCGTACTTGTCAACTTGTCAACCAACTGCCCCTCCAACCAAAAATTATTGAAAATCTACGGCACCAAAAAAATCAAATCAAAAAATTCAATTTGAAAACCAAAAAGAAATAACCGAAATCGATCAAATTTATCGCGTGCTGAAACAAGCCGGCGAACTCAAATCCGGGCACTCGAATCTTGCAGCAGGCGACAAATCCGTCCAGGGCAAGGAAGGCATCCCGATTCCGGATCGCGAAATGGGCCGGGCCCCGCCCACGGATATACCGATTGTCAGCGTATCGGAGCTGGCCCTGCAGGAGCAGCAGCAGCAGCAGCAACAACAGTCCCAGCAGCAGCAACAACAACAGCAGCAGCAGATGCAGATGCAACAGCAGCAACATCCGCAACGGAGTCTGGCATCGGTGGCGCAGGCGGCGGCCGTAAGGGCCGGACGGGGTGTTCGCCCACCGCCCGTTGCCATGCCGATACTGGGCGTGCAGCTGCAACAACAGGAGCTGCAACAGCAACGCGGCGGGCTGCCGGTGCCCACCCAAGATATATCTAGTAGCTCAGGTCCGACAAGTCGCCCAACTAGTTTGTCTTCACTACTTTTTTTTTTGTTTCTTTGTTGCATTTCTCTATCTCTATCTGCATTTGTTTATACTCATTTCTCATGTTTTAGTCAGAGATTATTTGTAGTTTCGGTTTTCGGTTCTCTATCTCTATATAACTCTCTACTGTATGTTTTGCTCCCAGCCACCTGATCTCCCCCTGACTCCATCCCGTCTCAGTGCCTCAGCGCTTAAACCATCAACAGTAACAGTACCAGTACCAGTCGAAAATCTCACACATCACTTTGGATTTATATAATACCTTATATTTAGTAGTAGCTTCATTAGTCTCTCAAGGATCTCTCTCTCTCATATACAGTATTCTTTGGAGCACCAACCAAGTAGTTCATCCCTATCCACATAGCTCTGCATTAGACACACACAATTGCATTCCCTTTGCTCCACAAAGCGACAAAAATGACAAACAAACATATGCATTTAGTTTTGGCAAAACAATTTCAATTTCACTCACATTGCGCTAACCAAATAATTGCTCATACGCCCCATTGCGTCCATTACTGCTTCGCTTTGGAGTTGTGCTACTACTGCAGCGCTTGCGATTTAGATTTGCGATTTTTTGGCCAGTTTACGCACAAGAACACAAAAACCAAAACCAAACCAAAAGCAAACAAATAAATAAACAAATCTTATGTCTTTTTCACACAAAACAACCACTCCAGACACCCCAGACACTCTAGACACTCAAATATAAATAAATATTAATATAATATATCAATATGCATTTTGTGTATAACTAGTACACTATCTAAATAAATTAACCTAGCGTTGAATTTGACTGGAGCAGTTGCCGAGTATCCTTTGTAGCTTAGCCCGAAATCAATTATAGCATACATAAGCCAACATATGTATTTAGTAGAACGTTATTAATTTGTGTATGCCAAACACTTTGTTTTATACTAGTACTCCTACTCGTATGCATATCATCCTGATTTTCTCAAATAATGAATCGAGCCGAGCCCAGACTGACTAACTGCTTGAATGAATGACTGAGCGAATGACTGGATATGGATGTGGAGTGTGTGGGTGTGTGGGTGTGCGGGTGTGTCTTCTTGTTAACAAATTGTGTGTTAGTGAGTGGCATTGCGGCGCGAATGTGCTTCAATTAAGATACATTCCTCGTTTCGGCCCCAAGAGCAATCACATGGAATGACGTTGCCGTTTTGTCGCCTACTTAGGGCCCACATTTCAGGGCAGGATCCTCGTCCTGCCCCGCCCCAGCCCCCTTGCGGTAACAAAGTGCCCCAAATCTTGGCAAGTGCGCACATAATTAGCGCCGCAGCAACATTTCCTCCCCATTCTCATCCTTCTGGCAACTGCCGGCAGAAACTGACAGTTGCAAGTTGCAACTGCAACTGCAACAACGCCAACAATGGCAACTGTTTGCTGTAACTGCAACTGCAACTGCAACTGCCACTGCCACATTCCCCTGCGGTCGGTAGCTGCATTATTCCAATTAGGAAAGTGTAAATGCAGCAAGGCACTGATTGATTGGAGATTGCCTTCAGGAGTGCCTGATCCCCGGCAGATATTTTATGACTGCAGCTGTAGTTTCGATTTGACCCCGATTAGTTGTAAGTTATACAACAGGCGGCAAGGATAATGGCAGAAAGAGTCAACTGCAAACTAGTTAGAATTTAAATAAATTATAAAATAGTTCTAAGAACTTCTTATGCCACTATTCGAGCTGCCACTGTCTTGCTTTCGATTCGAACACACCACTCACATTTTAGATAAATACCATTACTTGCTACGCCTTAAATGAAAAATACATATATATCTATATATTCTTTCGTGTCCATATCTTTTTTGCAAATTTTCGTTTCGCTTGCCAAAAAATAAACTAAAACTAACCAAAAAAATAACCCAACCAAACCACATCAAAAAACCAAACAAAATTGTGAAACAAAAAAAAGAACCACGCTACGGCCAGTTCTTTGCTCCCGTATCGAACATGTCCAGCTCGGCGTACATCAGCAATGGCATCGGGATAAACTACTATACGGCCAACACCCTGCAGCAGCAGCAGCAGCAGATGAGCTATCTGCAACATGCATCTGCCACCGGCGGAGCAGCTTGCTCCTCCTCATCGGCAACCGGATCGCCGGCCCACCAGCAACAACCGCAGCAGCAGCCACCAGTTCTCTCCGGCAGCAGCAACAATGGAAGCGCCAGCGGCTGCAGCAGCATCGGTTATCCGCCGAATGATCCGGGTCTGCGGCGACGGCTGTTTGCCGGAATCCGGCCATTGTCCGTCTTTGGGCGATTGCGGCAGCAGCGTTCGTCGCAGCACCGATCGATATCGCTGCCAGAAAGTAATTACGCAAACACAACGAACACACACCAAGATCGAGATATAGAAGATATATAGCAGATCTACCAGATGCCACAGACCTACACCTGGGGATCTGGGAGTGGGGAACAACAAGCATTAACAAGCCACCTCACCTCTGTCGTTCCATCACCCAGCCAGCACTCCCTGAAAGCACCCCGATCTATTTATAAGAAGCCTCATAGAAACACCTACATACGCCCCATTGTACCACTCACCTGTTGTCCCGTTTTGATGTTTAGTCTCTCTCTGTGTATGTGGGTGTGTGTCTTACCTGTTCTATGTGTATATTTTTACCTTTAAACGTAAACGTCTACAAGTATATTATGCAGAAACGTATTTTTAAGTGGATGTATGTGAAAGTGGCTTTATTGAGTAGACTTAAGACGCGTTTCAATTATTTTAATTTAAGCTGTGGACTCGGAGACTGAGACCGATTAAACAATGGTCGGATTAAATGCCAATTAGTCTTAACCCAGTTTACACTCCCTGGCAAATGGCTCATTTCCGTCAACAGCAACTGCATTTATATACACGGCCGAGTTCCGGGCTGCTGTTGTGATGCTTTTTGCATTTCTGCAGCTGAAAAGCAAACTGAAAGCAGCTTCATCATGCTTCAGACGATGCCAGAACTTACTCCTTTCTCCTTTCTCTCCGAACATCCATACCGAGCCAGTTGGCCCAGGACCCGGAACCCGAAACCCGGGACGACTGCCGTGTAAATTACAAGCCATTGTCAACTTTTGTGCAAAAATTCAGTCGCCGCACAAAACTTCCAAGTGGGGTTTGGGATTGAGGGGTTCTCCTTTTTTTTTGTATGCAGCTGCATACAAATGTTACAGACTTTGAGCCCCTTACCCTCCACCCTCAAAAAACAACAAAAATAAAATGTAAAAATAAAACTTTTTTCGCCAACGCGCGAGTTCATTTGTGCTTAATGTTTGCTGCATTTTTAATGCCACTCGCGCCCAGAGACAAGTTTAAAGTTAAAGTCGCGCCGCGCCACGCCACGCCGCCAACTTTTTGTCTTAGGAAAGTGTAGCATCTCGTTTGGATTGAGGAGGACGATGTGGGAATGGGAGAGAGCACTGGAAGTGCTGGGGACCCCGGTCGGTCCCAGGCCGAACATAATTATGCTAAAAATTGTTATGACACACAATCTTTTTGCCCAGCTCCTTATTTTTCTCCACGCTGTTTTTCCTTTTTATATATATATATTTTTTTTTTGGGTCTGCCTTTCGTTTGCTCTGCATGCTGGTGTATATTTTCTCAACTTCCTTGCGGCAAAAGTTCCAGGACCCACAGTCAGAGCCAGCGCCCGAGCCAAAGCCAGCGCCAGTGCCGGGCTCTGCACTTATTTTGCTAGGATTATGTTTCTGCTCTATTACTTGTGCCGGGACTCGGTGGGCTCCTCCGTTTCCTCTAAAGTTTCTCCGGTTTGTTTTGGCTTGCTTTCTGCATGAACACTGTCTTAATGTTTAATATTTTCTTTTGGGCTTCATGTCTTCATTTAACTTAATTAGTTTTGATTCAAATTCTCTGAATCCTGTTCCTGTTTCTTTTGTTCGCCAAAGTCAAAGCCAAAGCTGAAAAATCAATGGAAATGCCACTAACAACTAACACAACAAAGTACATACCAAGGATATAAATATATATATTTTGAATACATGTTTATTTGATACAGCATCAGCAATTCCGAAATCAGAAACGAGTCGGCCCTTTGGCGAGCCCTTGATGCTGAGCCCGCGGGCGAATCTCAAGGGTCCGGAGACAAGTCCGGACGACTCCAAGGGCAATAGACGGGTCCGTTTGAACTGATGGACATTTAAGGAGATGGCCAGGCGAAAGAGCAGCACTTGACTTGAATCAGTTCTAATTCAATTTATTGTTTTATGTTTCATCCGTTAAGTTATTGATTTGATTATTGATTATTATAACTATATATTGCCCTAGACCCGTATCCTTAAGCACCTTTAGTCCCTATGAACCGTAGCCCAATTGAATGTTTTGAATGCAGCACAGTAATTATTATAAAATACTCAATAATAGTTAAATCTACCTGTTAATTATATATATTTACACACCTATCGTATATGTTAGTTTTTATTTCGATTCTTAGCCAAACTTTGCGTGAGCCAGAGAGCAATATTATAATATTTTAAATATCTGTATATTACGATTAAAGTATTAAGTCATATCTGATTACTCGACACGACTAGATCACCCCAGAAAACGAATGACAATAACACGAATAATAAAAGCAAAAACGATATTTTTTCAATGTTTATGAATGGTACTATTTCATTTCAAAACAACACTCATCTGGCACAGGGCGATGGAAACGATTTTGAAACAACTTGTTTGTACTTTTTTCTTAATAAATTTTCATTTCGAAATCCACACAAAAACCACTCACACAACAGGCTAAGAAGGACTATTGAGTTGGCTTTTTGTTTTTTTTTGTGTGGCAACTGAAACGGGATAAAACACTGGTCACACTTACACATTTTCTGTCTCTGTCTGAACGTGAACATGTTGCAACTTGCAAGATAATATTTATGTCAGAGACTGGCAAAGTAAAAGGCATGACGACACCTTTGCCCGCCTCTCAGCTTACTCAACAAATTTCTGCCAAAGTCCTGGGTGAAAGGTCACCAATGGACTCTATGCTTACATTTCGATTTTATTTCCGTTTCTTCTCTTTTCCTTTGGGTTTTGGTTAGATTATTAGTAGACGCATTAGATTTAGCCATATGCTTAATAAACGAAATTAAAATTAAATAATTTTTATTCCACATCTTACTCGGCCATTTTTTGCGAACGAACCAAAAAAAAAACCAAAACTCTCATGTTGTGTATTGTCCAATCGAATAATTCAATTACAACAACATCCGACACAACAACAATAAAAAAATCAATCAAATATATATATAAAAAAATATATAACAAAAACAACAAACAACAGCACCGCACTCACCGCGTCGCCAAAAGTTGAATTTACGCATGAAATCCCTGAGCCTGGACTCCCCCGAATCCTCGGAGCTTCACGGCCAGTTTAGGCGTCGAGCCCAACTTCCGGGCACGGGGGCCTCGACATCGGCCAGCTCCGGTTACTATCATGGCGGCTCTGGAGGCCACCTGGAGCACAGCACTCCGCCGTCGAACAACAGCAGGCTGCACTGTAAGTAGCAAACCAGTAAGTTCCGTTTCCCGGTCCTCCGGTCCCGGTCCCGGTCCCGGTCCCAAGCCCGAAACTGACTACGTCTCCGGTTCCGGAACACCGTCGAACGATGCACCCAACAACCACCTCCGATCACCACCCACCAGGCCACCACCCACTTTTTGGCCACCTCTAACGATTCTCTCTAACGAATTTTTAGAATTTTTCCCCTAAATCTCTCTAATTTCCAAACTCTAATATATATATCGACACTCTTACACTCTTGAACACCCAATGACTTTTTCTACTTGCTTCCTGCTTATAATATTAAAGTACTTTTTTATTAATTACTGTAAATACGTTGAAACTAAAAGTAATATAAAGGAGTAACAATCGAGTAATTTAATCCTTGGTTAAGTAGTTCGATTAGTAGTTAATAGAAGCTTAACGATTTCACTTGAAAAAAATGCTAATAGTAGACTAACTTCATCTGCCGACACCACACATTCTCACAATTTCGACGGGGATATACCTCTTTACCTACTAATCCCCCCTTTTGTAACGTATATGTGTATAATTTACCTGTAAAATGTCTATATATTGACTCTTCCTTTCTTTCATGGAATCTGACTCTTCTTGTTTGTATTTTTTATTCGTTCATCCACTTGCATTCGATTAACCAAAACCAAAACCAATTGAGCCTGTCCTGGAGCAGGGATTAACACATCCAAAACCATTACAGCACCATCGAGCCCCTCGCATCCGGGCCGCAAACTGCTCTACGCCACCCGGGGAATGCGTGGCGGCAGCGTCGACCTACCGGACGAAATGGAGAAGTCCCAGTCCTCGGCCAGCACTTCGCCGTGCCTTTCACCCGTAAGACATCCCCAGGTAGTCCCCCACTCCCACCAAGCTTCCTTTCGTTTCGAGTCTTCATTTTGCCAGCTCCATTTTAGACCGATTTCAGGATAAGACCAAACCTATAGACTAACCAAATACCCTCCCTTTCATTTCACTAAGAAAACACATCGCCTGCTGCCCACGAATCTGTACGTTATCATCTACAACTTCAAGGCTAGGCACGCCGACGAACTGGACCTCAAGGCTGGCTACAAGGTGAGCTAATCAGGCAAATGGACATCCCACTGTCCTACTGCCACTCCGCCGAATATGAAGAAATAAACGAGTGTCCGAGTGGGTGTATGAATAATAAACACAGTGCTTTGTTTAATCCGCTAAGCGGAGCGCTTAGCTCTCACAATGGTTGCCCAGGAAATTGCTATAACTAAATCAGAAACAAATACCCATACGCTGCCGCTGCTGCCGCTCTTTATTCAATATTAAAAGGAACACAATGCCAAACAAAACTTTGTGTATTTATCATACAACAGAGAATATAAATATGTGAAAGAGGAGGATTTATTTGTATTTTTTTACTAAGCAAACAGAGTAGAACAAACGGCGTATAAGAAGAAATAATAATAGTAGTTACCGACTTTTGTGTGTACATTCTCTGATTGCAAGTGCCCGCCCACGCCGCCGCCGGCAAAGTGTTCAATATTTACAGATTAGCTTTTGTTTGGGCTCTGTCCTTGTTCGCGAACTGACTGGATTGCAGGATTGCCGGATTGCAGGATTGCAGGATACGAGAGCATAGGAAAGTCAAACTTTTGTTTTATGAAAGGTTTCAGGGGGAATTTACGACACGGATCGATAAGTGCTTTTTTCCCCCTCGATATTTTCAAGAGAACTTAGTGGATAGTCAGTGGATTTTGCAGGGTTAAGAGCTTTCATTTTAGGTTTTATGTTTTCCTGAAACATCTCCCCTTGAAACATCGCCATTTAATATTTTTGAAACAGGTAACTGTCATCGACAATTCAGATCCGGACTGGTGGAAGGGCAAGGTCTTTGGCCGCGTCGGCTACTTCCCGTCCAAGTACTGTGTCCGTCTGAACGCCAACGAGAAGCCCTTGCAGGTAACCCACAATCTACAGGTCTCCGACAGTGAACGTGGCGAGAACCTCACCCTTCTCAGAGATCAGATTGTCATCCAGGTGAGTTGAAGCAGCCATGAATACACACAAGATCCTTTACGTGATTTTATTTGAACAATACCAGACCGGCGATGAGGTGAACGGCATGGTGATGATCCGCGCCGCGGAGCACGGATCGGGCTACTGCCCGATCAAGTATTTGCAGGAGGTGTGACAGCCAGAAGAGGACGAGCCGCCCTCCGACGAGCGGGACAGACCCTACAAGTCGTCCATGCAGTCGTCGCAGTCACGGGCGACGGACAAAACCAAGCGTAGGATTAGAATCGTAGTCACCGACAACCAAAGTCAAGCAACTAGTAGCGCTGCACCCGCCCCATCTGCACCACCTGCCTCCACATCCACCCAGCACCACCACCAGATACCCAGGGAATCGGACCTCGAAACGAAGCGCCTGAACATCGACTATGGCGACGAAGGCAGCGCCGATTGGGACAAGGATCGGGAGGTGCTAATCCTATCGGGACGACGGAACAAGAACGACAAGAACTGGGAAAACTGGGAGCGCATCCGCGAACAGAAGCTGGAGAAGATGAAGGGCATTTGCTTCGAAAGCTACCGCCAGTCCAAGCGGGACAAACTAATGCAGGCCAAGCCTCGACCCAAGCAGCTGGATCCCACCTGGTACACCGACAACATCTACTCTAATCGGTCGGACGACATGGACGAGGACTATGTGCCCGACGTCCTCAAGTATGGACCCTTTCGTCCGCTCCGGGACATCCACGAGCTCGACGAGAAGATCGGCGGCAGCGGTAAGGGAGAAGAGCGTCGCGGCGAGGGTGAGGGATCGCCCGGATACGGACTGCATCGCTCCAAGAGCTGCAAGGAGTTTCAATATCCCAAATCCCAGAGTTGGTGCTTCGAGGGCAATGTCTTCGAGGCGGGCGGCGGCGTAGCCAGTGCGAGTGGCTCTGGGCCGGGTACGGGGACAGGCGGCATGGCCGCTCAACCCACCACATCCATACTCAAGAACCGAGCCGGCGTGCCCAAGTCATATTCCTTTAGTGCCACCACCAAGACCATGCCTTTCGATATTATCGATTACGAGCTGCCGCCTTCCACCAATAGCCGGCGCGAGAAAAGGGAAGCCTACAGGCGCAACATGAGCCTCTTGTGCAGCAGTAGCTTTGACGAGAGGACCCTGGCCCATCGCTGCTGTGCCCGGGATCAGTGCACCAGTGCCCGCTGCCTCTTGGACGACATATATCCGGGATCCCGGCCGAGGACGCGGACGGGAAGCAACCGCAATCTGAGTGCTGCGGATTGGCTGTTCGAGGAGCGTGCCGCCGGACGCCAGAGAACACCTGCACCACCCACTGTTATCTGCTGCTGCTCGGCCGCAGAGGACTGCTGCTGCCACCGCCAGCCAAGGCAGCTACCTCAGCCAGCTCCACGGGCCAGAAACTCCAGAACTGCTCCGCCGGGCCATTGTCCTGGTCACCATCCTGCCGCCGAGGAGGAGGAGCACATGCACTGCCGCTACGACACCGACCTAGAGCACTTCATACGAGCGGAACGAGAGCGACTGATGCTGCAGGACAAGTTCCTGGACGAGGACGAGCGGTACCTGTCCGCCGCAGCTGCTCCCCGGAGTCCGGGCAGAAGGTATCCGTCAGCCAACTACCAGCGTCCCTCGCGCAGCAAGTCCTTGTTGGAGATGCCACCTCCCGCTGCCACCTGCAACAGTCTGTTCGACGAAGACACCTGCTCGGACACCACGGAAATCGACCTGGAGGACTTCAACATCGACCTGGAGAAGTACTGGGAGCAGCTGGACAAGCCGCCCAGTCCCATCAACATGGACATGCGACGGAACATGCACAGCAGCCTCAAGGTGAAGAACGTGAACGTAAGGTGCTACAACAATGGCCAGCCCATTGACATCCATGACCGCGAGCACGAGCGTCTAATGATCAAGAAGTCGCTGCTCGAAGGCATGCCCTCGCCGCCCCAGCTGGACTCCAGCGAATCCTCGACAACTGCCGGGGGATATCCTTTTTTTGATAATGCCGCTGGCGCTGCCGCCTCTGCCTTCCACCATCCGCGTCCCAGCTACGGCTATGGCCACAAGGTCTACCCCACAATGGACACACTGCCCTCGTACCAGTACAACAACTTCTATCCGGAGCACAGCCACCCGACGGTGGGCAGTGTCCTGACACAGCAGCCCACTGCCGGAATTCATCACGCTTCCGCCGGTGGCCATTCGGCCCTGAGTCTCATTAACAACATCTTCTCCATTTACAAGCCCAACAAGTACTCGCCGGAGAACTGCCAGATGAACTACGAGAGCAAGCCGGAGCCGTGCAAGAAGATGAACATGCCGAGCACGAGGCGCCCCCTGGGCTCAGCCACCCCGCATCCGCTTCCGGTCCAGCATCCGCACGAGTACATGCACTCGTCGATGAAGCGGCCCCTGCTGGTGAGTGCGGATCAGCCGCACTTCAAGATCATTCCGGAGAAGACGGGCCTGAAGATATCGCCGCTGCTGAGCTACGAGGACTACGGAGGCGGATGCGGCAGTACCGGAATGGGGGAGAAGGCCCCACACCACAGACTGAGTAGCACGGCGCGGCCTCTGATGCTTCCGCACTGATGGTGCTGGACCTTTCCGTGGTATGGCAATGGCAATGGCAACTATTGTTAATAGGTATGTTTTGTGGAGAGGCAACTTATCCAAGAGACTTGCGAAACGCACAAACTGGGTCCCGCCAAAAAACCCAAGACAACCATCCGACATTCCAGCTGGCGGGGGATTCCGGCTCATCCGTTGTGGCAGTGGTGGTGTCTATCCAGCCCAACCACCCTCCAGTACCCCACTCCCCTCCACCCACTCGTCTCCGACGTCGTCGTCGTCGTCGTCGTCCATCCGCACAATTTGCTTTTTGGTTTTCAGCAGGGCAAGTGCATGTAACATCCACTCATCGTTGTCGCCAACAAAGAAAAAAAAACGAAACGAGGAAACCCAAAAAAAAAAACTGACACTCCAGCAACAGGAAAACCACTTAAACAACAACAACTACAGCCATACCATCGGAAAACAGCACAACAAGAACAACATCAGCATGTGTTGCAAGTTGCAAGTTGCAACTGCAATCGCAACATGACCAAAACAACATAGTCGAGGAAATGTCGAGGCTTGAAGATGAAAGTTAGGATTAGTAACGAATTGATCAGAGGTTCGATTAGAGTAGACACAGTCCCCACTCCCTAAGAACAACACACAACACACATATGTATACAATCAATGTGCTTTTAATTCGCTTCAAATCGCTACAAATGCCGCAGCATTGCAGTTCATTGAACAATATATAACTAATGTATGAAAAATAAAAAACCAAACAACAGATACACTAATTTTCGAGCAACTTTTAAGCAATCAACAGCGTATTCAATAGAACAAATAAAAACTAAAACCAAGAGAAAGAAACTAGAGTTAAGTCGAATGTGTGCATATGTATTAAACCGTTCATATCGCGTTTCATAATCCAGTATGAACATCTCTATGTATACCTTACTCTGTAGCAAGCTAAAACGATTTTATTAGTACTGAGAATGGTCGAAAGGATAATTGGATCTAAGGGATCGTGTCGCGTTTAACTAAATGAGGAATACCGTTTTTATTGTCACCAAATTTTTTCTATTTTTTATACCAAACAACTTTGAAGTCAACTAAACGGAAGGATAAAGGATGAGTTAATGATGAAATTGCAAGGATCGTTAAAGATAGAAGCTTTCCCCATTATTTGCGGCTACTAGAAGGCATATATGCAGGATAAGTATATGTTGAGAACTCGATAGAAGCGCTTTTTGTGAACTAACTAGATTTGTATAGCAATGTGAAACATTGAATATGATAAATATGAATTGTACTTTTATGATGTATGCGTATCCACTGGCCTTATTTATTGAAAAAGTACCCAAAAAACAATGAGCTGAATCCTCACTTGTACACACATCCATACACACCCACAGTAACACCAATACAAAGACACACAAAGTCCCCAGAAAAAAAAAAAAAATTGGAGAATTAAAATTAAATTTTCATAAAAGATTTAAGTATAAGGCTTTGCGTCACTTTTGTTAATTGTTTTTTGGCGTCCAATTTTACATGATAACTAAATGTAGGGCTCTAGACAAAAATCGACTAAAAATCGACGAAAATCGAAACTATCGAGTATAGAAAAAACTATCAAGTATTTTGTAGTGCATAAGCTAACTAATGAAGAAACATTTAAACCAATACCAAATACTCGTATATGAGAACTTTTTAGTGCAAGACTCCTTGTGCGTGAAGATTTTGAATTTGAATTTATTTTTAATGACTTTTGAATACAAGAGAAAACAATGAACAAGACATTTTATCAGAGATCGTTTTTTATCTATTTAACATTTTCTTGAACCACATACAACAACAAGAACAACAACAACAACAAGAGAAAACAACTATTTTCTAAGTGTACCCTATGGCCTATTAGTTAGTAATTAAGAGAGAATGTTTTTCCAAGCCCCGCTTAGACCACAGAACAGGAGTTCGATGAGGCATGGAAGGGGGAATTCTGCACAAAACCCAAATCTAGAAAAATATCCACATACTGCACCCAATTAATTGTACGATGTATCTATCGATTAATGAGTATTTACGATCACATCTAGAGACTAAGGAGAACCGAATTGTATTGTAAAATGAATGGAATCGACAAACACGAAAACGCCCAAATCTTATGAGTATGTAAGCAACCAAAAAAAAAATGCCGAAAACTTAAATTCAAACAGGATAACCGATGGCTACTAGCTGCGGGCATCAAAACTGCTGAAATTGGCAATTAAGTATATAGTAATATATATATATATATGCATATGTATGTATGTACAATGTAGTAGAATTTTTGCGACTAAAAACATAAACCGAAAGGTAAAAAACTGCAATCGTAGAGCCCAGCAGCAGGGGTGGAAGTCTTTGCGAAACTGCTTCTTGGTTTTTTTTAGTGTATACTTTCGTTTTACATATTGTACGATTAAGGAATTCAAAGCATTACGAATGCAGTGGGCCATAAGCTATGTGTAAGTCTAAGCCAGAGTTATTGCACCCCGACTTGGACGGCGATACCTGGCGCACCTGGTTGCAACTATGTAGAGGGCAGCCTGGGAAGCAAACATACCAACATACATACTACATTTACATGTAAACAGTAACTAGTGAAAAGCAAAACAAAACAAAGAGAACAGTATAATATCAGTGCAACGTAATATATCAACAAATACCAGAGCTGCAAACAGCAAGAAACAGAACTCATTAGCACACCTGCAATTGAATGTGAAAGAAAAAAAAATACCAAACACACATCCTTTCCAGTTCCATTACCAATTTCCCGCTTCTACGCAGCGACCCTGTTATTTTACCTGAATTGCAAATAAAAAAGATGTTCAATTCGATGTGAAAAAAATAATAAAAACAAAACAAGTTTTGTATTTTTTACGGTGTGGGCGGGATTGTTTTTCTTCATCTCCAGCCGCCCAAAAGTATGCAACGAGGTGAGCTACAGATTCTATGTTTATGGGATGGTTCATAAAATAATCCATTAATTATTTACTGACCATTGTTTTCCCCATATTGATGAAATTACTATATTAATAAATAATAAAGTTTTTAGGGAGTGTTCTATTCAATTTACATTTTTCAAGCGGTTTTTTTTATTTTTATTCCAAAATTGCATCATTTTTCCGCATCATTAGAAACACAAGTGGGAATGAGTACTTAAACATTTGCTTTTTTTATTCAGTTTTTCAGCATTAAATTTATATCACATTAAATTTAAAATTAACAGAAATACAAAGGTTAGTCGATTCGTCAGTTAATGCTGCTGCAGCTGCAGTTTTTACAATCATTATTACATTTTTCATTTAATCATACAGGTATTCTCTCGATTCCCTCGGAACAGGACGGTTGCACAGGATCGTTAGGTTAGCGTAGTCAAACATTTAACACATACATATAGAGAGTCACATCTTAGGGCTATCACTAAATTGGTTTTAAGCTAATTGCATCAGAGTCAGTCAAAGAGATGTTTTTTTTTTGCTTTTCTTTTTTTTTTTTTGGTCTTAAAGATATTTTTTTCAGGTGCGACACCTTCTTGTCAGGCTTACAAGCTAGTTCGTTGGCTGTTCCTGCGGGTGTGGGCTTTGTTGCGGGTGTGGGTGTGGCTGCTCCACAGGACCAGCTCCTTGTGGCAGGGCAGTAGCTCCGGCCAAGGCTGCGGCTGCTGCAGTGGCTGCGGCGGCTGCTGCGGCAGCTGTTGTCGTGCTGGCCGCCGCGGCATCCAAGTTCAACGTGTTGCTGCTGGCCGCCTTCTGGTTGGGGAAGAGCACCGAGTAGGCCGGCGGCGGGTCCAGCTCCTCGTAGTTGGGCGGCGAGGTGGCGCCCAGCTGGTCCAGGCCTCCACCTCCGGCTCCATTGGCAGCGGCCAGCGCCGCCTCCCGCTCGTTGTTCACCGCATGCTGCGACGCGGAGGCTGCAAGGGAACGGATGGTTTCAATGTGAGAGCTCAAGCGACAACAGACAACTAGAGGGGATAGCGGGATTGAGGGATTACAAGGTTTACAGGATATAGGATAGTGAAATTTTAGCATCAGCGAGCGGAAAGTTAGACACGGTCATAGCACAGGAGTCATAGTTTCGGTTTTTTGTGATATGTGCGACAAGAGAACGATTTCAATGACTGTGCCTTACTTGGACTAGACTAGCGAGCAATGCAACATACCCCAGAGGCCGCAGATGAGCAGGGCTCCGCCGCACAGGAGCATTCCCAGCATCAGGTAGCCCCAGGGCCCGTACTTGGACAGGTCCGAGTGCACGCCGGAACGGGTCGAATTGCGACGTGTGAAGCCGCTTCCGGCTCCGGTTCCGCCCACATCAACAGTCTCATTATCTGGCTTTTGGGAGGACTCCCCGTCCGCCGCCGTCGTAAAGCTGGGGCCAATGGAATTGGGCGACCCGTCGCCGCCGGGCTTCTTCATATCTTTGGTGTGCACTTTGCGCAGGGTTGTCGTCGATGTAACCGCCGTGGAGTTATCAACAGCTCCATTACTGCCATTACGCGCGGGCTGTTCCTCCGGGCCCGAGGGCGCATCGTTGGCGAACAGATTGCGAAATACTTCAAGGGCGAACTGCTCGAACAGATCCGACTCCAGCCCGGCTGGCAGGTTGCCAACTCCAGGGCGATGCTGTTTCGAGCACAGCTCGTAGTCCTCATCGCTGTCGTACTCGTTGCTGTACGGACAGTGCCTGATGCCGTCACAGGCCAGCTCCTTGGAGATGCACAGGAGGGGCTCATCCCTGCAGGAAGTTAGAGTTAGTCTTGGACTAGGTCAGGTAAGGATTGTAAAGCTCACCCGATCCTTAGGCACTGGTGCTTGGTGCCATCCTTGCACTGCTCGCCCTTTCCCAGCACAGTGACCATCAGCTTGGAGCGCAGAGAGTGGAGGCCATGCTCCCAGACGATCCTGACGCGGCCGTGAAAGAGACGCACTGGATCCTCCATCTCCGAGGCGGTATCCTCCAGCTGGCAGGGATCAACCTTCCACTGTGCAGTATGTGGGTCCAAAGAGCTAAACTGTTGGCCATAAATATACAATATTAATTATAGAATCGCAAATAGAATCTTATAATTAGGGGGTGTTGGCTAAAAGCGTGTCTAAGTGCGTAAGCCCAACGTGCGAGCAAACAGTTTACACGATCGAACTGCCAAAACGCTAAAAGATCGCCTTCTCGGCCACGCCCACGCGATTAATATACGGACGTGACATGAATGGCTGAGTTCAAAACAACGATCTGTGCCCGGCAATCAGCGATCAAAACTGCGAATCCACGACAGAGGCAAACACACATAATGCAAAATTAAATATTTACGCTGGAAAAATACGAAACAAAAACCTGTGAAAGCCACGCCAGAAACGAGAACTACGAGCTGCCTGTGTATATAAAAAAAATATATCCATTAATATCTGGCCAGATTCTCTGGTTTTTTTTTGGTTGCGTCACGTGCGGAGTGAACAATCCGCTTGATAAGCTATGGATTCTACAAAGCTATAGATACCGGGGGGTACAGGTCGCTTTGTGCTCAAGTTCAATAACTCGGGCCAACTAGGTGGTCCCCGATGTAAGCTCGTCGCGTTCTTGGTAAACAACAATTAGTAGAGGTGTGTCGCCAGGTGGAACAACAACATCATCAGGTAAACCAGTTCTTTATAGAATAAAAACAATCATTATTGTGCAGTGCATCGCAGTATTTACCAGATTTTCTAGTCTTCTCATTAGAAGGAAGAAAATTCTGTAATTATGCGATGCGACGCATCAATTTGCACTTCTCACCGTCGACAGAACAAAGAAGAGCTCTGTACTTGACATGCAAACGTGGTTGCCTATCCCCCGAGTTACCCCAGTTCCCCAATCTCATACCCCCATCACCATACCCGTTCGCGAATCCTATGGTTTTCAGAAGCATAGTTTACTTTTATGGCGACGCTAGCTGTCAGCCAGTCAGCCAGCCAGGCAGCCAGTGAGTGAGTCCGGCAGTCTGTCAGTCCAAGCCGACAAATTTATGGCTACGCCTCGCATTGCCAACCGAAAGTGTTGCTGCAATTGGTGTAGCTGCTAGCTGATAGTATTACGGCTGCTAGTCTTCTACATTTGTTGCGTTTCGCTTCCCTGGCCAAATGAGACAAACGTGTTTCAAATATGAAAAGAGGCCCAGCCACATGGCTCTAACTGGCTCGCTTATGCAAATGGGATGGGATGGGTGTGATGGTAAGCACTTCGCGCTATAATAGTGATACTTCTCAAGACTTCTTAGTCACAAAAAACTGAAAGTTTACAATTTTATTTAACACCACACACTTTGAACACTACGATTTCCCCCCCATCTGTATTTACACTCCAGTTTTGAATAGGAAACTGTGGGATTTCCAGAGTTTGTCTTTGACGGAAAGTGAAATATTTCCACCCGACTGAATGTCAATGTCCATGAACAGTAGCACATGGGTAGAGTTTAATGGAAAGTTTCTTGTTTAATCGAGAACACCTTGACAATGTCAATGATCAGCTGACGAATTACGCTTTGGCAAACATTTTTCGCCCGTCGAGCGTGAGACAGTCGGCGGGTAATTGGAGACAATTTCAGATGTCAAACTGTCTCATAGGAAAGCCACAAAAAAGTAACAATGTCAAGCGTTAAATTATATGTAGTTTCATAACCCACCGGCACAGATAGATATCCAATAAGCCTGTAATGCTGCAGCCTACAAACTTAATCTATTCGACAATGAAATCGAAAACGAAAATTCTCAATTTCACGGCATAAATTAAAGGCACACTCCACGAATGATATAATAATACGACAAATTTGATGAACGATGAAGTCATAATTCAGGTGTAGGAGCATTCTTAATTGTGGAAATATACTGGCCATGTATTTATGAGTTCAGACTTTTGAACTTTTCGGTTGAGATTCTCACACTTGAATGCCGCGCATGCGCAGATACCAGCTAGCCAGTGGCAGCCAAGTGGCATATTCAAGCAGGTGATCGAGATAAAAGAAACTCGCAGATATATATAATGGTGGGTCTATAATTCGACCGGAAGGTGCAGAAAATGGCAACCTAGCACTAATCACCTATCGACAATTACACTGAAAAAGAGGAAACATTAAACCGGCAGGGAGATGGTTTTAAATAATGAACCTCTACAGGGTCTGGTTTTAATTTCAATATTTTAATCTGGACATCAGTTTAGTACTTACAATATTCAACGGGCAGGTCCGTCCCAGCACCCTGGATCCTTGGGATGTTGAGTTCAGACGCTCCAAAGGTGCAGTGGCCTCTGTAACTCCGCCCGACTTGGCTGTCCGACGGAGTTTCGAGGAGTTCGTATTGGAGGCGGCCATTATATTGGTGGGCGGACTGGTGGTGGCAGCTTCCGACGGCTGATTGAGCCGCAACTTGGGCAAAATCAGACGCACTATGAACCCGTAGTTCTGAGGAGCGCTTAGGATGCGGGAGCAGGAGGCGTGCTCCATGCCATAGGAGCCCGGCTTCAGCTCGATGATGAGACTAGATTCTTTTCCATCGCTCTCGATGAACTGCTCGTGCTGGGCACTGCACAGTGGCTTGAAAGTCGGATGTGGCAGCAGACCTCCTGAAAGAGACAAGTCAGAGTTCGGTTAGTGGAGCAGACACGACGCCTTGAATACGAATTTACAGCGATCTGTTAATTTCTACGCCGAAAAGAGGGGTATCTGACGGATGGCCATTTGTATGCGGAATCCATCATAGCCATAACTCAACCAAGCTAGCCCCCTTCCCAGTCGAATGCAGATGAAATCCGCAGAAGTTGTCAATCAATAAATAACTCGGGGGCAAATAAAAAACTTCACTCTGTGACAACTCTAAAAATAGAGAATTTTGTGTGAATTGGAATGAAAATGGATTGATGGATGGATGGATGGTTTGGTTGGCGCCGAAAGGTGTTTATCGCGTTCACAATATTTGTTTCCAATTCATGCACTTGTTTGTTTTTATTTGGTCGCTCTAAATTTCATCGCTGATGAAACCGAAATTCAATTAATGTGAATGGATTCTCTAGTGCGATAATTGAATGACTACAGAAACAGAAACCTATACAAACACCGAAGGCAAGTGGCCAAAGTAGAGGGGCTCAAGCTCGGGCCTCTTTGTTCAATTATTTTGCACTCGCTCTCGAACTTTGCGCCTCAAAGGTTAAAGAATCACACAACCACTATTAAGTACTTCAATTAATAAAATACAAATACAAGTGCAGGCACATTATAGCTGTCTGCTGCTGAGTTCGTGTAGGAAAACTACTTTTGCATTGTATGCCACAGAAACTTATCCCCACAACCATATTTCCATCCATATTCTGGGTCAGTGACTGCACCACATATACGTATACATACTATTATTATATTATTACTGTGGGCTGTTGCAACAGTCCCTGTATTTGTTATTATTCAGCCACCCCCGCTCTTCTTGCTGGGCAATGGCAATTGCCACACAGCATTTGCGAACTATTAAAAATTTTATTCGCCTGCCCATGTAAAAACAATTTGCATTTACTCCCCATGCGTTCGTATGGGGTGCAATTTACCAGCTAATTCTCATTTCGAACTTGACATTAATAGCCAAGTGGATCGGCCAGGTCTGGCCCACACGTGCTGACTGGCTGCTGCTGCTGCTGCTGGAGTTTCAATCATCGCTTTTGGCCAAAACGACAGTAAAGACTCAATTACAATCGGGTTAATGACACTCTTTCGACAGTTTAAAATGGCAATTATAACATATTTATTCAAGCCGATTGAGTTGTTCAATGGGGAGCTATATTTTGTATTCATTTTCCCTTAATGAGAGTTATTACTGAAAATTGTTATATTAAATTTAAATAAGAATTTAGTCACAAACAGAAGCATTTCATTTTCCACTTTGTAATTCGTTTATTGGGATCAGTGGGTCGAGCTTCGGGCTTACTTTTCTGAATATTTTCGAACAAATTGCAGGCATTCACTTATGCGATCAATGGGTTCAGTTACAACCAGCTACAAAATCTTTAATTAGTTGCAATTGTTGGAGAATGAAAAGCCATTAGCACTGTCGCACAATGGCTGCCACACAGTTAAGTAATGATTAAGGCTTATTTGACGGCCAACAGAGAGCCGTAAAGCGTCATTGCTAATTGGGTTAAAAGCACAAACACACACACACTCTTGGCCATTCGCAGTTAAATGCACACATAAATCCAACATTTGAATTAATGCTTGCCGACTTGGGATCGGTCGGGCTAGTCGGGAAAACATTAGGGCCAAAGGGGAGTTCCCCCATAGAAATGGGTTTACGATTCGGGGTTAACCAGCCAAGCGGGCAAGAAAGAAAGGGCTCTACACCAGTTACACCCAATTTTTTTTTTCACTAAACATGCCGTTAATAATTTGTCTTCGTTTTCAGAGCAGAACCGTGAATTTAAGGTTTTTAATTTTTGTTTCGGGAAAGCAGAACGCTTACCAGGGGAAAGTTAAGTAGCTAGAATTGAGAGTCAGTCTAAGCCCGACTGATATCCAACATGTTCGTTTAAGCAAGGTCAGGTCGGAGACTCACGAGTCCACATCTAAACACAAATAGCAAACAGACCAGCGAACAAAGCTAGACAAACAGGGCAAACAATTTACAGAAAACTGTTGTATAGTATGTCTACTTATCTGCCAATATCTCGCGATGTGTATCTTTTCGTGGCTTAGTGTGTATCTGTGTGTAGGTCAAGCCACTTCCATTTGAAAAGGGCACATTAAAATGCGTAGTCAATGCCGATCCACAAGTTGTTATACGAACAGCCCTATCTACAAAGCCAGTCCCCAGTACCCAGTACCCAGCAGTCGAGTGGGCCAGTTTCGAGTTGTTGTTTAGACTTAGATTCAGATTTAGACAAAAACGGAACTTGGCCAAGAGCGAACTGCAACTGCTCGTGCAGAGATTGTCAAGCAGTTTGAGGGCTTTTCTTTTTTTTTTTTGAGTGGCAACTGGGCATAATAAATTCTGTGGCTGCCACGCGATGCGGACGCGTGTTGCATGTTGGATGGATGGATGAATGTTGGATTCTCGGGTGCTGGATGCTGGATGTTGGATGCTGCTGCGGATTCTGCTCACTCGTCATAATTACGCCCGGCTGCCTGCCACGAGGGGTGGGGAGGGGATGGGAGGGGACTTGCTACAAAGCCCTGGAGCGGAGGGAACAGTAAAAGCGCACGATGGAGAGACACTCGAAAAAAAGTTGTTGTTAAAAATTACACAACACTCGCACATACACAGTGGAAACACACATAGCCGAGTGAACGCCACTCGAGGCACAAACAGAAACAAACAAAAACACAGTCTGAAAGTGCAGTTTGTAATACTCTTATCCATTTCAGGTATTATTCATCCAATATACCACTAAAAAGTTTTATATTTAAATGGAAGCATACATCTACCTTGACTGGAGGGCTCTTATAAGTATATACATATGTAGTATTTTTAAGTTTTTTGTAGAGCATTTTCTTTGGTGTCTCCTGGAAGCAAATCTATAAAATAATCTGGAGATGCAGTTTGTTATTCTGTTCTTAACTTGGGAAAAACTATAAACCCTTAACTGAACTTGAAACTTGCTCTTGCAATTCCAGAAATCAATAATTCATAAGCTTGGCAAAAGGAAACTTAAGGAATAATGATGCATTTATAAATAAAAGTTGCCTCAAGATCATAAATGGCATATAGTATTATTTAAATAAGAGATTTTCAGAGCATTACATCTCCTGCTTTGGGGGCACAAATCATTCTATTTGCTTTATTTTTTCATTTGTGTAGCTGCTGCTGAAATTGGGTCAACTATCAAAGTCAGAATGGCAAGGGTTAAGTGCTTGTCCCTCCTCTCCCTGTCGCCATCTCTTTTCTAGTGTCTCTGTCACCGTCTCTTTCTCTGGCCTCGCACCTTTCCCGCTCCACCCAGCCCCAGCCACCCACTTTTCCATTCCTGGCCTGCCTCCCTCCCAGCCATGTACGTGCGGACAGCGAGCCACATTTCCCGTTGGCCAATTTTCCTAATAGGTCAAGCGAATGTGTCATCATGTTGTTGCTGCGGCTTCTCTGTGTTGTTGTTGCTGCTGCCGCCTCTCTGTGGTTGTAGTTGTCGTTGTCGTTGTCATTTGTCTGTTTGCCCAGCTAAAGAACGACAAAATAAATAAATTGTACTATAAACAAGAATTCAGGCAAGGAACTCGCCGTTTGTTGCTACAGCTGCTGCGGTTCTTGATTCTGCTGATGTTGCTACTATTCCTGCTGCTGCTGCTGCTGTTGCGTGCAACACATAGCCAGACCAGACCTAACGGCAACTGTTGCTGCTTAACTGGCCAAGCAGTCAGAGTGGCGTGGAAGCCAGTTGAACATGACTTCTAATGGCCGCATACATAAATCAAAGCCCCATTTCAGCGCTTGGCACAAAAGTACAATTGCACAGAAAATAATTGCACAAAAAAATCCGCACCCGCGAGAACAGATTTAAAGAGATTTTCAGGATTTTAAGTTTCTAAAACAAATCCAGTTTCCAATTCTATCTCTTTTGCATTTTAATTAAGCGATTTCCCGTCTCCATCTCACTTGATCTTTTTGGCAAAAAGTTCAGCGACAGGCGAGAGTTTCGCAAAACCGGTGGGTGTGTGTGGGAATTGGGGAATTTTTGGATGCGGCTGGGGGTTGGGGGTATTGCTGCCAATTGAACCCAGATGACTTTGAGTTGCACAGCAAGGAGCTTTCTGGCTCACAGCTGCAGATAAAAGGTGGAGCTCCTCCACAAGCCACAGATGGCCGCTGCTGATGGCAACATATGTTAATTCTATTTGATATTCCACAACAGAAACGGCAAAACAGAGCTTCAAACCAGTTTGCACATACACATGCGATATGTATGTAAATGTATACGTACAGTGGGCTATGGCTAAGCGTACATATGGATGTTTATGGGGGGATAAATAACACTACGCTCTTGGGTCCAAAACAGCGACTCCGCCATCCGGACGCCCCCTCCAGGCTTGTTTCTTATTTGCAAAAAAAAAGACGCGCCACGTGATTGTATTTCGAGCGTAAACAATATCCCCGAATCGAGATTCGTTTATAGATTTGGATTCAAATTTAAGCTGAGCGCGTGGATGTTCGGGTTGGGGTTTCAAGTTCTAGATTTAAGATTTTAAACAAATTTTGTGTAAATGGGTACTTGAACTCTTCTCGTTTGGACTTCTGAAATGTCAGTGGACCACTCGCCCTCGACGGGTGTACTTTGATCTCGGCTTTAACCCGCTGTGTTGCAACAGATTCCGTCGCAGACTCAGTCTCAGATCGTGTAGCTTGCCATTCTGGCTCTTTGTTTGGGCCATAACTGTATTTCAATGGCGGCAATGAGGTCGTCTGGCGGTTGGGTTGCGTTTTCAGAGTCGTTTCTGTTTTCTGAGCTCCCCCTCGCCCCCGGCATTGTGTTTTCAGTTTTTCTGTTTTAGGTTTCACAAAAATAGCTATTTTTTCTTTCTTTTATTTGCATTACATTGTTTTTGTTTCTGTTTTTTATTTTTTATTTTTAATTTCTTGCCGCAAAAACTTCCGCGTGACGTGTTTACGGTTTCTCGCTTTTCTCAATTTTTATTGCAATTTCTGCCCCCAACCATAGCTTTCATCCATTAAGTGAGTCACCAAACTTAACGCTTATCAGAAGCACAAGGCCTAGAGGGTCATGCCTGGGGAATTGGTAATCAAATATGGCTTTTCGGCTGAAATTAAAGCCAAATCATTGTCGGAGGGAGCCATGTGCACATGGTCCGACGTTGGACGGGGCGGAGGGTCAAATGCGGTTAAGATCGAGTGTTGGGTCCCAGACAACCGGTTTCCGAAACAAATAATCGGTGATAATATTAAAAGCACACACAACAAATGACAGTGGTTCATAATAGAAGTATATTCTACAAATATGGACAAAAATGGAATGGATGACTAAAAAAGAAGCTACCCGTACAAGAGTTAAGATTAGGCAGCTACAGTGAAAATACAAATAATGAACAGTTTTCGGATCATATCTTATCATATAGTTTCTCTTGGTCTGTAGTTTTGGCAATAAAATGAAAGTTTCGTTTTAAAGACTTGATCTTATTACCAGATACTCTAGAGTCTAGACTGATTCACCCAAGAAGTCCATCCGAACAATGAAATGAAAGTTTCGTGTGTCTGTGGGGGGATGTTTGTCTTGAGTCTGATACATGAAACTGATTCCCCGAATCTGTAAATCTCAAAATATCGCAATTATGGCGAAATGAACTCTTCAGGCGCCGCAATTACCGAGGCGCCTTCACACTATCCTCCCACCCTTTCACCATTGGGGAGCTTGGTGGGGTTCACACCGTTTGCACACAATGTACTGGGGGACTGATTAAAATACGAGCATTTTCCCAGGCCTATTGGAAACTAACCAAAGGAGACCGCTGCACTCTGGACGATGGCGGCGCTGGCCACCAGGAGCGTGATCCACGCCCACGCGCTGTAAATCTGCAGAATATGATGGCTGCCAGCGCCGGCGCCGGCACCGCAGTTGCGTCGCTGCGGCTGCTTGTGTTTTTGTTGGTTTTGTTGACTTCTGGCGCAGCTGACGCAGGACGCCATTTTTATCTGGTTTTTTTTTTCGGGGAGGTGGGTTTTATGATAGTTATTTGATGTTTTATTTTTAAAACGGCTTTTAGAGCCGTTGATCGTGGTTTCTGATATTGAATTTCACTCGGCGCGACTCTCACACAAAAACAGTTATAAACATACGATTCACACACGGTTAGTTGCGCAATATTTCGCAATAAAATCGACGTCGGCTTGGTCGCCTTCTAAAAACTAGTTCGCAAAAGATCCGTTATATCGCGATTAAATACATGTACCATATAGCGTATCCGCTCGCGCGCCCTTTTTTCAAAGCCGAAAAACCGAGCCAGGCGGCGACAGACTTCTGCTGCTTCTGCTCGAAACTCGCCAACAGCGAAATTGCGAACTTGCGAACCTGCTGCCTGCTGCTACGACCGATCGGAATATAGTGAGCGCAGCTTCGACTTGGGGGGCTACGTTAACGCCTCTGCAGAGGCGCTACCCGGATCGGAGAGTCTCGGCATATAGATGGCGATCACGGAACCGTGAGCCAGCAAGAGAGCTGAGCCCGAGTGGGGGCTCTCTTAAAGCTTAAAACCATGGTCTACACAGAAACAAATATGGTAGGTTGACTGGTTAGAATGGATGGATAAGTGGGAGATTAAATGTAGTTTTTAAGAAATTTCTACAAGAAATTTAAATATGATAAGGTTATATTATTTCTCAGAGTGTTAACTATCTTATTGCCTCCTGGAATAGTCATTTCATCAAAACTGGGTCTGATATTGTCTCTAGTGATTAATGATTAGTAATCTTATATTCGATTTCTTAGAAATCAGAATTAAGCTTTATAAGCTACATGTATGTATGTATTTAAAACCTGAAGTCTAATAACATGAACCTTATTTTTTACATACATACATATGTAGGTATTTTATGTACATAATTCTATAATATTAAAATCATAGATTCTTAAAATGAGTTTTTTATAGAAAATCATAGTCGGATTGGTGTAAATTTATTTTGGCTTTGGTACATGTGAAGAATGCAACTTTTGGTTTCTGTGTAAGAGCCATAAAACAACTGTAATGCTGCAAATCAACTAACAAAGCGGGCCGACTGGCTAAAAGACACGAGCCAAGGAAGCAGCTGAAAGAGAAATCGTGAATAGTCAAGGAAAAAGGAGAAGGTGTGGGTGGCAGAAGAGGTTCTCCTTCATCAACCAACAACAACAACACAAGCCCCAAAAAACAACAACAGCAGCAGCAATCAGTGCAACAATTCTGTGCAGCTCCTCTGACTCATGGAGCTTACGCCGTCAAACGGATTTTTGCATACGGCTGGTTTTTTCTTGTTGTTGTTGTTGTTATTGCTGCCCGTGTGCCATATATATTTTTTTTTGTGGTCTCTTTTTTTTTTTTGAATTTAGGGGGGAAAGGAGTGATGGGGATTTTGGGGGTCTGTAACCCAATTTTCAAACGAGTCAAGTCGGTATGCAGAGCAGAACAAAGTGTGCAAAAAAAATCAAAAGGCAAAAAACAGAAAACAAAATACAAGACGTTTGGGGATATATGGGAGACAGAATACGAAAATTACAGAAAAAGACGCTCGTTCGTCTGAGGGAAAAAATCGAAAGCAGTTCAAACAACATGTGTCAAAAGGGGATGAGCACGAAAAATACATCTCAACCGAACGAGATGAATGCATGCCACATGGTGCTCCTCCACACTGCGAGTGTGTGTGTGTGTGGGGCAAATTGGAGTTTACCTTAAGCCCGACGAGATGACAGGATGCGGTGCCAAGGCCAACTGATTCACATTCGGGCTCGGAAAGTGGGTTAAGACCCAGTTGATCCCATAAATTTAAAAATCAAACAAGGAAGATGCATGAATGTAAGCTTGAGTTCAGGGCTTTCTTTTTTAGGTGGTTAATTGATTAAAAATTTAATGGAGAAAATGATCCTTGGAAATATTTGTGGGAATAAAATCTTCCAGAAACTAAAGCTTCTTAAAGCATAACTGCAGTTTGTCTATCCAAAGTAGGAGTTCTTTACAACCCAAAAACACACACAAATTTTTGTAAAATATGGCTAGTGCCCCCAAGCTTAAGTTATGTATTGGCTGGCATTCCCTCAAAGATTTTCCAACTTTCCCGCCAGTTTGAAAGATTTTTCAACTGGCCAACGCGCCCTGGCCACAAAATATTGAAAAACTCTCGCACATTGCATAAGCCAAACAAACATTCAAAACGGATTGCCACCGGGCCCGCTTTTTGCCGCTTTTCCCCCATTTGGCCGCCTCCTATCTCTGACTACTCACTCTTGGCAACAGAGCACAGCACCAATTCAGCCGGTATTGTAGGTATGTACGGTTAGTGGATGGATGGCCAACATGAAAAACCAGGCTTCGCGTTGTGTTTTTTTTTTCGGTTTACGAGTATGTGCTGGTGCACTTTTTGTGCTGTTATCGCTGCATTTGGCTGTTTGCCAGTCTACGCGACTCGCAAGTCGCTAGTTGCCAGAGTTTCCAGTTGTAATTGTTGCTGCCGGGGCAATGGATGTTGTTGTTGTTGCTGCCACTGTGCGTAGTGGTTGCAGCTAAAAATAAACTGCATGTAATTATAGTCGCTGCCCGCGACTTGTTGCACCTACCGAGAGTGGTTCCAGCCATGCCCAAAAACGACGATAAAGCTAAAAACCCATCTACCCAACTCGCCAGGCAACTGAGCACAGAGCGGAGTTTAAGAGAAACCAAGACACGCAGCTGAGGCACGAACTGCCAACTCTTTGGGCCAACTCTCTCGCGCTCTTAGCCAGCTTCTAGTCACGTCGACCGATAACTATAATGACTATATAGCTGGGTCACGTATGCGTGTGATTTGTGGGCGCTGCAAAATCTTGTCCTGCTTTGCACGTTTAACTTCTTCTTGTTTACAGATTGGCGATTGGTGGTGGAGGTGGAGTCGGAGTCGGAGGCTGGGGTGGCCACCGGCTAACCTTGGCCTAAATATAGGGGCCGACCTGAGCCGATCGAGGCTGATCTGAAATTGTAAACAAATTATATCTGCGCATGTGCCAAGAAGTTATTTGTCCAACCAGAAACAAGTTCAAGAACGTCAACATTCTAGAACGTTCTTGAATTAAAAATTACTAAAAATTAGCTATAAAAATGGTTAGAATAACATTAAATATTGTGTACTTCCCCTAAATACCGCTTTACATATTCCTTACACCACTCTTACATTGTAATACTTACATGCACAGTGGCGCCGCCTGTAAACTTGTCTGTTATTGGTACTAGTTTGCTTTTTACATCATACATCGTTTCTACATGGCAGACTTCATTTGATGTTATAGTAGGGCCAATAACTAAGCAATATATTGCAATACATTTGTATTAGTATAATTAAAATATAAATATAATTACAAGAAAAATAAAAAAATATTGTAATGTACTGTGTTTCTGTCACTTTTTATTCAAGGTATTCAAGGTATTTTCCATCAGATTCCGAAAAGGAATTCAGGGCTGAATCAGGGCTATAATCTCCTTAAATCTTTATCAAAATATCGTCAAACCAGAAAACAAAACTTTTTACCCATTTTTGGCCAAAATAATGATGTTACCTCTATTAAAAAATTTTCAAAAATTGTGTCAAATTTTAGTAAGATAGATTTTGGTTAAAATTGAAAGTTCTCGATTATCTAAGATCGGAAAAGTACAACACTCGTCGGATAAGTATTACCCGAGTTATGACTAATTCCATGAAATTTATAGACGAAAAAACCCATCTTGGCCACGTTATCGTAAAAATGAAAAGGGACATTTGTGACCCATTTTTGGCCGAAACTATGATGTTACCCCTCGAAAATGTTCCAAAATTTTGGTCAGACTTTATATATCGATTGAAATTGATAGTTCTGGAAGGTCCAAGATATGGAAGGTATAACATTAGTCGATCGAACAAGTATTAAAAGTTCCCTGGAATTTAAAGATGCGAAAATCTTCCTTGATTCTTGACTAATAAAATTAATGAATACACGTTTTTATAAAGATGTTCAAAGATTTCTAAAACAGTCTAAAGATGTTCTCAAACCTTTTAGGTAAGAAGGTTTCAGGTTCTTATAATAATTCTTCTTATAATTTGTAATAATTATATGTTTATGTAACATACAATCTCTCTCTGACTCCTGCCATAATACAGTTCCAAAGACTTTTGTTGAATTTTCATTTTTATTTTAATATTTTTACGTAAATTAACTTAAATAACTATAATTGTAACATCAGCATAGAATATTTACAAAATGGAAATACTACGAGAGGATTGGATGCAATGCCGTGATCAACGTGAACGTGTTCTTTTGTTTTTGTGGAAATTGTGCAACCTGAGGATAGAATAAAGTTGGAGAAAAAAAACTAGAAGGACTTTATGTAAATAATAAGGATAATAAGGACTTTCAGGGGCGCACAATGATCAATGTCTAGTTGAGAAGCTAAATGGCATTTTGATGTGGACTTCGGCGGCTCGACTCGTAATCGATCTCTATCTGCGGCGCAGATGCATCATGGACTCCAGCGAACTGGGGTCCAAGGTGGCAGCGTGCTCCAGATCCTCGGTGCTGGCATTCTCCTCGGCCACGTTGACAAACGTGCTAGAGAGTTCGCCATTCAGGCGATTGATGCTTCCCGTTCCAATATCGTACATGAAGATCTCCTGCTCGGCGGATGAATCGCTGGATCTGGAAGATGGAAAATCGGTTAGTTAGTAGGGGTTTCCCTTCAAGGAGGCTATACTTACTTGGCCACCAGCAGCACAACGGACTGCAACTCCAGATCCGTGCGCGCCTCCTTCTCCAGCCAGCGCTTGAAGTTCTCCTTGGTGGGCTTCTTCACCAGCGTTTTGATGAGCTCACCGCCAAGGAACTTCACTTCCCTGCTAACGTCCGACGCACTCCTCGCCTCGCTGCTGCCGGATGCTGGAGCTTGTGCCTCCACCGGAGCCAGGACCACTACGCTTACAATCCGCTTGCCTTGGAGCTCCTCGCTGTCGGGGATCGGGAATTGGGCACCATTGATCTTCAGGGGAAGGTAACGGTTGTACTGCTGGCGCTCGGCCAGATCCACGGGAGTTACCACAGTGGCATCTGTACGCAGGTACTTGTCACTGACACTCTGCTCCTGGCCAGCATCAAATCGCACCACCTTAACGTCGAGGTTCTGCTTCTGGGGCAGCGAGTTAGTCTGCTTAACTCTGTCCAGTTGCTTCTCGCTGAGGGCCACCTTGTCGCCATTGGGCTTGACTACGGTCAGGACCTTATTAGTCTCGGCAATCTGGGCACCACCTCCGGCTCCGTAAAAGTGTTGCAAGTGCTCGGCTGGCAGATTCTCCAAAGCAATGTCTCCCTGCTTGTCGTAGTCCAGGATGGAAATGTCGGCGTTGTTGAGGATTCCGGAGGAGAACAGTTGCTGGCGCAGATCATCGGGAACTTCGTCAGGCAGTTGGAGCAGGGTCTGGGAGGCTTTTCCATTTGGAGCTGAGGCAGGAGTGGTGGTGGGGGCAGCAACCGGAATGGGAGCGGCTTTGGGAGCTGCTGGCAACTTGGGCTGATCCTTCTGATGGCGCTGCTCGAGTTCCTTGAAGACATCCGAATGGAAGGTGGACACACTGAATGGCGAGTTGTCCGTGGAAGTGGCACTAATCTGGGAGACAGCTGGTTGCCTTGGCTGTTGGGCGAAGTTGGTGCTGGCCTGAGCCTGGAGAGCGGCGGCGGCTGGCTGGGCATTCACGTGGACAACATGCTCGTTCGGGGCCTGATTGTACTGGCTGTAGGTCACATAGTTGGCCGAGGGGGGCACCGGGGTCACCACCATCACCTTCTGACCATGGGTGGACTCGGCATAGACGGGAGGCTGGGGCGAAGCCTCGCTGGGGAAGCTGGAGAAGTGAGACTGTTGCTGCTGGTTTCCGGATGGAGAGCTAGCGGTTATGTAGTGTCCCGACACCGTGGGACCCAAGTTGGGGGCGGGCACATCATGGATCACTTCATTGCGAGTGCTGCTGTAGGCGAATTGCTGGTGCTGTTGCTGCTGCTGGTATTGCTGCTGAGGCAGGGGGGAATTCTGGACAGGATTGTGCACCGTCTCGGTGATGTGTTGCTCGAACTTGGGAATAGACTTCAACAGCTCGGTTTCCTTGGACGGCTTGATGTCGAAATAGCTGAGGCTGCTTTGGTGGTGTTGCTGCTGCTGCAACTGATGTTGCTGTTGCGGTTGCTGCTTCTGTTGCGAGTAGTATTCTGGTGGGGGAGTTGGCGAACGTACCACAAACTGGGGCTGTTGCACGAACTGGGGCTGACGCACGAACTGATAAGATTGCTGCTGCTGTGGCAGCTTCTGTTGCTGCTGCGGCTGATACAGTTGCTTCTGTTGCTGTTGCTGGTAGTTGACGTTATCCAGTTTTACGGGCAGTGGCAGAGGCTTGACCTGGGCAGCCGGGGCAGGTGTGGGCCTGAACTTAACGGGCTGGTATGGCGCTGGAGTGATACTCTTTGGCGGAATAGTTGGGAAGAATGGCACCTGGACTTGCTTGTTGGGTGGCTTCTGGTATTGCTGTTGCTGAGGTGCCTGTTGCTGCTGCTGCTGTTGCTGGTGTGGCTGCTGCAGATGGGACTGCTGGTGTGGTTGCTGCTGATGTGACTGCTGATGCGACTGCTGATGTTGCTGGTACTGCTGATTGTGGTTTATGTAGTACTGAGACTGTTGCACCAACTTGTTGAAAATCGTCTGCGATGAAGTAGACGGCAACTGTTGCTGAGTGATGCTAGGACGCTGCTGCTGCGGTTGTTGCAGTTGTTGCACTTGTTGCTGCCCTGCTGGCTTGGGGTAACTGGGCGGAGGACCAACCAGAGCCTGCGGTGGCCTGAAGTAGTTGTTGCTATGCTGGACCGGCAGTTGCTGCTGATGTTGCTGGTGTTGATAGTTGATGCCCGACTGCTGGTAGTTTCCGAACAAGTGATTCGCAGAAGGGCCGGATCCCCGAGCAAAATTGCTTTCCCTCCCGTAGTCCGCACGGGTGTTGCTCACCGATGGTGGAAGAGCCACCACTTGTCGCTGGATACTCTCGGCATCGTGCTCCTCCAGAATGTGCCCGGTTTGATGTTTGTTCTCCGCTCCAAAGGACACGTGAATGCCCGAGTTGCTGTGGAACTTTTCAGAGTCCGGGTGAATAATGGTCCTCAGCGTGGTGGACTTGACGGGGGGCAGTGGAGTAGCCGCGTACTGGATCACCTCCTCCTCCTCTTCCTCCTCCTCTTCGTTGTCATCGTTATTCAACGAGGCGATGGGCGATTCCAGGTGCAACTTGTTGTTCTGATCCTTTTTGTAGTTGACGTAGAAAACGTGGACCTTCTCCTTCTTCTTTTTTTTCTTGGTGACAATGGGCTGGGCCGGCTCCTCGGCCAGAGTTTCATTTGCATCCTTGATGATGATCTCAATGATGGGCTCGGGGGCTTCCAAGTACTGAGGGTACGGGGCATACGATGGTCCAAAGTTATTTGAGTATTGACCTGAAAGGTAAGGATTTTTTAAAATTTGTTTTCTAAATGTATGCACTTGTAGTTACCAATGGCATTTTGTCCATTGTAGAAGCCGGTTTGGGGATAATAGCCTGCCGTGTTGTCGACATAGCCAGTCCTCCGACTGGCCACTTCGGGATACAAATAGCCGGCATTTCCGAAATCGTACAAAGTCCTCTTGCCACGATTATCGCCCGGCTTCAAGGCCTTGGACTGTCGCGTAGCTTTGGTTGTCGAAGTTGGCTCTTTGGTCGGCTTCTCGGCCTCAACTTTGGACTTTTCCTCGGTCTTTGGTTTCGCCGTGGTGGTGGTGCTGGTCGTGGAGGATGAAGCTGCCACCACTCCTATGGCCAGCAGCGTCAGCGCCAACTGCAAATTGAAAAGAAAGTTTTGTGTTAGTGCAACTGACAAAAAGCAAACAAAAACCAAAAATAATTTAATTAAAAATTCGTGGAACTCGGATTAAATTTGATTAGGTCATACGGGTAAGAAGATAAAGATCTGCCTTGAAAGCGAAATTAATTTTTTGTCGGGAAGCTGTTAAAACTCTAACGAAAAAATTTGAAAATCTGAAAGATGCCGTAAATCTTGGAGATAAAAGTTACACCGTGATTCCTGTAAACAAATATTTTAATTGATATTTATTTTTTGTTTAGAGGCGACAAGGTCGAGACCCCGACAAGAGACCGCATCCAAAAACATACTTTTACCCGGTCGAAATAGAAGATGGCCGAGCAAATTGGTGAATGCCAAAAAAGGCGAATTAAAAACGCAATAAACGCAAACAGCACCAACAAATTAGCCCAACAAATGGTGGACGTGTTTTTGTCTATTTCGGTTTTGCATTGGGTCAATGTCAAGTTGCGGCTGAGATGGCTAACGAGACGGAGCCGGAGATTGGGATGAAAATATGGAGAGGCTGGAGATTGAGATGTCGACCGCAGAATTGACACACCGCCAGCGTGATGTGTTAAAGGCAAGGCTCGACCTCAAGTCAAGCATTTCGTTTCCGACTCGATTTGCGATATGGTTAATCAGGGAATTGCTATGGCATTGAATCATCACCAGTTGCTTGGCGGAAAAAGCAGTACACAGCACAGCCTTTATATTTTGTTGCTTTTGTTTAGCCGTGAAAGTTGCCATGAAGTGCGGCGACGAATTTCAATTGACCGGCCCCGAATAGCACCGAAGTCTCACCAGTGAGCCAGTTTCTGGGCCACGCCCACGCAAAAATGCCAAAAGCTACAGAAATGGAAAACTCAATTCTGTTTCACAGCGCGACTCTTCAATTTTTCTTTTCAAACTTTCCAAAACTGCACCTGGACTGCAAATGTCAGATGAATGGGCGGAGTGTGTGGGCGCGCTTGACATTTGATTTGTATCTATATAATAAAGAGTACGCGTACGAATATAACACATTTTGATGGCTTTAGCCGAAAGTGAAGTGAAAATAATACACACTCGACCGACAATGAGAGTTAACCCACTATAAGACACAGAAAGAAAACAGCAATTTGTTTATTGTTTACGGGGCCTTTGAAAAATGTTTAAGAAATGATTAAAAGTACTTTTAATTGTAAAAGAATACGAATATTAAAACCTCTTTTTAATAAAGAGAATATATTTTTCACACTTTTATTGAAAATAAACACCCAGTTGTATATATTTCAGTGTATATATCATTTTCTGTCTGTCGATCGGCATCGGTGGCGTATCTCACGGTAGTGTTAGCTGATTATGGCATCTACAAGGCATTGTTTTTGGGCCTCATCCATGTACCAGCATATCCCGCCCAGTGTCATGTCAAAACGGAAGCTGGTGAGACCGTGTTTTGACAGCTCTTGGGACAGCCCTACTGTCTGAGTTCCTTTTGTGTTCGCATTGTTTTCACATTTTATACTCGTTTTTTTCAACACGCATTTTGACAGCTTAATGACACTATTTTTAATTGCAATTATGATGTGCAGACTGCAGTCGGTTGGTCGGCGTAGTGATGTCACTGCGATACACTCACTTTTTTCGGCTTAATTTCGTTTTTTGGGGGGAGGAGGTTATGCCATAACCTTTGTGAGCCACATAATATTTACTATATGCTAATCAAAACCCACACAAACAATGCGATTATTCAATAGTGACTTCCCAAAGAAACTGTCACATTACCATACCGGTGACCAGTTAGATGAACTGACCTAACCCTTTGGCTATGCCCAGTGCGACTCCAGACTCGAGACTCAAGACTCGAGTGTGTTTGTCCAGTAGTCGATCCCCCAAAGAAAGCTCACACACTCCGCTGACCACATACAATGAGTAAATGTCAAAGATTTGCCAAAACAAAGCCAAACACACTCCATAAAGGAAACAAAAACTGAAAAATGAAAAACAAAATGTATATATGGTAACCGAAAAAAAAAACCAAAAGAAATAATCAAATCAACAGCACCATCGACAGCGCGAACAGCCAAAAGCAGTTCATGAAAAGAAAGATGCTAACAATGGGAGAAAGTTACTGAGTTGCTGAGTAAAAAACCATCAAAAATCATCTCATCTCGAGCTGAAGCCAGAGCCCCAAAAATACTCGACAGCTGAACTCGCACATTAACATAACGAAAATGTTTACAAGCCAATAAATCTGATGTCAGCCGGCAACAGTTTTCCTCCATTTGGCCAAAACAGAGAATTATGCAACCGAAATATTCATTAATAAAGTGAAGAAGACAGCCAGACAACCTGACAGAAATCTTTTGGCAAGCATTTAGTGGGCAGGTGTAAATCAAGTCCAGTCTGGGTGCTGTGCTGACCACTCTCCTGATGCTAACTGCTGCTGTTGTGTAATGTCCTAAATGTTGTAAATGTTTTTGTTGGGGGATGGTCATAGAAGTCATTGCGATAAACCAGCGCCATCTCCAGCATCGGCAGCGGCACCGGCTTGAAGCTAACAAGCTGACCGCAGGACTAACAACTTGTGGCATGTGGCTAAGTGAGCCGAGAGTGGCAGCTACAACTGCCTGTTTACAAGCGGCACGTTTTTGCGGTTGGTTTTTCGCTTTTTGGTGTCCAACGATTTGCCAAGTGAAATCTGCTGGATGAATGAAACTAGTCGGGTAAGTGCAACTGACAAATTGTCCGGAGCGGTTCTCATGTAAATTGTGTTTATTTTTTCGACTGCAACTGGCACAAGCACATCATAACCAGGCCCAGACAACCCGGCCTAGACAAAAAAACAACCCGGCTAACTGCAATCATGCAATCATATGCACTTGATGATGAACAGTTATGATATGTGCCAGATGATCTGCCATTGTTTGGCCTGCCTCTGTCATGGGAGTAGATTGCAGATACTCCTCTGACACGGCACTATGTACTGCTAATTCTGGCCACCAACATGAAAGTCATCTCTGTGAGAAGTTTAGTTAAGAATCGCAACTTGTCTGCAGGCCAATTAGCCGAGTGGATGGTAAACGTCAGTCATCGCATAACATTATGCAAAGGTTGCAGACAACTTTAATGTCCACAGAAATGATATGCCAGCATTGAGAACACTGGGACAGCCCACACATAAAACAACGTATATAACCGTAAGTGACATCATTTCCTAAAAGAAAAAAGCTGAAAGAAATAAACTGAAGCGGATGTAAATAATGCGTCACTTTCGCGTTTCGTTTTCGCGCAAAATTGCCAACAATCGGGTAAATCCTTATAATTAAATCCCAGGCCCTGGTTGCATAAGCCATGGAGATCGAGACAGCTGTCCAAATGGAATAACTGTACCGCAACCAGCCAGATACCCAGTCAGACAGCCGGCAGGAATGAAGAAAGGAAGTGCCGAGCTCAAATTGAGGTGTAGAAAATGTGCGACTTGCGAAAACAAACGAAAGACTCAAGCGACAAACTTGGCGTGCGAGCACAGCGTCTCGATTCGCTCAGCCGAGTTAAATGGTGTAAAAAAAAAAGAGCCATGTACGAAAATAAAACATTTATCGTTTTCATTCCGCCGTCATTGTGTTTTTTAGAAGTGGCATACACCGCCGCCAACGAAAACGGAAGTAAGCGACACACCGCCGCCACCCGGGAAAATGTGGACCAGGCCATAAACACTTTCGGCGGGGGGGTGCCTCACTTCATTTCAGTTCAGATAACGCCAAAACGATGACGGCTAAGAGAAACAAAAGGTGAAAAATATGATGAATTATTAAATGAGATGAAAAATGAAAGTGTTTTTATGCTGCTTCTGCGACTGTGGCGGGTTAAAAGTACACAACAAAAAAAATAACAGAGTGCCATTGTATTTAAACTGAAAATTAATTTATATACAAAAGCCTTGTAAAGCTAACATTTATTTTATAAACTATATTTTGATATATTCTATACAAATATTTTATTTTTATGCAAAGTTTTTGTTTAGAAGAAACTAAAGAAATACAAGATTTCCATAACAACCTAATAAAAACTGGTTTAATTAAGGAAATCTATCATATAATGGTGCTATAAATTTGTAAGTTTACGAACAAGATAAAAAATCTTATAGGAATATAAAATAAATGACAACTTTGCCCCAAAACATAGCTATTACTTTTTTCCGTGTGTATATAGAGCCCCAACGTGACATGGATTGGCCCCGAGAAAGCTTGGCGGATGAAGAAGGTCCACCTGCCGACAAGTGGCAACTTTTGGAGTTCCGTGCGTGCTCAGCGGGTGTGGGAAGTATCTCTGGGCTGAATCTGAACAGCGGCGGGTTGGACCTGTGCGTGAGCCCCGCCAGCAAAGCTGATCTGCATAATGGGCACTACTGGCAAACGATGGGAGATGAGGCTGTGCACACTTTGGAATCCGTTGCATGCCGAACAAATGTAAAAGTTGTCCGACCACTCCAAGGGATCTCGACTACAAATGGGCGAGCTCTCGAATTGATTGCAGGCTTTTCCTCATTCGAATAAGAGCGCCAGCAATTGTGACAACCGCGGGTCTCAATTGTAATTTGACCAACTTCTTGCAGCCAGCATTTCACTTTGGCAGCATAATTTATGCAAATACATATCTAGTTGCTGTTTGCAATCTTTACAATCTTTGCAATGTGTCAATTGCAAATTACTCAGTAATGAGTGAATTGAAATGCAATCGAACAAACATTGCGTATGTGACAAATGCAACAAAAAAAGCAACACTAACGAGTTATGCAAACGACGACAAATCAAGCAAATTAGCTGGTAAGACACGAATGACCAGGCACTGCCCATGTTTGCCACCGAGTGGCAACAAAACAATTGGATAGCGCAAATATTGCCACCGAAAGGAGGCGAAAACGTCAGCAGAAACAAAAGACTTAGGCAACGAACTCGTGCCACCAAACGAAAGTTAAATCCTAATTTAGCAGCCACCAAAGATGGAATGGGCTGCAAAAACCAATCAAATGATACAATCCCAAATTAACTAACCAATTTCTGTTGAGGGCGGTCAGTGGCAGGTCGTCTTGCCTGTTTTTATGGCTCACTTTTAATTACTTAACCTAAGCGATCAGCAAGGTCGTTGCATAAAATAAATAAAAATCAAATAAACAATCGGTAACCCCTGGAAGAGAAGACATGCATAAATTAAACAGATCGGGTCGAGACTCTAGCTGCTGATAGCCACAAAATATTTACACAAATAGCCCAGCCGGAACCACGATGAACTCTGGCCGCATTCACGACCGTTACGCAATGCTCTCTTTTGCCTTCTCATCGCCAGTGAAATGTTTTTTTTTGTATTTTTTTTTGGGGGATAATTAAAAGCGCCTAACATGTTAACGCCACAAATTAGTAGACTAGCTAAACGACATCCGAACAATTTCAAATCATCATTAATAATCAGGGGGACGCGGAGGATGGGAATGCGTGTAGTCAGTGCATTCAGAGAGAAGCCGGCCACTTGGGCAACATTTAATTAAATAAATATCCTCCGCGGATGACCACTGACCACTGCGGATACTTGCTGTAATTGTGAGTCGAACACAGAAATTGTCTGCGGTCGAAAACCGCATTCCAAAATATGAATTTCGTGTGTCGCCGCAGTAGCAACCTCATCGTGGATCTGGCGGATGGTACATTCACATTTGGCCAACCAAAAAACTGGCTGCTAACAACTCGTCTTCAATTGCAAAAGTTTTCCTTTTTTTCCTCGTATTTATATATTTTGTTGTTTTCGGGGTTTTCGGTGGCTGGACAGCAGCAGTCAGCGCATCTCTCGATTTCGATCCCGGCAAGGAAATAATTGAACTGGAAGTGAAAGGTGCATTCCTTCTCGATAAAATACAACATCGCAGGGCTGCACTCCGAAATTCATAATAAATCCAAATTCGAATCCAAAGTCCCAAAGAAGACGAAATAAATCCAATCAACTTTCTACACTCCAAGCACCCAAATGGCCAGTTTGCATGCGTGCAGCATATTAAAATATGCTCAACCTCGGCCTATTTGGGGAAATACTACTACGACGAGCCAAAAGCAGGTGTCGTGAATAGCCGCTGGTCAAAAGCCCCGGCCACAGAAAGTCAAAATAGCTAGCCAAATAGCCAACCTAGCTATTCTTCTTGCCCCAAAACAAATATGCTACATGACAATCAGCATTTTCTTTCTTTCATTTTCATGTGCTCGAAAATTAGCCGTGAAATGATTTCCTTAACAATTGAAATAATGATTTTCTGGGCCAAACTTTTTACTCTTTGGCATTTATTTACTTGCCCAATTGCAATAGAAGTTCAATAAACGAAGTCACTTGTGTATGGCTTTTGTAAAGGTTACACACACATCCCATTATTTCATGATCCAAATAGCAATCGCTAATGATCATCAAGGGGATTTTTCGGCTGCAAAAGTTTAGAGTCATCTCTGGTTAGGTTTTGCAAAAGCCAAAATCTGATGGCCATTTGGCTCCGAGATGGTTTTGAAAGGCGACGAAGGCGAATACGAATACGAGTATGAGTATGGGTATAAAAAAAAGATACAGATACAAAGGCAGAGATTGAAAGGAGGACAGTTCCAGATGTGCTTGGGGTTTCATGTTGATTTTGTTGATGATGCAGATGAAGATGTTAAATGAGCTCTCTGACAACCAGCTAGCCCCTCCAGCAATTCTACAGCAGGTGGCTGATTGCATGTGATTTGATATTGCAAAAGGGATGTGATTGTGTAAATAATGGGTTGTACTGGGGAAGGGGGGAAAATTGGATTTTTCTGATGAAAAATAATTGATTTTCTGGTGATTTCAATGTCTGAAGTTGAATAATGATTAGGGTAATGAGCTTTGCTTGGTTTTATTCAATTTGGTACCCAAGATCTAATTCCTTAAACCAATCAAAAAATCCCTTATCCTACAAAAAAGATAGGCCCTGAAATTTGTTCAATAACTCGGGTATTTGTTTATCCAAAGAAATGTGCAAATCCATGGTAATGCTAACAAGGTTCGGGAAAACAATGAGACTATTTGCAGACGGAGCACACACATGTGCCATGCGCATCTCATGGATACGGATCAGATCCATGAGATATGCCGACATTTCTTCGCGTAACAAGTGCCAAGTTGAAGTGTCAGAGTCGCAGGCAGCCAGCCAGTCCGGAAGGCAATTTACACTTGGCTTACTTCGCTCCAGAGCAAGCTCTAGGGCTTCGTTTTCTGGCCCGCCATGTAATGACACAATTTGTCAATGTCAATGATGGGGAAAAGGTCGCCAGCTGGAGTGCACAGGCCGCAGGTCAAGCAAAGCATCAACACCTCGAATTTTAAGATTAACGAACCCATATGGTTACATAATTTTCCACTTTATTTTGGGGTTTTGCCCCTAAATAAACCATCCACTTACCAGCAATGGCAGAGTTCTCATCGCGACAGGATGTTTATTGTAATCCGGAGTTCCTTGAATTCGGCTGCTAAAAAATTAAAATTTTATAAAATCAGCACACGCGAAAAATATGAAAATACAAAATCAAATTCAATGATGCACTGCACCCACTTATTTTCTGGCAATTATCCTTGGACGCGAATCAGGATAACGGTATAATCACGGAGTGGCACGCGCGGAGCAGTCGTTGGAAGAGCAACCAAGCCGAGTCGCTGCCGAATTGTAACTGAAACTTGAAACCGTCTGCAGGCGTCAAGTTGGCCAAAACGAAGACGACGGCCTGAGAAGAAAAGAGAGAAAACCAGCCGAGAGAGTTGCGGCCCGAAGACGACCCTCGTTTAGCTCATGAGCTTTACGGTTCAACTTGATGATTCCAATACCAGATTCAAGTATTCTCAATCATAAAGCATCGAAAGTGAATCTGGGATATGCCATCGATTTTACTTTCAATGGCAAATGCTTCAGTTTCAGCTTCAGATCCAGCTTCGGCTTCATGTCCGTAGAAATACTCGTAAAAAGAGAGTAAAAAGTGGTAACCGCATTTCTGCCGCCAACTGGAGCTATTGAACATTAACAATTGTCTCGGCAATGTGTGTTAAAATCGCCGGCAAGCTGGCCGACAAACAAAAAGGCCAAAAGTGGCCACATTAAGAGAGCCACGCCAAAAATATAATGCTCGTGCTGGAAGAAATACAAAAATAAAACAACTTGAAAAAATTGGAAAACAAAAACACAATCGACGACCTAATGAACAGCTTGTGCAGATTTCGGTGGCTCTTAGCTCTTGGCTCTGGTTTTATGGCTCCTTGGATTACAAGCGATTTGACAAGCCAGACAAAAGAGTGAAAGGAAATGCAAACCGTTTTGCAGTTCGGGATTATAATAATACAACCGTTCTTATGCGATTAAACTTGGAGTGTTATTTTAGGTCAGTTGGCCACAAAACTAAGCCAGAATATTTAACGGAAAATTATGCAAAAAGACAAGAGATTCTGTCTTTAGCAGAACATGTATATTTTAAAATATTTTAGCTTAAAAACTAATGTTGTTTCCGTCAAAAATAATGTATACAAATTTATAATTAATGCTCATAGCTATATTTTACACCCTTGAAAAGCTTATCAAATTTGTCTACCCACTTTAAACATGTTATTAATGATCTTAAGTTTATGAGCAAAAATCAAGAAAAAATAAAAAGTAAAAAACAGAAAACGTGTCTTTAAACTCTTGAAAAGTATTGGCCAAAAAGTATGTATCTCTAATTAGTTTTTCCAGGAAAAAATATACATTTTAACAATAAACAAATAAATGCTGTAGTTATTAACAACAACAAAATGTAATTCCCCTCATCATATTCCCAATGTTTACAAACAAAAGTGTAACCAATCAAAAAAAAGAAAACATACTCGGTTGTCTTTGATGTCTGCATATTAGACAAAAAAAAATAAACAAAAATATATTTTTTTAAATATATTTTAAACAATTTTCGGTCTGGCTGTACAACTAGTTGACTTGATAAACATTTAACGGCCATAAATTGCGAATTCGCCACACACAGTTGCACGCACAAAAGCCATTATGGCCAAATCAAGTATACGCAGTGTGGCGCGGGACAAGTGACAACAAGATATTTTTGCCGTTGCTGTTGCTGTTGCTCTTACTGTTGCCGCTGCAGTTGCAGTTGCATGTGCAGCAAATGGAGATGAGTTGTGCTCCACAGCTGGTCATGGCCAGACAATTTGCAGTAACCGAAAATCAATGACCGACCGGTTTTGCATAGGCTTTCGGTGTTGGATGGTTGTCGATGGTAACGTAACAACTTTCGCTGAAACGTCATTCACAAAAGCAACAACAACAACAACAGCATCAGTAAGCCAAATGGCAAAAGCCAGGCCAGAGATAAAGCCACGATATCATCACAAGACAATGATGAAGCAGAAGAAATTCAGTTTCAGTGTCGCCTTTGCCTTCGACTTTGGCTTTGGTCTTTAGACCTAGCCTTCTCCCAAGAAAGCCATTCCCTGGTATTTAGACCAGTTTGTATCGGGTTTTGCATTTTTTCGTCCAACTTTTGGTTTTGGAAGTGAAAAAATCGGAAGTGCAGCCGGCACGCCAGGAAAGCAAATCATTTGAATAATTGAAATCCACTTGCACTGCAATTAAGAGCATAAAATTAAATGTTTGCGTTTCTACACTTTCGATGCGGGACCCCGGCTCCAAAGTCACACAAAAACGAATGCAATGAGCTTGACTTGGCTCAAATTGCCGGAAAATTTCATTTGAATTGTTCGACTGTCCGGCTGTCTATATGTCTGTCTTCCAATCGGTTTCGGACTCACTCTCATCTGCAAACATGCTTCACATTGGAATGGACTGCAGGTCCGGAGCGGAAGTTGTTAAAAGCCTTTCGAGAAATGCAAATGGGGCAATCTCACGCACAAGGCCAGCGGTTGGGCCGACTTTGCCCTCGGGACTGGACATTCTCAGGGTCCGAGTCCCGCATAAATAACTGTTGGTTAAAGACCCAAAAGTGCAACCGTTAATTGCCTCACAAATGGGCTAACAATTCCCATAAATGCAACATGGAAATGGCATGTCTGACAACAGTGTTCCAAATGTGACAAAAACTGCATGTCCTCAGCAATTGGTCAACAGTTTTAGGATGGCTTCACAAGGGCTTATAATTATAATTATCTGTTGCTGCCTGGTTCAGTTGGAAGCCACACTTTTCAATATGACCAACTCCAGAGAGCTTGAAAGGAAGGAAAGATTAATTCGTTTGCTGCATCGCCTTCGGCTGGAGGAGGATTTTAATACCTTGCTAGTCTACGGAAAGGACTGCTTGTTTCATTCTCTGCTAGAACCCTTGAAGATACCCTCGGTGATTGTGGCTTCAAGTGGCCCTAACTTTGATTGGAATTTTAGTAGCTCCACACTCATACTTACTTGTGAAGCAGCTGGAGAAGTGGAGGAAAGTCCACAAACTCTTCAAAAGCTACAAAGAAGCCGGTATCTTGTTTTAATCGCACAGGAAACACATCCGGAACTTGTTTGCAAGGACTATAACCTGAAGGAGCTGTTTAATGTAGCCATGGTTAAGCCAAACTTTGATCAAACGGATGTCATATACTCATGTCGCTTTTTTCAAACCCCAAACTATGAGAAAGTTAACTTCTTCGAAAACAAACCTATCTACATCGAAAATTTTCAAAACATGAAAGGATTTGGTATAAGAACCGTGGCCGACTCAATGCCACCCAGAACTATAAGATATGTAGATCCAAACACCAACCAGCTGAAGATGAAGGGCTACCTCTCACATTTGTTGAACACCTACAACGAGAAAGTAAATGCTACACTGGAGTTCTTAAATCTCTCCAAGAAGGCCACCATACAGGATATTTCGAGAATGGCAGTTGAGGGTGTGTTGGATATTGCCACTGGTGTGGGCAGCTCCTTGCAGCACTCAACGATGGACACCATCTCCTATCCCTACTTGCTGACCAGCTACTGTCTGATGGTGCCCAAGCCAGCCAATGTACCCTTCAATCTGGTGTACTCAATGATAGTGGATCCGGTGGTGTTCAGCATAATTCTTGCCCTGTTTTGGATTTTCTCCGTTCTTCTAATCTTTACCCAGAATCTATCCTGGCGGGGACTGAGTGTTTCCAATCTCCTCTTTAACGACAAAAGCTTGCGAGGTCTTCTCGGCCAATCGTTTCCACTTCGGAACAATCCCAACAAACACCTTAAGTTGGTGATATTCCTCCTGTGCTTTGCCAGCGTAATGATAACCACAATGTACGAAGCCTACCTGCAATCCTTTTTCGCCAGGCCACCTTCTGAGCCTTTTATTCGCGACTTCCCAGACATAGCCAACTTCTCGCACATCATGTCCATCAGTAGAGTCGAGGCCAACGTCCTAACAGGCGCCAACAATGTTCATTTTCGTGAAATAAACAAGGATCAGCTACTGATATACGATAATTGGACCGAATACCTGAGCTTAAGGGACTCCTTGAAAACTAATTTCATATTCCCCGTCACTCTGGATCGCTGGGAATGCTTCGAGGAGCAGCAGAAGCTGTTCGCCAAGCCCACCTACTACTTGGCCCATAACCTTTGCTTCACCCAGTTCATGTTCTTCAGTGTGCCGCTGAGAAAGTACCTACCCCATCGCCATCTCTTCGAGGATCACATCTTGCGGGCACATGAGTTCGGACTGGTCAAGTTCTGGAAGGCTAGGAGCTATTTTGAAATGGTCGAAGCGGGCCTGGCTTCCCTCAAGGACCTAAGCCAGAAGCAGAAGCCACAGAGTCTCTTGTTGGAGGACATTTCCCGGATTCTCAAAGTTTATGCATGTGCCATATTGCTAAGTATCTGTTTCTTTATACTGGAAGTTTTCGAATACGGAAGAGTATTTAAACGTTTCTGTAAATTTGGCAGAAGATAATTTGTGAAAATTGCTTAAGAATAAAATATTTTTTAAATCTCCTAACCCTGTTGCCTAATCCCTACTAATACTTCCTTAAACTCTTTTCTACCCTAATCTCGACTCCCAACTCTTTCAAAGGGAACATAAAGATTGCATGACCAAACATAATAAAATATTCCAATTCCACAGAACAAAACGTGGCAATCTATGGAATTTTAGAACAGTTTCATTATGTCCGTGGCTTGGTTGGTTATTGTTCTCTTGGGATTTTCCAGTTCGAGTGGTAATTTCTTGGAAATTCTCGATAAAAATCCCAACGACCATAACCTAGAGAAATCATTACTATCTCTGCTCGTAAGATTGCATAGAGAGGAACCCTATGACATATTGCTTATCTATGGCAAGGACTGTATTTTTCCATCTCTTTTTGGAAGCTTAATAGCCCCCGTGGTGGTGGAATCTTCTGAAAGGCCTATAGTTGAATGGAATTTCAGCAGAATGGCACTGATACTTCTCTGCCACTCTGCGATGGACATGGAAAACAAAATACCACAACTTGATTTTCGTGATAAGCTACAAACTAACCGTAGGCTGATTCTAATCAAAGATGATACAGATCCTGAAGAAATATGCGAGTTAAAGGCCGAAAAGGAACAACACAACGTGGCTATGGTGAGACCAGACCTCTTTCAAACAAACATCGTATATTGCTGTCGCGAATTTCACGACCCCTATGTTCATGAAATCCATCTGTTAGGCAGTGAACCTGTTTATATTGAGATTTTTAGTGATATGCAAGGTGACGAAATGATAATCATGGGATCGGAAGTGCCTCCTGCTTCGATGCCTTATGTGGACCCAAAGAGTGGAGAAAAAAAAATGAAGGGCTACTGTGCCAATGTAGTTACCAACTTTGCACAGAGAGTAAATGCGACTTTGGAAGTTCTATCATTAGGCCATAAATTCCAATTCACAGACATTGCAATACGGTTGGCGAAGGGATACCTGGACTTTGCCATCATCGAGACATCTCCTAAAACTGGCAGCGATTTCAATATCGCTAGTTATCCGTTTTTGGTAACCAAATACTGCATGATGATGCCGTTACCAGAGAAGATACCCCACAATATTATTTACGTGATTATATTGGATCGTCTAGTGGTTGGAATTATATTTGTTATGTTCGTCCTTCTATCGATTTTGATCATCTATAGTCGGACTAAGTCGTGGCAAGATCTTAGTCTGGCCAACATCCTGGTGAACGACGCAAACCTGCGGGGGCTCTTGGGTCAATCGTTTCCATTCCCCGCCAATTCCAACAGACACATGAAACTAATTTTCTTTATCCTGTGCTTTGCCAGCATCATAATCACCACAATGTATACCGCCTACCTTAATGCCCTGTTTACCCATCCGCCATACAGACCACTGATTCAGACCTTTGAAGACCTAAAAAAGTCTAATCAAAAGATAGCAATTACAATGGATGATATCAGGTTCCTAACCGCTAGGGAAAATGTCATTTTTCTCAAAATAAGCAAGGATAACTTACAGATCCTTGAGAGTTTGGAGGAGTTCATACGTATCCGGGACACATTTAACACCAGTTATGGCTATTTGGTATCGGAGAACCGATGGAGCATTTACGAGGAACAACAAAAGACATTTAAGGAGCCCTTATTCTACTTTGCAACGGATCTCTGTTTCTACAGAACGATATTTACATCCATTCCCATGAGACGCGACCTGCCCTATCGCCATATCTTTGAAAACCACATTCTGAGTCAGCACGAGTTTGGATTGGTTGATTATTGGATAAAGAGAAGCTATTCTGAAATGGTAAAATTGGACTTAGTTCCCCACAAGGATCTGAGCCCATCCAGAGATGTGAATGCCAGTATAGAGCTCAACGATATTTCCGGTATTTTAACTCTGTATGTTAGCGCCATGGTTGTCAGTATTTTGTGCTTTTTCCTGGAGATCTGTATCAAACGGAAGTCGTGTTTTCGTTTATGGAAGTGGAGGAAATCACGAACATGAACGCGACATTTAAATATTTATCAACGACCTTCACAGCAATGTTAACACGAAAGTGTCATGCCTCGACAAAATAACATAATCCTTCAAAAAGGTTGCACTTCATGGCGTTTTCCATTAGTTTCAGGATGTCTCTGACAATACTGGTCATTATTCTCATTTTTTGTGTGCAAACAAATAGCTACTCAATAGACTTATCCCATCAAGATGAACAGGATGCGGAAGGAAACCTTATACCCCTGCTTTTAAGATTGAAAAATGAAGAATTCTTCGATAATGTGCTTATCTATGGCGATGATTGCATCTTTCACACTCTTTCCAAGTATATGGAGTTCACTGCTGTTTTGGTGTCTTCAGGTAGCACCAATTTTGATTGGAACTTTAGTAGCCAATCACTGATTCTTATTTGCGGATCTGAAGACGACAAGGAGCAAAACTATCGCACTCTCATGAAGCTACAAAGGAGCAGACGCTTGGTCTTTATTAAAAATAACTCCCAAATGGAGGATGTATGCAACAACTATTCAATAAAGGAGCAGTACAATATAGCCATATTGAGGGACGACTTTGATCCACTAAAAACCATATATTCTTGTCGATACTTTCCCAATTCCAGTGTCGAGGAAATAAGCCTATCAGCAGGTAAGCCGATTTATATTGAACAACTTCGAAATATGCACAGGAAAAGCATCAAAGCCATGACAGATGGCTTGGCCCCAAGATCATTGATTTATTATGACGAGAAGAGTAAGAAACTAAGAGTTATGGGTTATGTTGCCATGCAGGTTATCAATTTTGCAAAAAGGGTAAATGCTACTTTGAAAATGGCTACCCTGGGTAATCATACCGATATATTGATCATCAAGAAGTTGGTACTCGAAGGACAACTGGATTTCGGCATACTTCCAGAGACTTCTCTGTTCATCAAACATTTTGATGGAACAAGTTACCCCTGGGCCTTATCTTCGTACTGCCTAATGATGCCGGTTCCAGAAAAGATACCCTACAATATGGTTTATGTGATGATAGTGGATCGCATGGTAATTGGAATCATAGTTGTTTTATTTGGCCTGCTCACCATGTTGGTGATCTTTAGCAGAAGTTTTTATAGGCACGATCTCAGCCTAGCCAACGTCCTGCTCAATGATAAGAGTTTCCGCGGTCTCTTGGGCCAAACTTTTCCATTTCCTGACAATGCTGGCAAGAAAATGAGGCTTGTTTTCGTGATTCTGTGCTTTGCGGGTATAATGTTCACCACAATGTATAACGCCTATCTGAACTCTTACTTTACAAGTCCTCCATATGGACCTCATGTTACGTCCTTTGGAGAGTTGGAGAAATTCAACCAGAAGGTAGCATTCAGCGCCGTGGAAATGAAACTGTTGGCCACTTTGAACAGTTCCCGCTACAAAAAAATACACGACACTGACAAAATAATATTCCCAGATTGGAAACAGTTTTTGAGTTTGCGCGATAACTTCAACACCAGCTATGGCTATCCAGTCACCGAAGATCGCTGGGGCTTGTACGAGGAGCAGCAGAAGCTCTTCAAGGTGCCCAGTTTCTACTACGCCAAGGACCTTTGCTTCACCCATATGCTGTTTATGTCCATTCCCCTGAGACCCCTCATGCCCTATCGCCATCTCTTTGAGGAGCACATGCTTAGCCAGCAGGAGTTTGGTCTGGTGTCCTACTGGAGGAGTCGCAGCTTTCTTGATATGGTAACTTTAAAGCTAGCCCCCTTGAAGGACCTGAGCCAGCCCAAGCCCTTTTCACCAAGCCTCCTGATGGATGACATTTCATGGGTGATGAAAGCATACTTGGGAGGTATGTTGCTTAGCTTTTTGATATTTTTACTAGAGCTTGGAGGCAACAAAGTTAGTTGGACGCGCTTGCGTGTATTGGGAAAATAAAATACTCCTTGTTAATACAATCACTTGCATTTTTAATGTACTCTCTAATGGCCCCAACAAGTCTCCAAGGGATGTTAACATAAAAAGTGCATGCTTGACCCAATACAGTTAATAAAATAAAAACTGAAGGACTGAATTCATTTTTCAACAGTTTCAAAGTAGTCATGGTATGGTTTATAGTACTTCTGCTGTGTCTTGGAAGGACGAGAGCCCATTTCCCGGAAATACCTGATAGAACACAAGTGGAAGACGAACTGCTGAACTTTCTTTTAAGACTCAAGCATGAAGAAACCTACAACACAGTTCTTGTCTATGGAAAGGATTGTATTTTCCATTCCCTGGCAAGAAGACTTGAGGTTGCCACCGTTCTAGTATCTTCGGGAGGCACAGAATTCGACTGGGACTTTAGCTCCCTGGCCCTAGTGCTCAGTTGTGGGCTGGAAGCCGAGAAGGAGGAAAACTATCGAACTCTGATGAAGCTGCAAAGAAACAAACGTCTGATTTACACCGAGGAGGACATCCAACCAGAGTCTGTGTGCAACAGCTACGCCCTCAAGGATCAGTACAATGTAGCCATAATTAATGTAAAACCTAGTCACTCAATTGTCTTAAACGCTTGTCGCTGGTTTAAAGATCCCAACTACGAAGAGATAGATCTCTACAGCCCCAAACTAGTTTTCATAAATCAGTTTCGAAACATGCATGGGGCTCCAATCCGAACTCTGCCTGACAGATTGGCACCCCGTTCTATGACCTATCGCGATCCAACAACGAACGAGACCAAAGCGATTGGCTACGTGGCCAATTTGGTGAACAATTTTGTACAGAAAGTAAATGCCACCATGGTGATGGACTTGGATGATTTGAAAGACGCCGTATTTTATGGCAACATATCGAAGTGGACACAGGAGGACCTACTGGACGTTGGTATGTCGCTCGATACCACCTGGCGGAAGGTCAACCTTGACACATACACTTACCCGTATGTGGGATGCACTTACTGCTTCATGGTTCCGCTACCACAGAGGGTGCCCTACAGTGATATCTATACGGAAATAATGGACTCCCTTGTCCTTGGCGTGATCCTGCTGCTCTTCTGCATCTTCTCGCTGCTACTGATCTACAGTCAAAGGAAGTCCTGGAGGGGATTGAGCCTTGCCAACCTTCTACTCAACGATAAGTGCCTTCGAGGATTTCTGGGTCAACCGTTTCCATTTTCACTGAACTCCAACCGACAACTAAAGCTAGTTTTCTCTTTATTATGTTTTGCCAGCCTTATGACCACCACCATGTATCAGGCTTATCTGCAGTCCTTTATGACGACGCCTCCGCCAGAGCCCATGCTGGAGTCATTTTGGGACGTGGACCACTCCCGCTATAAAATCGCCCTGAGCAAGGTGGAGCTGGATATGGTCCAGATGACAGAGGGCCACACCATGAAAATACTACACCAGGATCGTCTGCAGGTGTTCGAGGAATTCAATCAGTTTATAAAACTGCGAGAGTCCTTCAATGCCGACTACATTTTCCCGGTCACGGATATCCGCTGGGAAACTTACCGCGAGCAACAGAAGCTCTTTGAACGACCCGTATTTTACTACTCGGATGCCTTCTGCTTGACAAGGTTTTCCTTCTTGGTCTTACCCATACGACGATATCTGCCCTATCGCGACCTCTTGGAGGATCACATTCTGGCCCAAAAGGAGTTCGGCCTGCTGAGGCACTGGATTGAAAGAAGCTTCTACGATATGGTTAAGCTGGGTCTTACACCCCTACAAGACCTAAGCATCCCAGAAGAGGACGACGACCCCATCGACCTGAACGATCTCAAATGGATATTCGCCCTATATTTTGGAGGTCTGGCTCTTGGCTGCATTGGCTTTGTCATGGAGCACTCGTGGAGGCGATACAGGACGTCCACTGGATCATAAATGCTTTTATAACTATACAACATTGAATAATATTTGTATTTGTTAAACATTTCCATATTTTTTGCCCGAATATGCTGAATTAAATTAAAAATTTTCGCTAGCATAGCTAAATTCATTCTGCTCAACCTTCGTCAAAAGCCATAAAACAAACAAAGAAATGTTGAATTGGAATTAGCCACCTCCGCACAATAAATGATAGCGGATATGAAGAAGCTGGGGTTATTGTATGAATAGCAGGGGCTATTCAAATCAAAAAACGGAATGGATTCGAATCATCACATCGGAGCTCCGCGGAGGTTGCCAACATTGAGACAATGCTCAATTTTGGATTTTGATCGATACGCGATATTGATTTTGATGTGGTTTTAAAAGACAATCGGATGTATCTATACATGTCCATCTGCGATCAGTGGGAGATTGTGAAAACCCAATGTGCATTCCAGGCGATACGATGAGTCGACGACCCAGTGAACTGGCCAAATATTTGATGACATCTCACATGATTGGCTCTTACATAAATATGCCCATAAACAGACCACAATGCGGGTGTTTCAGTCGCATTCAGAGTCAGAGCCAGAGTCGGGGATTATGCAAAAGTCGGACCTGCTACCGCCATAAAGCGGCCATAATTTGTGCGATGTCTCTGAGCATATTTAATTCGAATCATAATTTGATTCGTCAATTTGGCGCCACATTTGACGCGTGCTGATTGGACCTAGGGCACTTCTCCAGGGATTGGGGACTGCGGATAGTGGATTGGGTAACCTGGGCCCTCAAGCAACTTAGTGGGTGAGACAATGGCTTGGCATTGTCATTGCCATTGATGTGATATCGTGAAATCTTTCACTTTCGATTCGAAATAGTTGTTAACAAAGTTCCCCCTTTAAACGCGGTCAGACTCTATCTATCATAAATCATGCTGGAAAATACGTATGATAATGTGGCACATCATTACGCTTGCCAAGTGGATCAATTTGTCATGGGAAGTCATCACGAGACTTGCTCCAGCTTTGATCGGATTGGGAACCAATCGCGGCTGACCGATCTGACCTGTACTCATCCCCAGGGACTGACGAAACTGCCAACGCAATCATTCCAATTGCACAACCTTTTGACATTTGGCAAAACAGGGCAAACATTTCGAAGCGAATCGAAAGTAGCCAAATACAAAAAACCCATAATCCATAATCCGTAATCCGTAAAATCTACGGCAGACATTTTTCAATTGCAGTCCCAAATTCTGTTATTATCCGACGCTGACTGCCCATTTCCATTGATGAATGATGATCGTTAAAGTCGACCATTTCTTGGCTGCTTGTGTGATCCTCAGGGCCATTTGGATTTAATAGATTTTTGTGGCTCGAGTCATTACGGCGGCCACCTTAACCACAATAATCGACTCCACGTATGGAACAATGTCTGGCGGTGGTTAAACTGTTTTTCGGTTGTTGTTTTTAACCCTTTTTTATTTTTTTGATTGTACAAGTATTAATGAGACCTCGTTGGGAATCTTCAGCCCCATACTCATAATTGAATAGAGTAATTTTTTAAAATTATTTATCGAGTACTTCTGCTATTTACACAAACCTATTTGTGGACCCTTGACGGTTGGGGGCTGATGGCTGCTGGCTGCTGGCTGGTGGATGCTGTCTAGTGGTTCAATCCGGTTGCGGCTCATATATCGCGTAAGAGCCAACTAATTCGACCTGAGGCCATTAACAATTTCACAAATGTGCTGAAAATGCATATTAAGTTTTCGGGGGCCATATTAATAAAAGAGTATTTCAAATTTAAGAGGTGTTAATTTTTTCAACCGAAGAAACTAATCAGTTTCAATGCCGGATTTTGCTGCACATTTTACAAACTAGTATTTTAAGGTCGCACACACACGAAATGAAATTCCAAAATCTGGTCTAGCCATCCGACCACCATCTCCCGTCACCACTCTTAGGTTTCGGTAACCAATTTTATTTTTTGTTTTTGTGGCGGCTAAACTAAGACAAAGGCTGAAACCGAGCAGGTCCATCCTCTCCAAGACTACAAAGTAATTTATTTCCTTCCTAGTTTTTGTCGCTCGAAGCCATTAAGGGAGTTTTGGCGAAGATTGGCAAAACAGTTGCCACCTTTCAGCGGTTCAGTGGTGCAGCCGTTAACCGGTTGCTTCCCACTGAAACTCCAATTACCATGGCTGAAAAGCACTTTGAACTTTAATTTCACTATTTTCTTGCTCCGCCCGCTGATTTGGCCTGTGGCGTTTCCCGCAGCGACACCAATGCGTATACGTAACGTATTAATTATGCGGCCCAAAGAGCTCGCCACCGTCGCCTCCAACTGGCAGCAATAAAAACTCAGATTCCAATGCTAATTGCCAAAATTAATCACAGCCTCCGAAAAATGGGCACAGACTTGTTGGCATCGTTCCAAAGAATTACCAAATGAAAGTTGCGATGAGAACGCACTGAATCCACCATTTCAATTAGAATTAAAATGAGATTTAGCCAAACAAACCATACTCCGACTCCTACTAGCAACATGTGGTTGCATGTCGTTGCTGGGAGAGCAACAGGTTTTTAATAGGAAACCCATTTGTCTCATTTTAACAACAAACGAACATGCCATTTGTGCATTAAGTGCCACCAAAGGTGTCAAGTGCGCGGCAGGGCAGTCGGTCGGTCAGCCCGGTCAGTCCCTTTCGTTTTCAGCTTAGAGCTCACAACGGTACTCGCGACAGGAAGCTCTATTTGATTTAAATTTCCGCTTTTTTAAGTAATTGCTCTGCCAACTGGGCCACAAAGTGCGTTGGGAGAGAGCTATTGACTTTTTAGTGGTAAATTGCATTCATAATTGAGCGATAAACTAAAAGGTTAAGAGCTTAAAAGCGGTTACTTAATAGATAAGAAATCAATCAAAATGAAAGAGCCAACCGCCATAATTTGTTTTAAGTTGTTGAAAGGTTAATTATATATTAACAAAAGCTTTATGTAGAAAGAAAGATTTTATAGATGTTTATGTTTATATTCCTTCTTTTATAAACCTTTTTGAGCTTCTTATAGAAACCTTTCTAAACTAGACAAATTTTTATAAAATAAATTAAGTATGCCTATGAAAAGCATGGAAAACTGGGAACAGCTACTCAAACATTCAAAAATAATTTTTGCAGATGGTTTAGGGCCCGATTTTAAGCTTAAAAAGCTTCATGATTTCAAATTTGGGCGGGCAACTAGTGCCTATGCTAGTCAACTCTGGTAAGCCGCTGAATGGGACCGTTTACCAGTTATAGAGAATATACCAGAAAGTTAGAGGACTATCTTTAAAAATATAATTAAAATTGAATTAATAATAGTTCAATAAAAATAAAATTATAAAACATATCTATTCAATTTTAATTTGTATTAAGCATTTACATTAATTTAAAATTCAAATGTTGTTTAACAACACTGGTCGCCAGAGCCAACACTGGAAAGCAACAAGCGAAGAGTTCGTTTTTGATACCGTTGTTGTTGTTTAATTGGCGTTATGGGCGGCGAGTCGCGCTTAGAACTAATACCTCCACTTAGTCTAGTTTAAGCCACTCCACACGACGGTGCGCGGCACAAAGCCTTAGGCCAGAATAAACTGGAATCCGTGGGCAACTGAAACCGAAACCGAAGAAACATATGCACGAGAGGTTTACGTATATATGCAGACACTTGTATGTATGTGCTCGCCGTGACAAATGAAGCAGTAGTAGCAGTAGGAGTGGGCACGCGATCCATAGCCACGTCTGCTACATCGGTCCAAGCCACCCACCTGTGCCGGACCCCTTCCCAGTTCCAGTTCCAGTCCGAATCCCACCTCCACTCCAGACACCATGCTGCCTCGGTTTAGATCCTTCTATGGAAAGCTTATTATCTTCATCCTGGTGGCTCTGTGCTTCATCTTGTACAGCAAGGTGCAGCAGAGCAGCCCCAACGAGGAGGCACCACTCCTCCGACCGGCTGCCCTACGTGGCCATGGGCGCGACAGGTTTGAGAGCTACAGCGATAGTGAGAACGAGATTGCCCGGCCTGCCACCCAGTCGCCCTACGAGCAGACCATTCAGCTGGACCTGCAGAAGCAGCGTGTTGGCCTGGGAGAGCAGGGAGTGGCTGTGCACCTGACCGGCGCGGCCAAGGTGCGCGGCGAGGCGATCTACAAGAAGATCGCCCTCAACGAGGAACTCAGCGAGCAGCTGCTGTACAACAGGAGCGTGGGTGACCATCGGAATCCGCTGTGTGCGGCTGAACACTTCGATGCGGACACTCTGCCCACCGCCAGTGTGGTGATCATCTTCTTCAACGAACCCTACTCCGTTCTACTTCGCACTGTGCACAGCACCCTAACCACCTGTAATGAGAAGGCTCTGAAGGAAATCATCCTTGTCGACGATGGCAGTGATAATCCCGAGCTTGGCGGAAAACTGGATTACTATATACGGACGAGGATACCCGCCGGCAAGGTGACCATTCTGAGGCTGAAGAACCGGTAAGTGGAGCACCGAAAACCCTAACCCAAAACCCCAAGCCCACGGGGCTAGGAAAAGTTCAGATATTCCGCTAATCGAATCGTTGGAACGGCATGAACTCATTTGAATAACTTGTTTGCCATGTCAGAAGCATCTTCATTTTGGCCAGAACCGACAAACGTTCACAGACAGCACAAAAGGCTAAAAACTAAAAAATGAAGAGAAAACCAGTTCGTCAAGTTACGATTATGTGTGTTTTTCGGGCTTGGGCCTGACTTTTTGTAACTCACCGACCGACGGTTTCTGCGTGCATTTACACTCGGCAGCATGGGTGCTATGCAGACTCTTTAATGGCCTTACATTATTGACACATTTTTGGGCACTAAAGGTGAAGGTTTAATGGGGGGCTATAGAAACCAGCAGAGCTAGAAAACCCACACCAATCAGAAACCAATAATAGGAAGCTGTTTTGTCTCTGAATTATGACCCATAAATGTGGAATTAGCATATTTTAGCAAACGGAAGCGTTGAGAAAAGCTTGAACCTTTGTGAATATTACTTAGTATTTTATAACTTTGCTTTAAAAATATAAATCTACTTAACTTGATTTTTATTATTTTACAAACCCTGTAAAATAGTGTAAATCGTGCTTGGCACATCATCGAAGTTTTTCGGTTGACCCAATAAATTCTTCTTTGTTTTGGGTTTTTACATTAAGAAATTCCCTTGGCATTGCTAAAGAAAGTTTTTGCCTTTCTCATTTCAGCTTGGGTCTGATCCGGGCCCGACTGGCCGGTGCACGAATCGCCACGGGAGATGTACTCATCTTTTTGGATGCTCACTGCGAGGGCAACATCGGCTGGTGCGAGCCTCTTCTGCAGCGCATCAAGGAGTCCCGGACCAGTGTTCTGGTGCCCATCATTGATGTGATCGATGCCAATGACTTCCAATACAGCACCAATGGCTACAAGTCCTTCCAGGTGGGTGGATTCCAGTGGAACGGCCACTTCGACTGGATCAATCTGCCGGAGAGGGAGAAACAGCGCCAGCGTCGAGAGTGCAAGCAGCAGCGGGAGATCTGTCCGGCTTACAGTCCCACTATGGCCGGTGGATTGTTCGCAATGGACCGGCGATACTTCTGGGAGGTGGGCAGCTACGATGAGCAGATGGACGGCTGGGGCGGCGAGAACTTGGAGATGTCCTTCCGCATCTGGCAGTGTGGTGGCACCATTGAGACGATTCCCTGCTCCCGCGTCGGACACATCTTCCGTGACTTCCATCCTTACAAGTAAGTTCAGAAGTAAAGCCACATAGCTTCCAAATTATCAAAAAACCTCAGGGTGACCTTGGACATTTCAGTTTGATCTCTGATATTAGGTCTCATTAACAAATCTAATTTATATTCTTTTGTAGATTCCCCAACGATCGAGACACTCACGGCATTAACACAGCCCGCATGGCTTTGGTGTGGATGGACGAGTATATAAATATCTTCTTCCTGAACCGACCGGATCTGAAGTTCCACGCAGACATCGGTGACGTTACCCACCGGGTGATGCTCCGCAAGAAGCTGCGCTGCAAGAACTTCGAGTGGTACCTGAAGAACATCTATCCGGAGAAGTTCGTGCCCAACCACGATGTGAATGCCTGGGGAAAGGTGCAGGCCGTGAGCAGCAACCTCTGCCTCGACGATCTGCTGCAGAACAACGAGAAGCCATACAATGTGGGCCTCTATCCTTGTGGCAAGACGCTGCAAAAGTCACAGCTCTTCTCCTTCACCAAAACGCAAGTGTTGCGCAACGAATTGAGCTGTGCCACTGTCCAGCACAGCGAGTCCCCACCGTATAGAGTGGTCATGGTGCCGTGCCTGGAGAACGATGAGTTCAATGAGCAGTGGAAGTACGAGCGCCAGCACCTTGTTCACAGCAACACGGGCATGTGCCTGGACCACAGGGGCCTCAAAACCCTGGACGATGCTCAGGTGGCGCCCTGCGATCCCCACAGCGATTCGCAGAGATGGATCATCCAGCACTAAGGACAGAAGTCAATGGGGAACGAGGGATGGGGACCAAACTGAGAAAAACTGACTAACGCAACAGACTCGAATGATAATTCGAATTAGAGCATCAACTTGTAAATATCTAAAAATTGAAGGATAGAATTATATATTTTCTATACACCCAATGTGTATATTAAGGAAGGACCGAGGAGGAGTTGTGGTAGCTAGTGCAAATCAAATCAAAAGAAGAAAATCAAACGCAAACAAGTCATTTGGGAAAAGCTAATAACAATTAACTGTGTGTTGTGTATTCTGTGTGTGTAATTAGATATATATATATTGAGAGAGATTTGTGAAACAAAACAGAGCGTCGGTATATCCTATGTAAATGCTTCACCGATGACCATAGTCGCCATGTGATCAGGAAACGATGAGGATGCAACAAAAGCATTCCACCGCACGGGAGTCCACTGGAATCTCCTGCTATTAAACAAAAACCAACTATGTAAACAGTAAACTAAAAGTGTTGTAAGCATTTATCTACTAACATAAATTTTTGCCATTTGTTTTCATAAATAAAATACAAAACAGCTCTTCCGACTGGAAGATGCACATCATTAGACATCGTGGCTTCATTTCTCACGAACCCTCTAGGCCAGAGGTGCTGCTTAAAGCCATAATTAAATGTAACTAACCAGTTGGGTGACATCTGAGGGCCCAGTTCAAGGCTTCTGTGGCCACCTTGTTGGCCAAACATTCGTTGACCAGCTGTGACAGCTGCGGGGTGGAATAAAAGCCAACTCCATTGAAAAATATTCATTGCATGTTTGTATATTTGTATGTTATTTATAGATATAAGTACATATTTTATATTCTCGTTTTTGTTTTTTGTTTTTGTTTTTTTTTTTGCTGAAATTGTTTAAATTTGCTGATAATGCGCATGTGTTTTTTGTTGACTTTTGTCTCTGAAGTTTTTGCATTTAAAATATCTAAATTGGAGTAAAACAATTGTAAATTACTAAAATTATCTTTATGGCTTCCGCTGCTGACACCTACATATTTTTTATTTATTTGCATTTCTTTGCTGTTTTACTCTGTTCCGTTTTTGTATATTGTATTTTTTCTTTCTGTTTATTACTACAAGTGAAGAGTCAACTGAACTCGGATCATCATCGTACTTACAAAAAGAACCAAACAAATGCATCAACAATGGTTTAGCCTCGTATGTAGTGTAGTATGATAAAAGCAGATCTAGCATGTCGATTAGTTTATTAATTTCTGCTGAAATCTGGTTAGTTTATTTTCATTTAGTTTTCTTGTATAACGACTGACTGATGGAATTGCTGTCGGGTGCTGTCGGGTTCTGACAATAACATTTATTCGTTGACCGTGCTAAAAGCTCTAAGAGTGCGCAAACTTACGAATATTCGGTTTCGAAGGCTCTACCGCTCCTATATATCCCATATACCTTTAATATGTGTGTGCCTAACATTCCGTAATGCTAAATGCTATATGCAAACTAGATTATCGGGGACTGATTGCGTGGGAGGACTGCACTAGAGCACAAAAATATGATTAGTTCTGCATTTTTTTAAATTTTATTTTTAATAACGTCAAGGTACGATTTAATTTGTCGGCGATTCCAATCGATCCTACAGCTACGTATTTAATTCTGTATTGGTATCTGTATCTGTCTATAGCTATATATTCTCGATCTATTTTACAATTAAAGCCCAATCTGTGCTGCTAAACTTTCGATTTTCTGTCTCTGGGTTTCTATTACTCAATCAAGCTCTAGTTGAATGCCATTTGCTGCGCTTGTTAAATGCTATAATTTTCGAGTGATTTAGCCGATGTTGGTTGGTGCCCCACTATGTACATTAAATCAGAATTAAGTATATAGTTTATGATTAACGGAATTAAATTGCGGCGTCTACATACAAACACACACACACACATTACACACCATAATTGTAGAGTGTCATCCGGGGAGGTGTCCTTAGAATCCCCTCCCACAGAGCACTCGAAATTTCTAAACTAAGAGTTCTAGTACTTTAGGATTATCATTTTGGTAAATATGAAGTTAATATTTATATTTCATGAATATCCATGCAATTGTAAGTATATATCGTAGTTGTATCTTGACCTTGAATTCTTCAATTTGGACGTATTTTCAAGTATATTCTGGTAGTTGCTTTTCGCTTTTACGCAAGTAGAAAAACAGTTCGAAAATATATACCTAATATATATTATATAAGTGTGTATATTTATGCTTGTATACACTGGATGAATGGCTGTAGATCGTCCAGTTGGGTTTTAACTTTTCTCATCTGTTGGAATTTACTTGTAATAGTTCTTTAATTTCATTTTTTTTGGGTATTCTAAGTGTAAATCGCTCCGCTTATTGTTGTCATACTTTTTTGTGTAATTTGGTTTTGTTTTTAAATTGCAATTTATCTCAGACTCAGTTTTTGGAGTGTCTTGGATGTTGGTTGGTTGGATGGATGGATGGATACGTTTACGTTTTTACGTACAAACGTGCATCAGCCGGTAATCGGTTTCTTGTTTAAAATTCATACACGCTTCCAGCTGCATCTGGAGGTTTTCGGGGCCTCACTCGAACGAATATTACAATATCTTAACATAAAATCGAATATTCATGCAATTATTGCTTTCATGGACTTTGTTTCTTAATAACGCTTCACAAACATCGTCGCACAACCTTCAACATTGATTAAATACAACTTAAGGATCCTAACACTTATATTGCACATTCCGGACGGGATATAAGAACTTAAAATAGATAAATCGCTAATTGAGAAAATAAGGAGGTAATCATACGATAAAATCAATTTTATTTATATATTAAGGCATATATAAATGGAAAATTATAAATACATCACATCAAAATAATACAATTTACACATCAACTGCGCCAGTGCGAAGCTTCTTAATCGGGGGACTAAGATCAAAGATGGGATCATCTTAGGGACGAGGGCTTCCTGTGCCTGGTCGCAGCCGGTATAGAATATGCTGCTTTCTCATTAATTGCTAATATTGTAATTGATATTATTTTTTATATAAATGCGCTAAAAAAAAGCGTGAGCTCGGCAAAGGTTATAGTGTAAACAAAATTATTGCATGGTCTTAATTATAAATATATACAAATGATTTATATATTGGATATAGTCGATAACAATTAAAAATATAAGCTCATCGTTAACCAAGTCACTTTGATATCAAAAACAATTGAACTAAACTAAAGGGCAAAGAACCATTACAAAAATATATATATATGTATAAATCGGTAATCGGTAATCATAAGCAAAACGACAATTAACTACACGAACACAAAACAATGGAATCAAGAGTTGTTCATTTTCACACATACATTAGACGAAATATTTACGATTTTACCAAGTGCTCGTCATTATCGGCATGGATTCTTAAAAGATTAGCATTGCAACTACTATCTCTGCCTGGCTTAGCTTAGTTTTCGTTTAGTTTAGCTAGTAATTAGTATTTAGTTCTGCTGTAGACACCGCCTTAAACTACTTAGAGAAGCGTGGGGGTTAAGTGTACGGCATTTCATTTGCGGCATTGGTGTGAGAGTAGTTAAGTAAGCTAGAGAATATGGTTGGATTGTGGATTATGCTCCGCATTGTTCGTTGATTGACGGGCTACGTCGTTAAACATCCTTTATCGGGACAGCCTTAGCCTTAGCATTAGCCTTAGAAGGCCGTCGAGCGTCGATTGGCATTGCACTTCTTGCCGTGACTGTTCGCATCTGCAGCGCCGTTAGTTGCACGCAACCGGTGACACGTTGCCGTGGCGGTGGCCGTGGTTGCTGTCGTTGTTGGCACTGCTGGCCGGCTGCTTGTGACACTGGATTGCCTGCAATTAGTCCAGCGCTGCAACTGATGCGAACACTTCGGGTACAATCATTTTCGCGCCGCCACATTTAGTGATTCGCCGCGGCTCTTCGATCGAGTCATCGAGCTGCTCATCTCTGCAATTCCAAATCAAAAATGAATTCAAATAATTATAATTTTAGATAATATCAAGCGTGTTTACCTTTGCTGATGCTGTTGCTCTTCTCAGCGGCCTTGTACGCCCGCATCGCCTTTCCGCGCTTGTCCAGCATCAGCTTGTCGGAGCGCACGAACATGCCGTGCTTCGGCTTACATTGGAAATACTGAATACCCTTCACGCTGCCATCGTTCTTGCCGGTCGGGGTATCCAGTTCCACGCCAATCCAGGCACCCGGCTGGAACTCTGTGACGCCAACGAAGCGTATGACACCGCTGGTGTTGTAGGGGCGTATCAACACCGACTCGCCAACCACTATCCACTCGGGCACCGTGATTTCCACATCTTTGCTCTCATCTTTAAAAGAACGGATTAGATTGGACGAGTTTAAAGTTACTATTGTTCAGCTTACCATCGATTTCTGTGCTGCTCGTCATTATGCTGGAGTCCATGTAGGCGGCCAGGCCTTCCATCTTGGCCACCGAAGCGCGGTGGTGGACACGCGGCGCCTCACATGTGCTGTTGCTGGTGTTGTTGTTGTTCAGATTGTTCGGTGGCTGCGTGTTGGACTTCTTGCGTCGCACTACCTTGCCAGCGGGCAGCTCCCCGGTAACGATGCCCTCGCCCTTCAGCACCTCCTCCTCCGCCGACTTGTTGCCGTTCTGATTGTCTGTGGCAAGCTCTGGTTGTGTTTCGGTTTGTGGCTCAGCAGCCTGCGGTTCCAATTCTTCAACGATCGCAGGCTCCTCTACAGGTTTGACCAATTCAACATTATTGTTGTTGTTGTTGTTCTTTGGCAACTGCTCGGGTTCTTCCTCGTCGGATTGTGCGTTTTCCTTTGGCAGCTCCAATGGGTGCGTAAACGTTTCCTGCAGCTTCTTGGCCTGAGGCTCTGATGGATCTTGGGTCTTGGCCTTGGGCATGTCCTTAAGGAAGGGATTGACACGTGTCTGGCGGTTGGGTGGCGAATTCGAGTTGATTCGATCGAAATCTAAAGAGCAGAAGAGATGTTAGTTACAGTTTAGAGACTTGGACTTGGTAATAACCCACCTGACGTCTCATCAATGCTCATGGAACGCATTGAAGCTATGTCCTCGTTGCTCAGATTGTTGCAAGAGACCGCCTGGGAGCCGTAGCCACTGCTGGTGGAAGAGCTCATGCTCAGCGTGGCCAAGCCAGTCAGATGCTTCATATTTGAATTGGCGCTGGACGTGTAGCTCAAGTAGCTCTGGTTCGAGTGGTTGCTCACATCCATGAACGAGTCCATGGTCTTGGAGGCCGTTAGCCGAGACCGTCCTCCAGCGAAGCTCCTGTTCTGTTGCCGCTCCTGCTCGTAGTCGGCGGCGTATTCGGAGTCGCTGTAGCTGTCCTCTGGCTCCTCATCCAGAGACCTGTGGCCACCGAGAGGCTCCTCGTGCAGCGTGGTCATGCGCATACCCAGTAACTTGGTGGTAGCCGGCGAAGCTGTGGAAACATTCAAGAAAAGGGATTAGTGTCTGGAAGATCGCTCCTTACGGATAGCCACGCTTAAGTCTAGACAAACCACATACGTTTCGTTGGCGCATTTCTCAATGTGTTCAAGTTCAAATTGAGATTCAAAAATGTTGGACGCGCTGCATTCCACAATGTCGGGGGCGGGGAAAGACAATGATTATGTGTTATGGTTAGTTACAATGCAATATACAGTCATGGATGAGTGATCAAACTAGCCAGGGATAGGACTAGCTCTTATCCCTGGCAACGCACTAGGATGGTAGCAGTATAAACACCAAAGGGTCTAAGGTCTAGGTAAGTTCCAAAAAATCACTACATTTACGCTCGTGCTGTGTGCGTTGCTGCTGTGTGAGTTGTGCGCCGGATTGCGTGGTCTCGGAATGGCATGAAATGGTGACCAGGTGATTTATGTACAACCTGTGTCCATCAATGATATATTGTTTGATGATGGAGAGAGTCTTGGGTATGATTGGAAGACAGATTACCAGCAAACAGAACCAACACAAAACTACATTAAAACACTTCTAAATGTCGGGAGGGGCGCCCAATCCTCTCGAGGATTGTGATTCGAGTGGGGATTCGAGTGTGGTAATGGCTGATTAGTGATCGTGATGGACGGTGTGTGAGATAGACAGACAAACTTAAACTCAACTAACAATCAATGAATAGCAATCAAGAATGCACTTTCGGATTTGAATTTATTTAGGCATAAGGTTTAAGTTGAGGTTGAGGCCTTTACCTGACAGCAGAGCTATAGTGCCTGTTGGCCGTGGATTTACGATTACGATTTACGTTTAAAGTGAAAACGGAAACGGAAACGAAGAAAAGAGTTGGACACGTGAGAAACCATAGGTTAAGGTAAGGTTGTAAGTTGTAAGTACTTTGAAGAAGCTGCACATGTGGGCTTCGGTGTGGATCTGTATGGCTTGTTCATGGTTTCGGGGATGCATGTCAATTTATATGATAAGCAAATGGAATGGAGAGCTGTCGAGTGCATCGGGACGGAGAATTGCTCGAGTCTTCTGATCGAGTTGATGTGGTTGCTCTTGCTATTGCTAATTGCTTGGTTGCTGCAGGTGTTGCATCAAAGCAAAGCAAACATTAAAACTTAATTTAAATCTTAAATTTCGGTTGAAAAGTTGAAACTAAGCAAGGCGAGAGATAGAAAGATTTTCCTTTTGTTTTGGTTTTTTTTTTCTTAAAAACATTGCTGGCTCTTTTAAGCGAAATTAAGCATAACAGAATTTGAAAACAGACTTATTTTTGTGTCCGGGAAGCACAAGAACAATCGGAAAAGGATTTATCTTGTTGCCATTAGGTTCGATTCGATTAAAGCTAGATATACTCAAGTACAGCTACGTATGTAGTTATATAGTTTGAAACATAACTGATTATATACTGATATATATGGTTTACAAGTAGGAACACAAAGATAAATCCCTTGCTCTAGAGCAACTAGATCGCATTGGCTTCGCATAAGCATATGCAGAGTTACTTAGTTTAAATATAGTTTATGTATAGTGGATTCAAAAACTCGATTATATGGATTATAGATTCAACGATTTTGCTCAAAAGTTAATGGTGAGTATATAAAATAAGACTGTCGGGTATAAAGAAGTGCTGCTTCTTTTTCCGATGAGCACGTACCAATGCCAAAGGCCTTTCCAGGTGAATCGTCGCTGCTGCCCTTGCCACCGAAGCTGTGGCGATTGCGGATGACTCCGCTGCTGGCTCCTCCGGCGCCATGGCCAGCTGGAAGTAAATCAACTTTTAGACTATAAACTATAATGATTGGATGAGTGGCTTACCTGGCGAAAACTTGTTGCCCAGGGCACTGTTGTTGAGATCGGCAAAGGACTCGGATCGTCCCACATTCAGCAGCGACTCCATCGATGCATCGAAGCGCATAATCTGCGTAAGTTTATTCATGAGTTTCTTGCACCATAAATTGCATTTGCAACAAATGTTATTCAACAGGATGAAATAAAAATGTTCGAGTTAAAAACAAAAAAACGAAAAATAAATGAAATTCAAAAACGAAACATCGAAGATGGGAACTGAAGGGCGCACATAAATATATTGTTAGAACAGGTACTATTATAGTTGTAGAATCCAAGAAGAGACAGTAACTAAAGAAAATACAAACTACTAAAGCTTAATATACAGTGCTTGGCACAGGAAACAAGGGTATAGGGTATAGGATATAGGATACAAGATAGGGCTTTGGATTACAGGAAACAGGAAACCGGATATAGGAAACAGATAACTGAATACTGGATACTAGTTACTTACACTCCCGGTATTGGTGGTGTCTTTTACCGCCTATGTGCGCAGTGAGAAGCATTTTGGTTCCACACACACATACACAGCATTAACATTAAGACAAGGATAATACCAATACACACACACACACACATAGAGAGAGTTAGATATTGCAAGGAGTGCGCGCCGAATTTTGGAGTTACAAGTTTGGAGTTAATTTTGTTTTCGTTTTTACGGTGGTTTCAACATAATTTTGTTTGATTTTTGGGGGGTTAGTTTGGTGAAAGCGCATAGAAAAAGTGTGAAAAGAGAAAGAATTGCGTTTTAGTCAGATCTTCTTGGTTAATTTTGCTCGAGTGTGTTAGGTGAGTAAGTGAAAGCACAAATATCAGCAGTGGCAGCGGCAGCAGCAGCGGCGGCGGCGGCAACAGCCTCGATGTGCAAAAGCAACGCAGCAGCGGCAGCGGCAGCGGCCCAATGGGATGAGTCGGACTGGGGGTCGGATGGTGACCAATCCTTACCTGCGAGAAGTTCGGCACGCTGACGGTCTTGCGCATAGACAGCGGCTGTCCGTGGGCCGTCTCCAGCTCCTTGACAGCCACGTTCTGACGGAGTCGGTCCAGGGTCAGTATGCTCTCCACGGCCGAAACACCACGAGTGTATTTCTCTGTAATGCCACACACGTTAATGGTGAGGTACTGGATTAGGATCAAGGATTATAGTTACCTATATAGGTCTCGCCATCACTTGCTGAACAGTCGTCGCCACTGGCCGCTAGCTGGGCTAGTGACTCGCGATCCTCCAGCTCCTCGGAGGCCTTCGGAATGTTGGATACCACCTCATAGGTAACGCCACTCTGCCAGATGGCGTTCTCGCCCCGCACCAGCCGGAACTTCTTCAATCGATCGGTCAGGGTCTGGCCCTTCTTGATGTTGATGCTCAGCCGCTTGCGCAGAACCAGATCCATGGGAGCGGGATGCGACAGGCGCACCGTGGTCCGCAGGATGAGATAGACGCGTTCATTGGCCTCGGTGACGCGGTTCAGGGCCTGGCTGTCGTGCATCGACGAGTCCCAGCTGGCCACGCAGCACACGTCCTTGTCCAAGTGCTGCAGAATCTGCAGGGTGTAGAACTTGTGGCCGTGCTCCTTCGAAAGGATCGAGTTTATGCCGGCAATGGACAACTCATCGTTGGTGTTCTGCGCGGAAAGATCATCGCCGTTGAGGTTGAGGAAGAGTACCGGGACATGTGGCTCCATGCCGGACGGGGGCTCCCAGGAGGCAGGTGCTCCGGGAATGCCCGATCCGGGGGCTGGGACCAGCACTGCGTTGCGCTCCTCCGTCAGCGACACCCACTGGTGGACCAAGCTCAGCTCGCGCTCGCGTTCCTGCTCGTTCTTCTCCTCCTTCTTGATCAGCATCTGGATCTGCTGATCCAGGTACTGCCTCCTCCGACCCAAAGCCTCGCTCCACTTCTCGCGCAGCACTGTGAGATCCTCCTCCTGGTAGGAGTCCAAGGGCCGTTGCAGCCTGGACCGCACCGTGACACTGCCGATGGCCACGTTCACGATCGATTGGCAGATGATGGGCAGGGTGCCTGAGTTCTGGACAGGCTTCACTCGCACATTGACCCGTCGCTGTTGGCCCTGGCGCAGCTGGTATATGCCACCGGTGAGGACTTCATTGCGGTTTGTCACCTCCACGGGCGAGTACTCGCCGTTGTCGTTCAGCTCGTGGATCTCCACCCAGAGTTCGATCTTGCGAGAGAGCTCCGCCCAGCGATCGACCAGAGATCGGGCCTTGGCCTGCTGTTGCTCCACCTCCCAGCCCTTCGACTTGGAGAAGCCGGCGCTGCGGTGGCCCCACACTTCGATGGACAGCGCCCCCTCGATGCAGTGCTCCAGGAACTCCTCGTTTATGGACACGGTAAAGTCCTTGGTGTGCTCGAACTTGAACACCATGTTCTGGTCGTGGGCTGTGGACTCTGCATTGATCACCGGCACCACCATCTCCTGATGGCCCCAGAAGGTGTACTGGCAGAAGACAAAGTTGGAGAGCGAGAGCGGCAGACCGCTGGCGCACTTGATGGTCACGCGACAGGTGATCTGGTTGGCCGTGGGGTCCACGGGATCATCGTACTCGTCCCTGGAGTCTCCCGACGACTCTGACACCGACTCGCACATGCGATCCTGCGGCATTTGGCCGGCGATCCTTTCGATTTCCACCTGCAGCCGGCCGGCCACCTCTCCCTGCTGGCTGATGATCGGCGTGTGGTAGTCGAGCTTGACGTCGTGGAAGAGCACTTCCAAGAATATGTTGGCCACTCCAATCAGGTTGTGATTCTCCTGCGACTCGTAGAAGGGGTCTTGCGGCTTGTTCTCCTCGTCCTACGGAAATGAGACATGTTTATAAATGGAAATAGTAGCCCAACCATACTATCTACAATATAGTTTAGTCGTGGTGGTGGTGTCGATGTATTGGGTGGTTGGGTGGCTTGTGGGGATTAATTACCTTGTCGTCGTACTCATCGTCTGAGAATGGCTCTACAAGGGGCTGTAGTCAGGGGTTAATTGGATGCGTGTGTGAATCGATACAATTGTAAATGGTTAGTAAACAGCACAATGGCAACAGGTGGATGAAAGGATAAGTCCGTTCAGTTACATACCAGTCCGTTCATGACACGGTCCTTGTGCTCCTGGTACATCTCGCGCATGTCGATCAGCTTGTTCTCCAGCTTCTCCATCGTCCAGATCTGGCTGCCGGAGTTTGTGCGCTTCACCAGAATCGCTGGTTCGCTAACGAAGGCACCGCGCCGCCGATTGGGGCTCAGGTTGGCCGGCGGTATCTGCAGAGTGACCGAGAACTTGGTCTTTTTCTCCATTTCCTCGGCCAGGAAGTTCGCCTCCTGCACCAGGGAGTTGGCCCGCATAATGTCCGTCTTCAGCTGGCCCAGACTGCGCCGGAACATCTCATCGCGCTCCTGAAAGTACCCCAAAATGTTACACCCAGCTTCTAATTGAAGTCACCTTGTATTCCCACTGACCTGTGCCCATTTTTCCACTCGCATCTGCGAGGTGGGAGTATTTGGTGTGATCTTGCCCATCCGCAGCGGGTCGTAGGGGGCGTACGGAGCGTACGGTGTGCTGGGAGAGAGTATATTGCGCAGCTGCTGGAACTGGCGCTCGTACTCCTGGCGCTGTTTCTCCAGAGCCACCTGCTTATCTTCCTCGTGCTGGCGCTCCAAGCGAGCAATGGCCGTCTGGATGGGGTCGTTGCTCAGCTCGTTCTGCATAATCTCATCTCGGGCAAAGTTGTAATCGATCAGCTGGGCAGGAGTCTGGGGCTCTGAGGCGCACATGCTGGTGTTGTTGCTCTTTGGCGAATTGACGCGGAAGAAGTGGTGGTTGCCCCACAGAATACGATCACCGTTCTGCAACGGTGTCTTCTCCACAGCAGCCGAGCCATTGACAAAGCAACGAGCACCCTGGACAGGCTCCATGTACAGGCCACTGTCCTCGATTGTGATGACACAGTGTTCGGGCTGGATGCCCAGGCCGGAGAGTTGAATATCCGGCTGCTGGCCGCTGATGCTTCGACCGCCAATAAGCGTGCGATCCTGGAAAGATGAAACCAAGGTGTTATTGAAGATGAAAAGGTACCATATGTCTACAACCCACCTTCAGATAGTAGACCAGCAGCTCGTTGAGGGACGGATCTGCGTTCAAATTGACCAGGTAGTACTTGTTCTTCTCCACCTTGATGCCACTGGCCTGCACGCTGATGCCCATCTTCTCCAGAGCCTGCTGGCGCTCGTTCTGGATGCGCTCGGTCTTGACCAGCTTCTCCTCCCACGTCTGCGAAATCTGCTTCATCAGGTTCTCGCTCTCGGCCAGCTTGTCCTGGACATCGCCCACTGGTGAGCCGGTGGCATGCTTCAGCATACTGCGCAGCGTCTCCACCTCGTGCCGCAGCTCGCGTATAATCCGGGCATTTGGATCTTCGTTGACCACGGCATGGTTAACAATGCGCTTGGCCCGATCCGCGTAGCGAAGCGTGGAGAGGGTCTCCTCGTAGTTGTCGGCGGAGGGGGAAATGGTGGCCACCATCACGGTCCTGGAGTTGCCACCGAGGTTGTCCTTCAGCAACCAGGTGAGAACCGAGTCGCGGTAGGGCACGAACTTGTCGTTGCCGCCTTTCCGGCCGTTCGTTTGATCGGCCAGCTTCGAAATGACCAGGCCCAGCGTGGTCAGTGATCTAGTAACGATTGCCATTAGTTGAGAACCTTAATGAGGTTGATTTCCGCTGGAGATGCAGGTCACCATGATGCGGGTTACAGCCGCATAAGAGGGAGCCTGCATGGCCAGCAATAAACCAACTCAAACCAAGACTGTAAACTAATTCCCAACTTACTTGTTGATGTTGGAGCCCTCCTTCAGGCGATCGCCAACGGCGCCCGTTTTCACGGCTCTCTCCGAGCCGGCCAAGTCCACCAGGGACATGCGGGACACCTTCTCGCCACTGACACCCGTCGCCTGATCCGTCAGTATCTGGGTGAGAACCACCGAGAAAACGGCGTGCGAGCGGGAGGACTCGGCGTTCATGTTGGTGGCCGCCACTGTGCGCGACTTGTTGCCCTCGGTCATGAGGTTGTCTATGTCCTGGTACGATGTCACCGCCAGCTGCGACAAGCCATCCACATACGGACCAAGGACGTTGTGTTCGCGCACCTTAAGCGACTGCTTGTTGGGCTTCGGGTCGAGTAGATCGTGAACTTTCTCGTTGTAGATCTCCATGTAGGAGACCTCCACCTTGTACATCAGCTCGGGTGTGGATTTGTTGGCGATGGCGGAGAAGAGCTTGTCGCAAAGGCGTGGAATGATGCCCTTGCTCTCCTGAGAGCCCATCATCGTATACGACTTGCCAGAGCCTGCAAGAGAAAGGTAAGCAGTGAGTCATTGTCTTTAAGTGGGTTTAAGATGGGAAGAATCGTACCTGTCTGGCCGTAGGCAAATATGCAGGCATTGTAGCCCTGGAACGCATTATCCAGAATATCACGTCCCACACAATCGAACACCGTCTCCTGGGAGGCGAAGTTGTCGTCCTCGGCGTTCAGCGAGTAGAAACAGTGATCGAATGCAAATGTCTTTGGTTGTTTTCTGTTTTTAATTAAAAATGGAATAATTATTTAAGAATTGTCATCCATAGGAGGTAGTCTTCTGTCTCACCTTTCGATCTTCTCCAATGTGGGGGGATTTTGCAGAATGGTCTGCTGTTTTTCCATTTCCACGATACATTTTGTACCCAATTCGATTTCTGTAAGTAAACCAAAATAATGCTCATCAGTTCAGTTTCAGAGAGTGATTTCGGTTCCGGAATATATAAATCTGTGATGAGTTGAAAATTGAGATAATTTCGCCTTTATTCCGCGCTTGGGGTGATAACGAGTTCAAAGTGGCAAAAACAATTTAAATTTATACATTGGCTATACCCACAGAGGAGAGCACATAGAGTAGCACTTGGCACTTGGGGTGCTGGTGCTGCTGCTTCTGCTCCGGCGAGAGCTTGGGGTTTTCGTACCCATGTGCGAAATGGAGAGGTGGGAGGGGGGCGATAAATGCTCATATACGGTATAAATTGCCAATGCCACTATAATCTCCATAGAGAACCTTTCAAATGGATTGTAAACAAACGAAAAAATAAATCGGTGCTATAAATATTACAACAACTGAAGACTGAAGACTGAGTGATTAGATTGCTCTACTGAATGGGTGGCGAGTGCCCTTGGCATTCTTGAGACCAGATTTGTCAGCTCTTGGTTGATAAAAGAGTTAGCAATTCTCGGGAAGTCACTTCTCCCAACGATAAGTCTCTAATTTCTTTCCTGTTTCTAAGCAAACAAATATAAAGCATCTAATAGATAACTGAAATATTACTTATAGATACTTTTGGAGCATGAGGAATATATTAAGACTAAAACATGAAAGAAAAAATACAATTCCAGCTAATAAATCGTGGAAATATTTCAGTTGCGATGCCTCCTCCCGTGTGTCCTTCGCATTCCCTATTCAGTGGAAAATGGCAGAGAGCAGCCAGGCAAATGGCAAGGCAAAAAACCAAACCAAAAACCCAATAAATACAAAACATCCATGTGGATGTGGAAGGGAAGGAAATGACAGCCAAACCCCGGCTGGCAGAATGGCAGACTGGCTGACTGGCAGACACATTTGTTGCCCACACACACACCCATATCCCCTCCATATCCTGGTGTGTGCTGGCTGTCTGGCCTTTGGAACTTCCGTTCCGCTTTACATTACAAAACGACAAACACACAGACACACACCCAGAGAGGTTCGAGAACGTGACATGACATGGAAATGAAAACCGCAAAGGACCAATCCGGCCGCAGGTCCTTTGGTCATCAGCATGTCTTGGCCATAGGCCGGCTCTGGCTCGGGCGTGTCATAAATTATTTGACGATGGTGATGGTCTCATTTGTAGTTCTGGTTAGTTGATTCGATGGCGACTTGTAGCCCCTGTCGAGGCCCATATAACCTCAAATGGATTTCTCTCTCGTCGCTGACCGTTTGCTATTGTCCAACATTGAAATTAACATACAAACACACACACACCACACACACACACACTGTCAGACGGTGAAAACAGGTTAAGCTTTTTGGTAAGAAACTCTCTGCTCCGGTCAGAGCTGTGACTTCATTTTGCCAGCCTGCTGGCCTGCTGTCTTTGCGTTTAAAACTGCCTTTGCGATGATGGCGATGTCTGTCTCTGTTTCTGTTTTCATTTTACGCTCTGGTGGCCGTTCAACATGAAGAGGTCACTAGTTACGGACATGGCCCAAATACGTTGCCCACGATTGACTAATGTTATATATTGCTGCCATCGGCCAGCGCAGTCAAGCCTTTCCCTAGGTAACCCCATATAGTATCCTCTTATCATCAAACTTTATCAGCCAGATAGATAACGACTCTAGACAGCTTATCACCGACGCTGAGGTGACTATTCCGGGCGGAAAAATGGCCAACAAGCCAATAACATGAATACCAATGATGGGTGGGGAGTCGGAAATCAGAAATACAGGCAAACATCTAAAAATAAAGACTTATTTGTAAATATTTATGATGAATGCAGGTTAGTCAGTGAGTTATAGTTTTTAGTTATAGTTATAGTTAGTAATTAAAACGTCTAGAAGGTAATGATTAGGAGTAGGAACTATATTGTAGTACTTTCTAATGGAAAATGAGCTACTTTACCCCCTAACCCAATTAATTTGAACGGAAAAGTCAACAAAAAATCAGAAACCAACAAGGTTTGCTTGAAAATAAATAAAAAATCTCTGCAAAATACAAACAAATGGGTAGCTATCGTGGAACATTTGGGATTCAATCAATAAAGCGAGAATCCAAGCGGACCTTGCCCCACGCACCAAACACACATATGTATGTATAGAATGTATGGTGCCCCCCCACAGTAGAGCCGCCCTCCTTCTCCTTTCCTGTCATCCTTCATTTCCGCTCTCCACACGCCGGGTGAGTCACGGATAAGCCAAATGAATGATCAGTGTTGACATTGGAAACGCTGACGGCGTCGTTGTTGTTGCTGTTGCTCTCTATCTTGTTGTTGTTGTTGCTTTTTTGCACTTGCAACACTTCATGGCTGCAGTGGGAAACGCGAAATTAGCTGGAAACGAAAATCGTTTGTCAGACGACCCGGGGACAAGCCACCCAAGTCCGCCGCCGCTAGTCCCCCCGTAGGTAGTCGTCCCTGGCAGTAGGTACTCGCGAAAAAATCCGCTGGCACAGCAGTTCGAAAAAAGAGACCGAATTTCAAAGGAAGCCATGAAGCCCATGTACATTTTTGTTACCCTAAAAAAATAAGACACTCTCGGCCTGTACCGTTGGCAGTATTGATTGCTGGAACAACCTGCAGTAGTGTCGCATTGTATCCCTCCAGGGTGGGAACTCCTGCTGGGCTGTTATCAAAATCGGGGGATCTACAGCTATTGAGATGGATAGTTAAGATCGAGAACCCTTCACTCTATTTTGTAATGAATTGTGACATAATTTTCGCAACAAGGGCTGGCGATAATCTTACATGCTGTCCACATTTCTGTGGAATACTCACCACGACGATTGAAGGGTCGCACCCTCACCGCGACTTTGATCTTATCACTTGACATGGCGGAGGCTTCTGGATGATTTTCGATTGATGATGCGGGCTGGGGAGTGATTCATGCACCACTCGCACTGGGTTGGGGTGGTGGGCAGCGCCTGCTCCTCCTGCTCCTCGTTGACTCCTTGTTACTACTTTTATTATTATTATTATTATGTTTGGCTGTTTTGTTGTCCTCGCGGGAATCGTGTGTGCACGCAATCTGGAAAGCAGGTGGAAGTTGTAGGCTGACTCACAAACACAAACATACAAATATTCCATTTATATTATATGAAGCGCCAAAAAAAAAAAAAATATAGAGAACTTTGTGGGCTCTTCAATTAGCGCCACGCACACAGGCGCACTTATGTCCGTTAGGATGAGAGTAAGAGGGGGTGGTTGGGTGGATTTCCATTTCATTCTCCACTTTTGTCATTCACTTTGTTTTGCTTTTGCTTTGGCTCTGGCGCTGGCTCTGGCTCTGGCTTTGTTGTTACTGCACACACATAGAGAGACACCAAATAACACACGTTTTATTGTCATGTGCTGGCATTTTGTTATTTGCGCGACGCACACTCAAATATTTGTCAGAAATTAGCTAATTAAGAACATGATTCGAGTGTCCTGTCCGATTTTCATATTCAATCAAAATAAATACACACTGGCGAAGGGAAAGGGGATATTCTTTTTCGCATTTTTCGCACTCACGCATACACACACTCACATTCACAGGCATGCACCTTGCACAGGTACCTCTTCACCTCCCCCCTTTAGAGCAGAAAAAAAAGTATATACACACATATATACTTTTTCGAGGCCCTGACTAAATTGGCTAAAAGCAAAGGCTCCGCCGCCCGCGCGAAAAAGCCTCGCTCGCAGTCCGTGCGACTTCTTTGAAGAATCGATTTTTATGGCTCTCTTTTTTCAAGGGAGCAGCACTTTTCTGAGCGCCACGCCATAGCTGGGCTGTCTTTTCTTTGTATTTAAAATTAAGCACCTTTTACTCCGACGTAATTGCACTTGGTTTCACTTCAATTTTGATTTTCTATATTGCGTTTTCATTTTTCGCGTCGTTTTTCCATCTGACCAGCAAAAATTTGTACAATGAAGATGGACTAGAGGTCGCAGGAAAACGATAGAGTGTCATCGATTTTTTTCCATCCTAGGGTTGTCAGGGTCTATCGAAAACTGTTTGGGTTCCGCTCTGGCCACACCGACCAAGCATAAATAAACATGTCGCTGATAAAAAACCTAATAAAGGAGCCCGAGATCAAGCCAAGGAAAAAGAAGAAGGATGCGGGATCTGGCGACAGCGACTCTGACGATAAGGACAAAGCCCCGCGTTCCTTCGTCAAAACCGCCACGGACCTGCAACGGCTGAAACTGGAAAAGCTGATGAAGAATCCAGTAAGACTAATGGCACTTCTCTTTAATATGGCATTTTAAATTGATTTTTGTTTATAGGACAAGCCCGTGGTGATCCCTGAGCAGCGGAGGGAGAGAGACTACATGTCCTCTGTGCCCACCTTTGTTAGGAACGTAATGGGAAGCAGTGCCGGAGCCGGATCTGGAGAGTTCCATGTCTATCGCCACCTGCGCCGCAAGGAGTACGCCCGCCAAAAGAACATACAGAATCAGAGCGCTCGAGAAGCTGCTGACGACGCCTACCAACAAAAGCTGGAGGACAACCGCAAGGCAGCCGAGGAAAAGACTGCAAAGAAACGGGCCAAGCGGCAGAAGAAGAAGCTGCGAGCAAAAAAGCCGCGAGAGGCCAAGAAACCCGAAGCCAAGGAGGTCTCGGAGTCTAGTGGAAGTGCTTCTGAGGATGAGGAAGCCAAGGAGAGCGCGGAAAAATTAGAAGCCACAAACGAGAAGGACGAAGAGGAATCAAAGTCGGACGCTGAGGAGACAAACCCACCAGAAAGGGAAGTAGTTGCTGAAGAACCACTCGATGAGGACAAGACCCCAGAACGTAAAGCTGAAGAACCTACTAATGAGAGCTAAGCAGAAAGTCTACCATCCCTTTCATCCGCTTTCAAAAAATACACCGACTAGTTATTAATAAAACAAAATTGCAGTTTTATTTATAGGAGTTTTCGTTATATGTATAACAGGCGAACTCTACACATCGCCGTGTATTATAGAATTTGTCATCTGAGGCCATTGATTTAAAGCAGCTTGTTTGAAGAAGAAAAGCAGGTTTGCGGTTTGTGTATTTCGATTTCTCGACTCTAGTGCATTGTTATATCTTATAATAGTATGGTGCAACATTATAGCATTTCGAGTACAGTAAATGCTTTCCAAAAAATTTGACATCAAAGGCAATCAAGTCAAGTTATAGGTCACACACCCTTGACAGAAACAGTCATATCCCAAATTGGTTTTCTCGAAGAAGCAAACATTTATTGATTTCAGTGTTTTGTTTTCATGGAATCCAAAAATTTGTTCTTCAAATGATTGGTGTTCGATCGATTTTTCGGCTCATTTTGCATACATTTATACGAACATTTCGATTTTTCCACAATTTGTATAATAATTTTATATATATATATATGTATGTATATCTTTTGCCTTTGCACTTATAAAAACTATTAAAATTAAATTTGCAGCATTTTTCTACTATGTAAACCGTAAAAGTAAATCATATTTTGAACTTAAGCCAACTTAATTTGTAAGCATTTTGATAGACGTTTGTTTTGCTTTTGTTGAAGATCCTTTCGCAAAAAAGAACACAAAACAGGGCTTTGGATAGTGTTGTGTGTGGATAGTTGATAAAAAGAACTCGACATTGAAGTTACCTCGGTTATGGTAAGAAGAGCATACTGAATACAATTCGAGTAGTTCTCAATAACAAATTTATCTTTGTGATTTAAAAGGTTTTCTTCTCTTTTCTAATTACTTGAAATACTTTCTTCCTTTTAGCTTAAACTGCCTTCAGCGTATTTTTCTATTATGCTTAGTTTTTCAAACACTTAAACACGTCAACTTCATTTAATTTTTCTCGATTGTGTATAAGTGAGGGTGTGCTCGGGTACAAGTTATGGATGGATGGATGGAAAAAAGAATTAATCGTGCCACACTGGAACAGCTGTCTGTCGGATAAATTTTGTTTATAAAATTGTAAATACTTTTCGCTTTTAACGATTTCCACGACAAACTAGGGAGTCTGTTACTTTTTAGCTAAAAGAGGAGACCCGCGGGCCGCGGCGACACGGCTTTACTTTAGGTAGGCATATATTTAGGCATTAATGTATATGTACTTTGTATATAATAGGTAGGTTGGTAGGTAGTTAGTTATTTAGAAAGTCGTACAATTAAATAAATAATTCGTTTTCGCCAGTTTCATTCACTTTTAAAATACAATTATGTTCATTTTGCATGCGGACGCTGACACAGAAAGCGCCTGGAAAATAAACTGCCGCTATGGTGGCTGAGACTGCTCGCATACGTGGGCGTGGTGTGTGTTGGTTGGTGTGTGATTTAATATATTAGCTTTCTTTATGTTTAAATTGAGAAGTAAGCAGAACCCTTGCCAACTGTTTCTTTCCTTTAACGACATTCCCAGACCTTAACTGTTTGATCTACGCTACCGCTAATGACGTACGGATGCGCTTTGTGAAAATCTGCAAAGATATAGAACATTAATATGTATTCTTGGAGTTATAATGCCTGTGGGAGGAAGAGGTACCCACCTATGGAGGTGCAGAAATGCTGATGCGCATAGAGCGTCTTCATGCATCGTTTGTTGCGCAAATCCCAGACCCGAATGGTCTTATCGTCGCTAGCCGAGACTAGGTACTTTCCAGCCGGATGGAATGCCAGGCCACGCACCCAGTTGTCATGGCCATTCAGCGTGAATAGGCATAGCCCGACGCTCACGTCCCAAATGCGAATGGTCTTGTCGCGAGAGCCAGAGGCGAGGAAGGGACCCTGGTGGTGACCCTTCTTGTTGTCCGCTCCGGCTGCCTCGTTTATCGCCGAGGCAGCAGCTTCTGGCGCCCATGCAATGCACTCCACAGTGTGCTCATGATCGCGTAATTCAACCTGGAGCGATATTTTATTATTAAAACCATGAAACTCTATTGCCATTTAAGCACTCAAACCTTGCAGTCTCTCGAATTCGTCAGCCAAACACGGATTGTGTGATCATTTGAGCATGTGGCAAAGATACTGCCTTCAATGTGCACTCGCACCATTCGCACCCACTCCCTGTGTCCGGTGTAGGTTTTCACGCAGTACCTAGCAAGTGGAATTTCGATTTGGAAAGTGCCTTCTTGGTGGGGTTTTACTTTTAACTCACCCTGTGGCAACTTCCCACATTTTGACGGTGCGGTCTCGCGAAGCGGACAGAACGTAATCGCCGGCAGGCACGAAGGCCACCGAGGATACATTGTGATCATGACCATGCATGGTTTTGACGCACTCATAGGTCTGCTGGAAATCCCACAACTTAATAGACAAGTCGGCGCTGCAGGAAGCTATAAGAAACATATGGAAATTAGTCCAATTCTATATAGTAATGGAGAAAGGCCTTGTCTCACCCAAGAGCTTTCCCTGGGCATCAAATGCCACATCCTGCACCGAGTCTGTGTGTCCCTTCAGACTGCGCTCGTACTCGCCAGTTTCGAAATCCCAAATCTTAATGGTGGCATCCTCAGATGCAGAAACCACAAGTCCAAAAATGGGATGAAAGATTACCTGAAAAATGAAATATTACTTTTTCCTTCGGTTTCCAAAAGAGAAAGTCAAGTAACTTACCCTCGTTATGCTGGCCCGATGACCGGCCATGGAGTATTTCTCTGGTGGCCGCGGTATCCACTCGCCGGGCGTGCGTTTGTTCTTTGTGGGTGCACCCTCGATGACCTCCTTTTCAGCTTCGGTTAGCTTAGCCTCTAGTTCCATCACTTTCTTCTGCAGCCGGATGACGGACGTCCACTTCTTCTCGAGCAGACCGCCAAACTTCTTCTCTGCCTCTGAGCTGAGATCGGCTTCCTTGCGGAATGCCTCCAGAGAGTCTGCGTACCCATTTGAGCCCAAATAGTCGGCAATCGCTTGGTTACTAAACGAAGAACAAGGTTAATTTGTGAGAAAGTCATCCTAGTTTATAGATAAACATGAACTTACAGCTCCTCGCGCTGCCGCTGCGACAACACCATTTTCATACTGTTTTCTGATTTGGCTTTTATTGCTGCTCTCGTTCGATTTGGTTTACCGCCTTCAGTTCGTGCAGTTCTGCAATGGAGGAGAGAGGCGATTTAATAAGGTAGTACTAGTACTTTCCCCTTAACTCTAGCTGCAATTAGAATACAAATATTTTCATCCGCTGGTGATGTTTCATTCGACATTGGGATTTCCAGTTCTATTCTATGATGAATTGCCAGCCAAGCTGGAGAGACAGGAAATTGGTTTCGCAAAAGTTAAATGCCAAAAATGCCAGCGAGTTTCGTTTGAATTCTCATGGAGGGCAAGTCACCCACATTTTTTGGGTTACTCTGTGTGTTTTTTTTGCCCCAGGTCTTTGGGTTTCTTTCGGCTCATCTTTCGGCTCATCTTTCGGCTAGTCATTATGGTTTTATTTTGCTGCGATGCCAAAACGGAGCATCATCATTATTATGATGAGCAGTTTTGGTTTGTGGCACAGATTTCTGTGCTGCGGCTTGTACCTCCAATAATTGGACAGAAGTAGTAATCGAAAAGCTACTGCTTCGAGCTAGAAGCTTGGCAGCCCGGCAATTAAATGGCAGTTCAAGGGTCGGCCACCAATCGCGAAAATCTAGGCACCAGACAACTACCATACTTGTATAGTTATAGCACTTGTTTGTGCTGCTACTGCAAGACCATTTCAATCAACTCAAGGTGGGCGAATCACAGGTACTGTAGCACGCCATAAAGCGGCAATCAGAAAATCAGCGCATATCTCGCGTCTCATACTTGATAACGCTAGCTGGGCGGCTGGACAGGCTGGGCAACCTGGACAAGTTGGCCAACTGGCCCGCGTTGCCAACTAACGCAAGGCAAAGCCAATTAGCCGGACTTAACGGTAGTTCAAGAAACTTCTTATAGGTAAATAAGGCTGCGAAAGACGAGACGCGACGTCCAGAGACAGTGGCACACACATTCGCCAGCGACACGCTTAACCCGTTGACTAGGAAATGACGTTTTCAAATTATTTTTGGCCAAATGATATTTAACGATTTTTGTTGTTTGAAACCAGCAACGCCAAAAACTGACCAAACGGGTTTGAGTCACTACGGTACTGGTGGAAAAAATAGCATGTGCCATTTTGGTTAAACTTATTTAAGCTTAGTTTTTAAGGGCTTAGTTTTAAGATAAAATATTTATAAAATATAACTATAATCTTTGTTAAACTCTTAGTTATCTTTATAGATCCTTATATCTATATATATAGATCCTATCCTTTATAGATATGCTATTTTCTTGACCGCAACTATAGCCATGACTCATTCCTCTGAGCGAGACTTGCCCCTTATCAGCTGGCGGAGCACTCTGGCGGACATTTGAATATTGTAGGTGGCTGCGTTCCACCGCTAACTGCGCATCTAAATATAAAACATAGAAACAAAATCAATAAATGTTTCAGCGTCACGCGTATTTATGGAAATAGAGGTGGGCGGTCCGGGTGGAGGTTAAAGGTCGAGCATTTGGCATGGTACTTGGTACTTTTCTAGGGCTCCTCCGGACAGAGTCAACAGCTTTTGTGTTGTGGCAACCAGCATTCCAGCACACCGACATGCGCACTGCCACCGTTATTCGAAATGTATGTGGCAGTAACGGTGCCACCCAGAAAAAAAAAAACAATAAGAAGGGGGCGTTTGGGTCGCACGCTTCGCTAAAAAAAATATATTACAAAATCAGTGGAAAAGGCAGCCCACTAGATTCTCATTGTGGCCCAGCTTGCTCAAGCCATTTGGAATTTGAATTTAAAATGGTTTTAATCCGGCCACAGTGGATCTGGCCACGCGGGGGCGTGGGAGCAGCGAGACCAGGGCTGCAGCACACCCAATAAGGACGCCTCTCTCTCTCTCTCTGCCTGTCTCCCCTGCTGTTTTGGCAACAGACCTTGCACTTGCCTCATTGTAGCTGTTGTTGTTATTGTTGGCTCTCGCTTGTTCAGCGTGTTTTTGCGTGTTTCATTGATTAACCCACACACATGCAACGGGCGAATGCAGCACAGATTTCAAGAGCAGAGAGGAAATAAAAGCTTTAAACTGCAACTTTAACCCTCCAAGCGATCGGTGGCGGAGAAAGGAGGCTTCAGCAACTGGCACACCTTCTTAAATGTACCAATGTGAAATTAAAAGTACCAATGCTACCAATTTCTTATCCAAAAGGGCCAAGCTTTCTGGGCTGCAAACGTGGTACCTGGTGGGCAGGTATTTAGATAAGCCGTTGCAGAGATAAGGGGGCGGGCGGGTACAAAAGACAAACACTTGGCGGTGCCAGAGGAGACAGAAGTCAGGGCAACACAGCGCTTTCCACACATTCCGGGAAATGGCAAACAACGGGTCTCGTTGGATACCTAAAAGAACGCCCTGGCCATGGCCATAGTGGAAAAATGAAACAAGATTTCTTGGGCGCATTGGCAGAACTGGTTTGGGCCATTTCTTTCCATTTGGCTTAAAGGTGTTAGGCGGCTAGAAGAGTCGGTCGGGCAGACTTATTGCCAGGAACCGGGGAGTTGGCTAAAAATCGATCAATCGCCTGCTGTTGGGTCGTCTTGGGGTGCTTTCGAGGGGGAGGACACATTCTTTAACACATGCGCAAAAATCCGCAGACACAGACGTGCGCACACACACACACACACACACACAGAGATACACTGAAGCACAGCGATGTGTCATCGCTTTCTGGTGGTTGTAAAAAATGTAATGTTTTGTTTCTTCGTTATTTCATTTCGTTTTGCACTGCTCAGTCCAATACAATTGTGCACAATTTGCATAACTCTTTCTCTTTCGCTTGTTTCCCGTTTTCTTTTCAATAACAAACACAAAGCAAACACACAATAACAACAACGCCAACAACAATAAACTGTTACGACGGCCATCTTGAATAGAGAGAAGGGGAGGCAGGGGCAAGAAGAGTGAAAAAAAAAGAGTTCAAAAGGCACTATGCAAAATTGGAAAGGACAAAACCAACAATTGCAAGCACTGGTTTTCGAAATAACTATTGTTCAGGTGCTCGTTTTATTCGCCTCCACTCGGGGTACATAACGCGCGTACCAATACTCAGGCATTATCATACATATGACACTTTTTCCCATGGCATTTTTTTCACACAGGTCGCAGTTGCGAAAATCGTTGTTTTGCGGTCTTCCTCGCGGCGATTCAATTTTTTTTTTTATGCGCTACGCATACTTACTTCCGCTTTTTTGCTTATTGCTTCATACAATTTTAATTTAATTTTTTTTCTCAAGAATTATACGAAGGAATTACAATTACGCAGAATGACGGAGATAGGAGATAGAGATGGTTGTTTTGTTGCGACTTCATGTGTTGGAAAACGTAGTATTTCGATAAAAACCAGAGTTGCTATTTAACCATATTTTGGGAAAAATTTATAAAAAGAATTTTTTGTACCAATTTATAGGTACATTATTTTGAATTAATGTTTGGAAAGCTTGTTGGGTAATTGGAAAAATGTTGATAATTTTGTTGGGGCGAAATAAATATTTACGATTCCACAGTCTGGCAACCTTTTTTCGGTAATTTTTAGTGCTGTAAAAACAGTAAAGGTTAATAACGTGAATGGCGGCTAAATTTAAACGAATTTAATATCTACCGTTGTTAAAACCAAGACTCCTTATGGAGGAAAACTAGTTTTCCAAATTCTATTCACCTTAAAACTTCTCTTAATCGCTTACCAACTCTGCTGCTTGCGAATTTGTAATAAACTTGCAAATGTTATCTTACTCATACACATTACGGGAGTAGGGTTTCCTTATCAGTGCTCATTCAGTCCAAGAGGCGTTTATTTATTCCCGTTCACGCTCAGTTTTCAACAAACGCTCAGCGGAAACGGTTAAAATTAGTTCGTCCGATATTGACGATCGTTAGAGTGTCGAATATTTGCTGTCGCGCGCACCTTAAAAAAAAAAACCGACAGAATCAGTAACGATCTTGCAGCCGTGAGTGTTGTTTTTTGATATCACCAAGTTTGGTGCCAATTTCATTGTGCAAATTGCCAAAATATGTAAATCATTTTCCAAATTAAGGCTCTCACGCCCCGTCAATATCAAAGTGATCAAATTAATCAGCCAATTTCTCGTAATACTGCCCTGCCATAATAACCGATAACAAGGAATCCATTGAGCTGACGATCGAAATTTTAAGACGTTGTGAAACAGGAGCTTATCCTGCCTATTGCGAGCTATTTTCAAAGGCTTCATTGCGCTTTTGTACTGAAATTGATGAAAATTTATGACTCCCGTCGGAGCTTAACGAACATATGCACGTTATCTGGACCTGGGTTCTGATTATATGCGCTTGATAAAGGCCGCTTGTCGTGTGTAACCGTTAAATTGTTATTATTGGCTTATTTGGTGTGTTTGGAGCGACGCGATTTGTTTAACCAATTCAGCCAACAGGGCCCTAAAAACCTGGAGCCAACTGTCTTTGCTATTCCCTATACACTAGAACAGATAACAAACGCCATCAATAATTATTAAAAAGTGTAATTTTATTTGCCTTTAAGAGCTGTCTTTGGCTGCTTCCGTTGTTGGGGGCGACAACAGAAATTAGTAATTAGAGCTGCAGTTTTCGCGGTATTGGTTCGATTAGAGCATCAGCCCCAGTGACGCACCCCCATGTCGTCTATATTTATCTATTTTATTTGCAATCAATTGGTATTTCGAACGCGTGACAGGATTGCAAACAAAGCCTTGATTAGTGATTCGATTTTGAACCTAAATATATAATTTTCGTTGCACTGTGCTCTTTTCACTTCGATTTTTAATTTTTTAGCAACCAATATTGTGTCCAACAAGTGAGATTATTATCAATTTCTATATCTGCTGGCCACTTTGGCTGCGGATGAAGTGCTCTGATAAGATTTTCAAAATTAACACACATAAACCTCCTGACATTGGTCAGATTGGGTTTACGAAGGCGCTTCCCATTCCCAGTAATTGTCCATGAGTTGGGTTGAGTTTATCGAGTGCTTACTTGGGGTAAGACCCACATTTTGATACCAACTAGTGCCCTATCTTGCCTCGTTCTTTGTTTACATTTTTCAATTATTGGAGGAATTTTTGCAATTACCATACATAAGTTCTTCGGGGGCTAGTGATTAAAAAAAAATTAATAATACTGGCGATAGGGGGACTGTATTTACATTTGTTGCGCTGGTCAGCAACTCGCCAGAAAAAGTGTGCTGTTCATAAATTCAAATTTTAATCACCCTTCGATTCCAACCGTACAGTGAACTCTTATTTGTTATTTGTTATTGTAGGCACTAATTATAAGAATACGAATTCGATTTGCAATTGGGTGAGGTTAATGCTTTTGGGAAAAATCCCAGAACCAACCGGTTTTATATTAAATTATTTTTATTTTTAATAATTTACAACAGCATCAGAAGCAATGTGGCCCTAAGATGAGTATCAAGCATCAATGGAAGCCATCGTTCAGGATATACGGGTTGATTCTCATCTTTTGGGTTGCCTGGGCCGAAGGACAGAGCTCCAGTAACTATCTTATATTAAAAGTTATAAAATAATAATATATTAAACATTTAAAACATTTAGAAACGGAGGTTAATGTGGCATCTACGGCTTATACCCTTCGCTTTACTTTAAACGATGATACGGAGTACTCCATCAGTGGTGTCACCTGCCGCAATTCCAGTGGAAAGGAAACGATAGCCAATCAGGATAATGTATGGTAAGAGAAGTATCTTCGGAGTAGGGGATTTCCTTAAAAACTTCCTTATGTGGGTTACAGCGAAAGCCTCGATCCATGTACCTTTTACACCTGTGTGGTGTCCTTTCGAACCAATGTAGCCGAAAGGCCACCACCTTCCGAACAGATTATTTATGCCTACACGGAGTATAAACGTGAGTGGACTTTTGAAAAGGGTTTTTTTTTTGGAATTAATTCAATTGTATTTTATTTAGAGCCTAGAACCACTGTTAAATCACTGGAGCCCACGTCGCATACCATCAAGATATCCTGGCAGACAACCGATCGAGCTTGTGTGGAAAACTTTGAAATCAATGCCAAGGCTTCGGCCACGGGCTTCGGCTTCAACGTCGTCCAGCTGAACGAGAAGAGTACTTACACCTTCGACCAAAATATTAAGGCCTGCCTCACCCACGAAATCACCCTCGTGACCCGAAACAATGCCAGTCAAGTGGTGGACACAGACGTTAATACGGTGGACACACTGTACGCAGAGCCGGGAGATCTCTCGATGAACGTCACTAACCTGGCCAACGGCATTACGATGATAACTTGGAACGATCCCATCGAGGAGTACTGCATCAGCAACTATGAGTTCAAGTGGCGGCGTGACGACTGCCCGAAGGACACAAATCCGGAGGAGAGCACTACAATGGAGCCCACCACTCTGACCACCCCTGACATGGACTACGACCTGAGTACCACCACGGAAACGACCGCTTCACCTTCAGAACCAGACGATGGCAAGGGTGAGTGACTAAATTTAAACAGAGGATTGGAAATCCCTAATTTCCCAAACTCTCCCCCCAGTGGAATGTAACTGGAGTGAATCTACCTCCGACGGCAAGCTTCGAGAGTACTTGCTGATGGACCTGCAAGGATGTGAGCCATACACCTTCGAGATTTTCATAAATGAGAATTTGACGTCTAAGGCTTCACAACAGTTTACATCGGCTGAAAAAGGTATGTACATATTACCTCTATTGGCGGAGAACCCATTTTTTAATATTTTTAAGATATTAATCTTAAAAATTCGGTTGGACATTGCCAAAGATAAAGGTTTTAAAATTTAAAGGGAATTCGTTTCAAAATTTTGATGCAGATTCATAGAAAATGGATCTACGATTCGTTGAAGGTATTCCTCTAGAGAATCAGATGGATATTGGCAAAGATATAGCCTTTGCGGGGGTCCATACTGTCCTTCCCAGGCCCGTCTCAAATTTTGGAAGGGGACCCCTCAGAAAATTTGACGAAAAATCGAAAAAATATTTCGTTCCAAGATTTTAATGCAGATTCAAAGAGAATTGATCTACGATTCGTTGAAGGTATTCCTCTTGAGAATCGGATAAATATTGACGAAGATATAGCCTTCGCAGGGGTCCATACTGTCCTTCCCAGGCCCTTCTCAAATTTTGGAAAGGGACCCCTCAGAAAATTTGACAAAAAATCGAAAAAATATTTCGTTCCAAGATTTTAATGCAGATTCAAAGAGAATTGATCTACGATTCGTTGAAGGTATTCCTCTTGAGAATCGGATAAATATTGACAAAGATATAGCCTTCGCAGGGGTCCATACTGTCCTTCCCAGGCAACTTTCAAATTTTGGAAGGGGACCCCTCAGAAAGTTTGACGAAAAATCGAAAAAATATTTCGTTCCAAGATTTTAATGCAGATTCAAAGATCTCTTGAGAATCGGGTGGATATTGGCGGATGGATATTGGTGGATATAGCCTTTGCAGTGGCCCATGGTGTCCTACCCAGGCAACATTCAATATTTTTAAAGAAGTAACTCTCGAATTCCGTTTCAGTTCCCAGTGTGGTTTATGAACCCACACTAAGTGCAGATCCCAATAAAATGGGAGAGTTGAGCTGGACGTGGTCGGAGCCGCAGGATCATCCAAAATGTGTGGCCAACTATAGTGTAAGCCTGACTGGACCCAGTCAGCGTTCGGTTAAGGTATCCGAGGACTTGGTGACCGAGGAAAAAACGGCTGTATTCGAAAATCTAGACCCGTGTGGAATCTACACTGTGGGAATAGTGCCGATTATGTTGAATGGAAGCAGTGGGGCCTCTTATAAAGGAGAGGGCACAGTTCAAGAAGCTCGTAAGCAATGATAAGATTGGTATATAAAATTCCGTGTTTACTAATGAAGAACAATAATTACATACAGGGCCAACCCAGATCTTAGAACCGGTGGTAACACCAGATTCGTTTTCGCTGGAACTGAGTTGGGATATACCCGCCTATGCGGATCTGTGCATCGATGGCTATCGCCTGTCTGGCTGGACGGAGGACGAGCCCATTGTGGAGGGCCTCAGTGTCACCACAAAAAATACAAATGTGTCCTACTCGAATCTGGTCGCCTGTGAGATGTACACAATCCAAATCATTCCGTACACCAGGGGAAGTCAGGATGGAGACCCGAGACAGGTTGACGCTGAGATGCGACCAGCGATTGTTTCCAGTTCAAAAGTGAGTGTAATATTATTCAGACTGGATGTAGAGTGTTTATTTTCTATCATTGCCCTCAAATAAAGATCAAGTTTGAAGTGTTGACTGGCAGTACTAGCTCCCACAGTCTGGAGCTAAGCGCTTTCAATAATGATTACAACAACTCCTGCCCGACCATCTATGCTTTTTTTGAATGCAAAACAACTGATAATGTTCCCAACAAACAAGCTGATCGTTACGTCGAAGGACACACTCAAAGAGGTGGGTATCCATCCTCCAAAGAGTAATCCGAAACTCATTCTTATAACCCTGCAGGTTTCCAGGCGGTTGTTAGCCCACTTTCCCCGTCCACCACTTACGTTTGTTATGTGACACTTTACAATGTGGCCGGGCCCTCGGAAGTGCTTAGCAGGGCCGGGATCTCAACAGCAAACTATTGTAAGTAATACAGGAGAATCTTAGAATGGATGATTCACTTCCTTTTGATTTATAGTTCCTGAGAGGCCGGAGAATTTACACAACGAACACAGGACGACTAACAGTCTCCAGTTCAGCTGGGATCCACCCACCTATCTAAACGGAGCTCTTAAGTTCTACCAGGTGTTCCTAATGCTCCACGAAGCCAACTACTTTATGCCCGAAGATTGCACCATCGATGAGTGGTCCAAGTCGGAGACCAATGCCCTAACCACTTCCAACTATTCAGCGTTATCGCCAGGAATGAAGTACATGATCCAGGTGGCTGCTCAGAATGATTTCGGAATGGGTGACTACACAGCTCCTGTAATTGGCATTACTCTGCCCACCGGTATACATAAATATTTTCAATATAATACACACTCTAAGATTGTACTTCCTAGTCTCTGACAACGTTACCCAGTTGACTGTAGCACCAATGGGTCCCTATCCGGATCCCAACCTTCAGTACTTCGCCAACGTGACCATCACATGGACAGTGCCCTGCAGGTCGAATGGCGAGATCGAGTACTTCCTGCTTGTCTTCAGTGGAACTCGAAAAAATCACGAGAATATCGCGTTTAATCGCACGGTTCAGTTGGATACAGAAAACAAAAAGGGTCGGATGTCCTACACGGAGACAGATATGCAGCCGGAGTACGACTATAGGGTGCTGGTGGCAGTCAAGAACCTCGATGTGGATCAACTGAGTTACGGAGTGCCCGGCCAGTGGCAGTCGCCAGCAGGATGTTAGTACAAAGGGCATTATTCATTTCGAAGACCTCCTTCTTATTGGCTTTTTTTTGAATCCTTAGTACCATCACGCCTGGGGGACGAGCTGGTGGGTCAGATGCGGGTGAAAACCGAGGAAACGAATCATCCAACTAAATCGGCGGTGGTCCGTCTTCCAGCCAGCATCATGAACTCCGAATCGGGTGACATCCAATACGTTGCCCTGTTGGTCTCGCAGAAGAACTGCGCCGGAACGTCACAGCCGGAGTTGGGATTCGAGGTGTCCAAGGAGTGGCCCAACTCGCTGACCTACGAAGAGGCAGGTGGCGATGGCAGCGGCGGTTGCGTTGCCCAGTACCAGACAACACCCTTTTACTGGAAACCTGTGGCCACTGTCCGGTACCGCCGGAGCACTGACAACACCACGGACTCTGACTCCGAAATTGTATTTACCATCGGCGAAGACAAGTGTCCCAACGCTGATCGATTCTGCAACGGGCCTTTGCTGGCGGACACGGAGTATTATCTGGTAGTGCGATTGTTCACCTCGTCCGGATACAGTGATGCTGCTCTCCTGGAGTTCAAAACTGAGGCAGCCATCAAGGTTACCTTGATCCTGGTCAGCGTTTGCTCTTGCCTGCTCCTGGCGTTTGTGATCGGATTGGTGGTCTTGTGGGTTCGGAAACGTATTGCTTGGTAAATCCTTTAAATATACAAAATATCGAATAAATAATGAATGCTTTTCCCGCAGGCACCGTGACTCTGGCCAAGGAATCGAGGATCCTTTTGGCAACATCATTGCCAAGAACTTTGCCATTTTCTATGCCGAGGTGGCCAAGCCAGAAAAATTGGCTCGGGAGTTCAAAGAGATCACCGTTGCCGCCGTTGTACTGAGCTATGCAGCTTCGGAGTTGGGTTGCCATAAGAATCGCTACGCAGACATATATCCTTGTAAGCAAAATATAAATAAATATTTTTACAAAATCATAAAAAATTGTGCATCACCTAGATGACAAGAACCGCGTTATACTGGACATAGATGCGGAAGGCTCGGACTATATCAATGCCTCCTTTGTGGACGTAAGTGATTTATCCTTCAAGGAATTCTGACCTTCAACTTAGCTCCATTTCACAGGGTCATACTCGGAAAAAAGAATATATAGCCACACAGGGACCAAAACCGGAGAGCGTAATGGACTTTTGGCGCATGGTGCTTCAGTATAATGTACGGATTATTGTGCAGGTCACCCAATTCCGCGAAGGCAACATAGTAAGTGCATAAGATTACTTTTTGATCCCTTCCTAAGGTGTGGAGTATCTTCACAGATCAAATGCCACGAGTACTTTCCCTATACCATGCGAGGATTAACCGTCACGGTGAAGAGCAAGGAAAGCTTTGACCTTTACGACCGCACTGAGCTAACAGTGGTCCATGAAAAGTACGGCTTCAAGGAGAAGGTGGTCCACTTTTACTTCAAGAAGTGGCCAGATCATGGGGTTCCAGAAGATCCAATGCACCTGATCACCTTTGTGAAGAAGGTAAAGTCGGAGCGGCGCCCCAATTTCTCGCCCATTGTGGTCCATTGCAGTGCCGGGGTGGGTAGGACAGGGACCTTTATTGGTCTGGACATAATCATGCAGCGTCTGAAGAGCGAGTCCAAGATCAACATCTTCGAGACGGTGAAGAAGCTGAGGTTTCAACGCATGAAGATGGTGCAGACCCTCCAGCAGTACACCTTCCTCTATGCCTGCACCTACGAACTGGTGAAGCACAAGATTCCCCGGGCGGCTCTAAAGCTTGAAGGTCGTCCCAAGCCGCTTAATGGGACTGTTCCTGCTCTTTCCGCACCCAAGAAAGTGAGCTTTCCAGACGTGGAAGCCAGTGCCCATAGCGACTCCGAAGCGCCAGTGGTGACTGCCCCATACCCGAACCAGGAAGTAGATGTGCCTGTTCTGCAGCTACCTGCTCGGTATTCTGGTCAGCGGAACGGTGGTCCTCAAGCCGACACAATCAGCATTACGAGCACCAATATGTGAGGCAGAAAATGACATAACCTGTATATTAATTGTATTTGTATTATGCGACCACAATTTATGTGCAATAATAGCCAAAGAAATGTGACTAAATCGTAGAAAATGGATCTTCAAAATGGAGCTTTACAACTAAATAATTTTTGTTTTTACCCTTGTATTTATAAACAAATGCCTATTATCGCCAAATAAAAGTATTATTTTTTGGGTTTTGGTAAATATAATTTAAACATTTTTAAACATGTAACTTTACCAATTTTATAAACAATTTAAAGTATTTCAAAAGTCCGCGCAAGAAAGTCAAAGTTATGGACAGAGTCTGTTAAATAACAGTTGAAGGTCAGTATTGGATAGCGCGATAATATATCGATTACAATATCGATGTTGATCACCCATATTTATTATCTGGCCAGTGGTCACACTAAAGAGCAACGACAATATAGAATAGTGTTTATATTTATATTTCACAAAGTTTTAAGTTTTCTGCAAAATGTCGGAGCGCAAAGTTCTAAATGTAAGTTTTTCTTCAAATCCACAAGCATGGCTCTCTTTTGACCTTGTTTCTTGCAGAAATACTATCCCCCGGACTTCGATCCGTCGAAGATTCCGCGCATGAAACTGGCCAAAAACAGGCAATACACCGTCCGACTAATGGCTCCGTTTAATATGCGATGCAAAACCTGCGGCGAGTATATTTACAAGGGGAAAAAGTTCAATGCTCGCAAGGAGGACGTTGAGAACGAGACATATCTTGGCATCAGGATCTACCGGTTCTACATCAAGTGCACCCGCTGTCTGCAGGAGATCTCCTTCAAAACAGATCCCCAGAACACAGACTACGAGATTGAGGCGGGTGCCACGCGCAACTTCATGGCCCTGAAGTTGGCCGAGGAGCAGGCGAGACGCGAAGAGCAGGAGGCTCGCGAAGAGGAGGCCAACAACCCAATGAAGCTGCTAGAAAACCGAACACAGCAGTCGCGGAACGAGATCGAGATGATCGAAAGTCTCGAGGAGTTGCGCGACCTGAACCGCCGGCAGCAGACCGTGGATTACTCTACCATGCTGCAGCAGTACAATACGGTGGAAACGGAGAGGGAACGGTTGGAAAGGGAGGAGCGCGAGGACGAGGAATTCATAAAGTACGTCGAACGGCAGCTGGTTCATAGCTTTCCTTTTTTAACATTCTTATCCTTCCCTACAGATCCGTCAAGTTCAAGACAAAATCCGATGGAGCCTCACTAATAGTGGCCGAGGAAATTATTGAAGAAATCAAGGAGGAACCAGAGGAGACGTTACCAGCACCACCATCAGCCAAGCAGGCCAAGACAAGCACTCTCAGCGTGGCCGCATCGTCTTCCAGCAAAGCACTTGCCTCAAAGCCATTGGTAAAGCGAAAGACACCCTTAGTATTGGTCAAACCCAAGACAGTTGGGGTAACGCCTTCAAATGGAACCAAACCTGCAGTTAGTAAGCCAGTCGAGTCAAAACCACCAGCCTCCTCAACGTCTGCGACAGCGGAGCCGAGAGCTCCTGCTCCCGCAGCTTCTGCGCCAGTTGGGCTCTCGCTTCTAGCTGCCTACAGTGACAGTTCCGAGGATTCCAACTGACTCAGCATTTACTTAAGGCATTTTATAATTAAATGTACTCTTGAAATAGTCACAATAAATGCTATTGTTATTTAGTAACCCATTTGTTTTATGTTGGAATAATGCATAAATTTTATTAAATATTTCGACTTTGTTTCACATTTTGTCAAGGCCAATGGTAAGGCAAACTAATTTCAAATTCAAACCAAAAAGAAAAGAAAAATATGCATTAAGTATTCACTTTCAATCGGCGATGTCATAGCCGGCACTGGCCACAATACACCGAGTGTGCATTAACTTACAAATCTAGATACGAGCTACTATTAATGGCTAAGTGCTATTTACAGAGGTATTACGATTAAAACTCGGGCAATCAAAATAATAAATAATATCACAAGCAAAACAAAATTATAAATATACGATTCAGATTATCAGATAGTTGGGCTTTTAGAAAAATCGATTCTAATGATTAATTTCATAAATTACGAAGACACTGGTATGTTTCTCTAGCTCTCCTATTTCCCTCCCAAAGGCATCGGCATCGGCATCGATAAGGCGGCCTACGAATTACAATTATGAGTTAAACAGTCTTTGTTCGTTGCGGATTTGGGGGCGGGTTGCGGATTTTTGGTATGTGATCCTGCTACATTTGGTTTAGCCTTCTGCTCAAATGTCCACGGCGCATCGCCATCGCCACCACCCCCGCCACCGTCGTAGTTGTGATTGTTGTTCTGTAGGAAATGCTGCTGCTCCTCTGATGGAATATATATATCCTCCATGTCGTCGTACTCGGAGATACCCAGAGCCCGGGTGGGAGCGTACTGCAGCTCGTTTTCCTCATCATCCTCCTCATCGTCTGTGTGGTGCTTGTGCCGGCGCATCCCCACCACCATATCCTCCAGACTGCGCTTGACAGCAGCATCGGATCCAGTGCCCGAGTCCTTGCTAGACAGGCGATCCTGCTGGGCCTCTAGGTCTGTTTGTTGCAGATACCTAAGCGTCAGTCCCTGCTCCAGGCAGCGCTGCTCATAGGAAGGAGTCGTCGTCACAATCAGGCGACTGTGGGCCGCCTGGTTATCTTCACTTCCCAAGTCGGCCAGGCTGCGAGGTCGTGCCTGCCCTTGATGCGGCGAGGAAATGCCGTCCAGGACCAACTGCGACTGGTGCGGTCTCATTTGCGTACGGTTGAGAGTGGTCAGCTGCGTCTGGTCCTTGTCCAGCGTCGAGTGCAAGCTGGCCTGCGTACGAGCCGCCAAACGCTCGGCGGCCAGGCTCATTCTCAGCTTTCGCTTCTGGTAGCGCAGTGTACACCAAATGATGCAGCAGTCCACCAGGACACAGGTCACCGTCAACGCAATAATGCCCATCAGTAGGACGTCCCAGTTGAGGTTCTCCTTGACCACCACCAGCTCTGACTGCAGGGTAAAGGTGCGCGAATTGTCCGTAATCTCGCAGCGGTAGTGACCCGCATCATTGGACTGCGCGTTCAGGATCACGAGCAGCTCCTTGCTGTTGGTAAAGTAGTAGCGATCCCCGTCCGAGATGTGTATGGGCTTGTTCTCCTTGAACCATTCGCGATGCGGCTGCTCCAGCTCGATCTCTGCATTGGCTGTTTCGCTCAAGCACTCCAACACACAGGTGCGACCGACAATCACTTCTTGGTGCACCAGCGGAATACTCGGTTGGGGTTTATCTGTTGAAATGGAGGACCATTAATGGCAGTTCACCTGGTTATGGTTATTAGGGAACTTACCGTTTACGACCAGCGTGGCGTTTACTTTTATCTCTCCGGCGGCGCTAACCGCCGTGCACGTATAGATTCCGGAATCACTCGGCTTGGCGTTGGTTATCAAGAAGGCGTTCTCCTCGCGTATCACCTGCAACCGGCGCTCAGTGGCCGCCGGAAATTCGCTGCCACCGAACTTTTGCAGGGCCATCTCCGGAGTAGGATCGCCGCTAGCCGAGCACACCAGCCTAGCCGTTTCGCCAGCATCTAGGGTGAGGTTGGAGGGCACTTGCAGGAAAGTGGGATGAACTATGACCACAAAACGAGATTGGTTAGTGAGAGCTATGGGTTTTGGAATCAGTGCACTTACTTCCTATGGATATCTTGAACTTCTGGGCGTAGGTAGTTCCAAAAGCATTCGACACCACACACTGATAGCGTCCAGCGCTCTCGTAGCTAACGTTTGTCAGTCTCAGATAGCCGTAGATGGAGGTCTGATTAGTGCCCTGGTCATGGTGGATCTTCGTCTCCGTGCTGGAGCCGTCGTGGAGAGCGGTCGGTCGCTCCAGAACGTGCTGGTTGTCGTGGCGCCACTTGATCTTCAGCTCATCCGCTGCGGCCAGTGAAGCGGCTGCCGGAGAACTGGCAATGCACTCCAGAGTGATGTTGGCTCCGTTCACTGCCAGCATATTCTCTGGCGGCTCCTGCTCCAGTTTTGGCTTGGGAGAGTCCACTAGAAGGGCCGAAGTGTTATTAGTTTTTGTTTAGAAACCTTCCTTTGATGATTGGACTTACCGCATACCAACTCCGAATCGCTCAGAGTTCTAATCTGGCGATCCAGAAGGTGCTCCGGATAGCCGCAGACCACGTGCTGCATGTGCTGGGGAAACTTGCTCTGAAGCCAGTTGCGGAACCAGATCAGCTCGCAGTCGCAGATAAAGTTCAGGGACTTGAAGACGAACTTGTTCAGCCGAATCATGTGCTCGAAGGTGTTGGGCTGGATGCTGGCCAGGGCGTTGGAGCCCAGGTTCAGGGTCTCCAGGTTGTTCAGGCCACTCATTGCCTTGCTGCTGATCTGCTTGAGGTTGTTGCCGTGCAAGTCGAGTCTTCGCAGCTTGCGAAGATCCTTGAACGGGGCCGCGGCACTCTGGTCCTCGATGATCCACGACAAGCGGTTGCGCCGCAGATTCAGCTCCTCCAGGTTCTTCACACAGTTGAAGGTGTTGTCCTGCAGGTACTGCAATCGGTTGTGGGCCAGGTTCAGGGTCTTCAGGCGCTGCAGGCAGTCCAGGTGCTGAGGCTTGAACTCGGTGATGGCGTTGTGGGAGAGGTCTAGCAGCTCCAGCAGCTGGGTGAACTCCCAAGCGTCCACCTCGATGTGCGAAATGGCGTTCATCGACAGATTCAGGTGGCGCAGCTTCGTCAGGTTGTAGAGCTCCTTGCGGGAGAGCGAGGTTATTTGGTTCTGGGCCAAGTCGATGGATTCAATGTTCCGCATCACGTAGAACACGCCGTCCTGCAGCGCCCGAATCCGGTTGGCCTTTAGTTGCAGGTTCTTCACGGCCACCAGGCCCTTAAACGTGGACCAGTTTATCTCCAGATGGTTGAAGTTCAGAGATCTGAATGGAGGTATGATATAGATTATAGTAAGTATTCTCTGGGACCTATAGCTCTTCTACTTACAGCTTCTTCAGGCGGGTCAGGTTTTGGAAGGTTCCCACGGGAAGGTTACCGATTTGGTTGTTGTTCAGCTCCAGGTCCGTCAGATTATTCAAAGGCACGAAGGCAGCCACATCTATGTTGGTTATCTCGTTGAAGTTGAGTATTCTGTGGAGTGGAACAGAAGTCAGTGGAATCGAGGACCCAAAAGAGAGTCTTCTGAAACACCTACAAGTGACCCAGGCTGTTGGGCATGGGGAAGGAGTTAGCCTCAATACTGTGTAGCTGGTTTCTGGACAAGTCCAGGGTTCTCAGCGAGGGCAGGGCCAAGAGGGCTTCCCTGGAGATGCTGGTAATGTGATTGTTGGCCAAAATCAGGTGCTTCAGGCCACCTAGCCCCGTGAACTTGGGTATAGCCTCCAGCAAATTTCGCTTCAGGGTTCTGAAATGGAATTATTTTCAATCAATAATCCTAGCTTTTGGATCTAATCCTAAGATATACTTACACTTTAATCAAATTGGATAGATTTTTAATTTCCAGAACCGTCGTGTCGTTCAGCTTGTTGTTCGCCAGTTGCCTGGAAGGATAGATACTGATTAGTGAGTGGCTCTATAGGGTCTATAATTATGCACTATTATCGATGCAGGGCTGCTGATAACAAACGAACAGAGTTTGCATAATTTTCCATGCATTAAATTGATTAAAGGCCCAACGATAAAATCGCAACCCTCCGAAAAAAAAGACTGCAAATTGAGGGCAAATGTCGAACCCGAATGGGGTTGTGACACACTGCAATTTATATTGGCAGCTTAGTCGCGGGGGGTGGCTACAAATGGCCCTCTTGCCATTTCATCCCCTCGCCGAATTCCCCGAAACTCCACCACGATGGAGGACTTTTGGGGGTGGAGACATGAATAGGGGATTGTATTCCAAATTGAGAGAAATGTCGGTAAGACCAGTGGAGGTTTTAGAGAACTTGGTACACATCTTGGGGATAATACTTACAAAGTATGGACATAGCTGGGCAGCACAGGTACCCTCTCCAGGTGCAACTTGTCGCACTCGAAGATCCCGGCCACACACTTGCAGTCCTTGGGGCAGTCTTTGCTGTGCTTGTTGTTGGCCGCGGCGGCTGCTTCTCGCAGAGCCTTCTCCGCCTGCTCGTACTGCCCCCCATCGTCCGAGACGAAGCCGTTGGTCTCCAGTGACCCGGATTGGACGGAGGATAGGTGGGATGCCCCGGCTGATAGTCCAGACCGATGCGGGATGTGCAAAGCGGCCATGTCCTCATCATCTACATCGGCATCGGACTCGTCTTCGCGCAGGTTCAGGAATTGCTGGAGATTCGCATTCCCCCGGTTGCCTCGAGGTCCCGATCCGGATCCTCCAGAGCCCCCGTTCCTGGTCAGCATGGCGAACAACTGCTGCTGCGGCAACTGGTGATTGTACGAGGCACCGCCAGACTTGAGAAACGCCGTCAGAGGCGATCCTCCTTCGCCGTCCCGTGCTCCGCCAGACGACGACGACGATGATGATGACGACGACGGCGACTGGGCGGCGCTTTGACAAATTGTGGCCGCTGTTATCAGCAGCATGTACGTAATTAGCAGCAGTTTATTGATTTTATTGAAATCATTGGTTGTAGTATAATTGCAATTATCATTATTGCGACTCGATGCTGCTTTTTCTTTGTTGTTTTTGTTGTTGCTGTTGCCTTTCCGGCGATGTCGCCATTTGGCGCATGACATTAAAAATTTACCATTCGCCATACTAATACTACTAAGACTATAACTACTACTACTAGTACTAGTTGCACTGCCTTTCCGGCTGCATATTCGATGATTGTCCAACCGGAGGCTGCTTCGACTGCTATCACTCTCCCTCGATTCTGGCCTGAGTTTTATGGCCGAAACGTGCATTTCGTGCTATTTTCTAAATTCGTTAAAGTCGCAGCGTTTAAAGCTGCCAGCTCCGTTATGCCAGCCAATGTCACTCTGCGTCCGTGACTGCTGTTCCTGGACAGTTCCTTCCGCTGGCCGCGCAGACTCCAACCACTTGCATGATGATTTCTGCAAAAAAAAAAAAAATAGAGGATGATGATTAGATTGGAGTTTAAGGGGTGGAAGAGGGTTGGAAACATGGTTTTTTGCATTTCTTTACTTAATATAGTATCTCATGAATATTTTGGTTATAATTACGCTTTTTGAGGGTTTTTATTTAGTAAGTTAAAAGTAGTTGTCTAATAAATGTAATCTTTTGAGGCGCTTTCCCTCATAATACATGATTTTAAAGACAGTGCCCATTATAACTCGAAAACTACCAGAGCGATTGCTTTGAAATATTTAATTTAATTTCTTTCTTTATTTCTTAATTTAATTCAATATTAATTTTATCGTAAATCCTAGAGAGTTTTATTCCAAAATTAGCTTTTTTTTGTAATGAATAGACATTTTAGCTATTTATCCATTCAAACATTTTATGAAACCTATACTTTTCTACAGAAATTCTACAAAATATTCTTTAAAAGTCTTACTAAAATATGAAGTTTATTTCAATAAATATTTAGGATTATTTGTAACTATTTAACCTTTTCCTTTCTTACGAAAGAGTATGTATATAATACTATAATAATACCCCAAAATAATCCATTAAACTCTCGAGTCTAGACCGAGTCCCAGTCTAGTCATAATTTGCTTTTTCTAAAGGAAATGAAAATAATATAGTCCGCAAATGTATATATATTTCATGGCTTTATAAATAAATAATAATTGTGCAGAAATTGCCAGTGTCTCTGGCCGAGCACAGAATTTATACTCATTAAATTAAAATACGACCGGATGTTTTGTGCGAAAAAAACGCGCAGAGCCAACGATTTTATAATGCAAACAAAACAAAATGAAATAAAATAAAACTCAACTGAACAGATCGCTGCAAAAACAGCAAAACATCATCATCATCACCACGACGACGACTACGACGACTGCGACGTTGGTTGAGGCCCCAAAGGCATTCAGAATTCAGAAAACAGAACTGAAATCACAATTCAGACGTAATGTCTTCATCTCTCCACTCCAGAATTGTGCAGCGTGTGCAGCTTTTATTTTGAATAAACACGGAGGGGGGACGAACTTGGGGGACTCATTGGGAGACGGGGCACTGGGGCCGTGCCGGGTGTACATACGAGTCCAAAGCTCGCTAAATTCGGTGACAGTCCGGGTCCCGGACTCCGGAGAGATAAAGAATAACTGCCGGATGAATGGATGCTGGGAGAGGGGGAGGTGTGCTGGCTCGGCTATCACCTTTCAGTGGCCCGGATACGAAAAAGGGCAGCTCTCAGCAACAAATTAAAGAAAATGCCTTGCAATTACCACAACAGTTGGGCACACATAGCATATACACTGGGAGAAAAGAGTGGGGGTATTAACCTTTTAAAATTAATCAATTTTTACTCTCGCTTGGTGTATAAATTTTATTGTTTTTCTTGGTGGATGTACATATATAGATACGTCGGCTAGCCAGGCTACTAAAAATGGTCCGGACCGCACTATAGGAGGGTGGGGAGGGGGTCGGATAATAGGGGGTAGACGCGTAAAAATGCCCAGACAACCAAATTTAGTAACAGCAGCATCGGCAACCGCTTACTTTAGTTTCAAGATTTTTCTTCAAAGAGTTTTCCGGGCATTTCCCACCGCTCCATGTCTGCATCTTGCATCTCGCCCTGGCTATATATAGCCAGCCAGGCCATGCCAGCCAGCCAGCCAGCCAGCTAGCTACTTTTATGTGCTTGAAGTTGGCCAGGAAAGACTTCAAGTGCCCGGAGTGGAGCAGAGACTCTCCAGAGGGAGTGAGGAGGTTTTTTGATTAGTTTCCAGTCGATAATAAGTACCAGTCTTGGCACCAATTCCCAAAGTATCTCTATCTCAAGATTGTCACACGTTCTCCCCCAACACGTTCTACATTTTGTCAGTTTTACGGTTTTACAGTTAAGCTCTGCAATTATCTAATCAAGGGTTTGCGATCGCACCGAGCGGTATCTACAGAGGGAAATGTTTATAGTTGATATATGTGAAGAGATCCATGGGGTTGTCGGTCAATATTTGATCGGGCAAGTGCCCATTCCGAAGAAAGGTTTGCCATTCAAGTGGAGGATACTACCTTACTAACCTAATTCAAGCAGGAAATGGCTCCTTGTACGATATGTTTTGAAATATGAAAGAGGTACGATTTAGGTCTCCCCTCAATTAGGTATTTTATTTTTTGATAAATTAATCCCTTCACAAGCTGGCGAAAAATGTTAGCGAAAGCCAACCTGTGCGCCCCATCGATCATGATCGAAACAATGGTACCGATTTCGCACCTATCGATCAGCACAAAATCCTAAGCATAATGCGGGCCATTAAATCACTGCTATATCTCTGGGGGCTATCTAGCCGATCTCTGGCTCAATTTTCACACACCAATCAGCGGAGAGCGCTAATTTCCACTGCCCACGACAGTGCCACCATTTTGAATTGATTTGCATCCATAATCGTTTTGGCTAATTCCAATATCGCATCTCGACAAATCCCAAAATAAAAAACTTAAACTTTTTACACAAAAAGGTTCGAGTCGGGAGGGAAAAACCCACGCCATCGAGAAGATCTCCCGGTTGGTGCTGGCTTTCACTCTGAACTCATTTCGGGACAGCTTACAGACAACACCAAAATTTACGATCAAATGCAGATTTCATTGACGCTTTATTTTTTTTCCATTTTTTTCCAGTTTAAGTTTGTGGTTGTCAACTCCCTCACAATTTATTAGATAACGCATGGCCACGGGTATTGTCTTCTTAAAAAAAGACCCCCAAAAAAAACGACAAAATGTCGACGTTGATGATATGATAATACACCCATTGATATATACAATGGTCCGATATTCCGATTCCGATTCAGAGTCGCAGTCCCATCCACAGCCACACATAGCAGCATATGTTTATGCTACGTATCTGTATCTCATGATCAACGTGTGTACGAATGTATCTTCTAATGATCATTAGCCAGTGTCGGTCGGGGCAAGAACGACATCATTTTTCAGAGCCCCTATCGAAGGGAGATGGCAACAAAGACCATCCACAATCAGTTTTTGTTGTTTATATAATTATCGTATCTATGCATTCGAGTATACATTTTCCTCTTTTTTTTTTTAGCAGCTTAGACTGCATTTTTATTTGACTTAATTTTTAGTCACTAGCCTCCGATTTAAACATTTATATTGGTAATTTTTTTTATTGGTTTTTTGGCTTTTTGGCTGTCGCTTTTGCTTTTTAGATGGCGGGAGTTGTTGTTGTCGCCCACAGCTTTTTTCGGTGATTTTTGTTGTATTTTTTTTATCTCTGTCTCGGATTTTTGTGTCTCTTTTTATAAAAAATTACGTTTTCCCCCAAAATGTTTTTGCGTCTAGCATTTTTTTTCTGTTTTAGCATTTTATTACCTTTGCCAAGTAAATAAAAATATACTCGTATACCCCATATGCAATATTTTTGCGAATAAGCTGAGTGTTGCATTTGCTCAAGTGGTTTTTTCGTATAATGAAATAAAAAATAAAATAAAATCAAAAAAAGAGAACAAAACAAGAAAGGAAAGCTTTCTTCGGACAGAGCCGAAGTTGAGATACCCTTTCAGTACTTGCATATTTATTTTATAAGATATGGAATTACAGATGGGATATACACTGCCAATATCGGATATAGGTTGCCGAATCGAAGATATAATCGGATATATTATTATATAAAAAAAAAAAAAAAAAAAAAATATATATATATAAAAAAAAAAAAACTTATATTAATAGTAATAATAAAAAATTACAACAAATTATGGCAATAAAAAAAATTACAACAAATTATGGCAATAAAAAAAAATTACAACAAAAAAAAAAAAAAAAAAAAACCAAATAAAAAATTATTTTTCCGACTTTTCGGGCCTGCTTAAGTGCAACCTATGAGAATCGAGGAGGAGGGCACTATTTTTAATTAATTATTTTTTAATATTTTATTAAAAATGTACCAAATTGAAGCATCTTCCAGAATATTATCATATGCCAAAAAAAAGTTAAAATTTGACTCTTCATTACTATCTGACATCCATGCAAATTCAACCAATGGTTCTCATTTTTTTCGCGTTTTTTTTTTTAACTAGATATTTATTTATATCTAAGATATATTTACTTTACAGAGTAGCAGATTTTCCTTCAAGGCATTACAAACACATTGAAAAAATGAACATATCCTGAATACCCTTCTGCAAAAGCCAAAAAACCACTAGAGCTCCTGTGGCAGTGGGCGGTCAAAAAAGTGCCGTGTTTTGAGGATGGTGGGTGGGTGGTGGTGGTGTGGGGTGTGGGGTGGCTAAGGTGAGGTGGGGTCGCCAAGCAGCTGCAACCAAAGCCAAACTGCCGATGCTGCCAAAACCCAATGCACAGTGGGTACTTTTTTCTATCTTTTATTAATGAGTCATATCTTAATTCTAACTCTTAATTAAGATTTCAGAAATCTAAAGATATTTATTTACATTTTTTTTAATTTCTTATCTTAGTTTAAAGTTTAATTTATAGAACTAGTTTGGCTTTTTCTCCCATTCTTTTGTTTTGTTTTTTTTTTTCTGCCAGAAGCTGCGCTTTGTGGCTTTGTTGTTGTTGTTGTTGTATTTTGTATCTTGACAATTGAGTTCTTCTGCTGCCGGGCTCTCTGCTGCTGCTCTGCCGCTGTGGTGATGTGTGCACCACTGCCAGCAGAAGTCCACGCGAATTTGCGTGGGCAGAGAACGGAAACCGCGTGCAGTCGACATCTGCGCCGACGCTCTCGCCTGTTGTCGTAATGTGTTACGTCAAAGTGTGCGTATGTATGTATGTGTGTTAGCCACAAACACAATAACAACAACAATATCGCATAAAAGGTAAAAACGTCGCGCTGTCTGCGGCAACTAATTAGGTAACGTGCCAGCAGATATAGCAACAACAACAACAACAACAGCAGCAATAGCAACAAGAAACAACAAGAACCCACGATAAGAGGCAGCGCAGCTGACTGCGCAGCCACCGCAACGCAAATAGCAACATAAATTTCACACAAACACACAGTCATATACTCACACACACACACACACACATGCGAGCGAATAAAATCCAATAAGAAACAAAATTGCCAGGCTGTCTGGCAGCCCCAAGTCCGTTCTTGTTGTTGTTGTTGTTGTTGCTGTTGCTGTTAATTTAGCTGCCTCTCTTCAGAGTTGTTGTTTTTGTTTTTTCTCATTTTGCAAAAATAAATTTAATTTTGTAGCCATTAATTTTCCACTCTAGATACGATAGACGTACTACGTATACACCACTATAGCCACTCACAGCCACCAACCACGAGTCAGCCTCTCAGCCAGGGACTGCTAATTAAATAACTAAAAAATGAAATAGAGTTTATAATTGTGCTCGTTGTTCATTTTGCGGATAACTGTTTAACTGCTTCAACTTTGGCAACTCTGGTTTAAGGAGGGTTTTAGTTTTAAGGACTGTGTTGGGGTTAAGGACTTTATTTCCTCAAAATGGTTACACAAATTAGTTTCCAAAAAGTTGGTGTGGTATAGGATAGTGTTAGGATAGTAGTCTAGAATAGATGGATATGTAGGTATACATATGTAGGTAATACAAAAAAAGATACATAGATAGTTATAGATACACACTCGTAGATAGTACAATATAGGATAGAATAGATAAGGTAACATAGTAAAGAATACTATAGATAGAGTAGTACATAATAATATAGAACAGGATAGTACAGATAGTATGACAGAGGATGGTATAGAAAGTATAATAGAGGATAATATAGAATGTATCTTACTATCCTTAGTGTACGTAGTATCTTTAAGAATGAAATTGAATTGAATAGTACCGAAAAGTATGGAATAGGATAGTATGTTTTAAGATATATAAAATATGGGATAGGATACACAGGTATGGATAGAATATTTTCGGATGGGATATATAGCATACGATATTTAAAATAGGATACGATCTACAGTAAAGGATAGAATATCAACTTTATAAGATAGGATGTGCCGATAAGAGAATATCTCAAATAGGATAGTAGGATATTTAGTATAGTATAGGATAGTATAGTAGTAGTATAGTACTAGATAGAATGGGTTAGTATAGTACAGTACTAGATGGTATAAATTGTCATGTATTGTCTAGGAACAGAAAGAATATTTTTCGAGGTATAATGGAGTGTAAGATAAACATACAGATATAGATAGAATATTTTAGGATATGGTATAAAGTATGGGATAGTATAGAATTGGATAGTATAGTGATGGTACTAGATATATTTTATAGATAGTGAAGGATAGTACACTATAGCATAGTATAGAACTATATAGTATAGATAGTCTAGTATAGGACGAGTTAAGATACTTTTTTGCCTAAATATGGATTATTTTCTTTCAAAGCATTTTCCTCTTAATCAAGTTCCACTGTACTTCCTTGCTGGCCTCTGCCCGCTGCTTGTATTTACTCTCTTTACTTTTTCAAGTTCAATTTGGCGCAATTAGTAAACATTTATTGTTATTATTATTATTTTCTTTTATCCAATACCAATACCAATATAGCCAAGCAAGTTTATACAAAGATATGCATGTACTTGCCAGTCTACTGGTAGTGGTATTTGTATAATAAATTAACGTCTTTTTTTATCGCTTTAATGATAAACCGTTTTGCTTGATTGGTCTAAGGCGCATAAATAAAAAATAAATAAAGCGCAACAAATGTTGTTATTATTGCCATTGTTGTTGTTATTATTGTTATTGTTGCTTTGATAAGAAGCACAGCTTGTGATATCATATGCCAAATATTGTATCTTAACCGTATCTACTTTGTTTGGGGTGTGGTGGGCCAGTCAGGTGAATGAATTCTTTGGAAATTCTTGGAAAAAAATAGAAAACAAAGGAATATATTTCCAAAAAAAATAAAGAATGGTTTTTAAAAAAATCCCAAACCTAGTAACCTCATGAATGAAAGTAACTTGCCACCTACAAGGTATATCTCACAACATATCGACTCTCTGACCAGAACAGAGCTACAAATATCATCACCAATATACAGATTATAAAACTAAATACATCAATCTTAAATAATGGAAGCATTTTTCCGGAAAATAGCCAAAGGAGATTTTTTACCTTCATCAGTAAGTATAAGGATAGGTATATCATAGAGAATTCTTATAGAAACCACATGTAAACAGGTTACTTCTTTGACCAATTTAATGCCTGGAAGACTTCTAGGCCCTGAAGTTCCAGTTGAACCCAAGTTAGAAGCTCCGGTTCTTCGCCGGAGCGAGAGGATCAAGGCCATGATGGAAAAAAAGCGTCAGAAGGAGGAGGAGCTCAAGAAGGCGGAAAATTCAACGACAGAAGACCCTGTCGAGCAGAAGCCCAAGATTGAGAGACTCTCGAGACGCTCCTCCAAGAGCCATGTAGGTCACCCACAGCAGTGCTCCTGCTGCGGCGTCGACTTGGTCCTAGTCTGCCCCACTTGCGATTCGAGGGTAAACCCAGGACCTTCTGGTTCGAGCTCGGGTGCGGGGAAGAAAAGGAAACGTAATGACGAGGAGCGCCAAAGCAAGCGCCGGAACTTGGGGGTCTCATCCCCAAAGCCCCCACCAGTGGCCCAGCCCAAGAAGAAAGCCAAGAAGGCGGCTCCTCCCAAAAGTTCTCCCTAAGTTTCTAGTTTAGAAAGACCCTCTCCAAATTATGAAGTGATCTTTTAGTTATTAGTTTCAGATTTTAGAAATTTAAAAGTTAACATAAAACACAAACAAAAAGTCATATAATTAAAAAATGGGCCTTACACCCAAAAAAAAATGAGAAATATTGTACTTTTAGTCGAAGAACTGGCATGTTGATCTCATCTGAACAATGGTCGGGGCCCTAATCTTATCCTGCCATCGACCGATTTCCCAGAAAAGCCTTTACGAAGTCCACGGGTGATATCACGAGTGACAGACTTGCACAATTTTAACCGCCGCAGTTAGGCTTCCGAATTCGGTGAGGTTCGGTTATCAGCCGGATGATAAACAAACCAACCCAACCAACCCAACCAACCCACCGCCCCTGATACCCTCTATTATTGTTTGACAAACTTGGCCGAGTCGGAGAGTGGAGTACAGGGCACGTATGCCAGATAGTGTCACCACGATACGATCCGATCGGATCTCTCACCTTGAACCGAAAACCAAAACGGCAACTTGTAATCCCCCTGCACCAGGTTCGACTTAAGCTGCTCGTATATTCGGATTCGGTATCAGATGAAAGCCAGAAAGCCGCTCAAGGAGCTCAAAATTAATCTGCAGCGGGGCCATAATTTCCGATTATTTGAGCTCTCGAGGAAATCCCAAGCATGTCAAATGGGGGAGATCTTAACCGATCCTGAAGACTCGAAAGAGATTGACGTTGAGGGGCAGAATAATAAGACTTTAAGGTAGGGGCTCTGGCAAGAAAATACCATTCAGAAGACTGGTCTACTCTGTTTCATAATACAATTCCATATCATATAATACTCATACCATATAATATCATAAAAAATACCTCTATATAAAGTGTGGAATAAAAAAAAAAATAAAGAACGCAGGGCTTTGGAGCTGTCAGCCATCGAGGTCCCAGAACGCGGCCCACGAAATACAAAAGACCAGCCTCGGATCGGGCCAACCTCGCCTCCGATCCGGGCCAAGTGAGAAAACCAAGCGCGACACCAACACCAAAAACCGGCTGTGGGAAGAAACCCCTCCACCCTCTCTTTCTACTTGTTCCTGTCTCTTTCCTGCTCGCACTCCTGCTGCCTGCCGCCAGCTGGGGTAGCCATCGCCATCGCCATTGGGAATTGAATTGGATTTCCAGTCAACGTTGAAATTTCAGTTTTGGCTGCCTTTTCAGCCAAAGGTGTGAAGAAAAAATAAAAACACAAAAGCGGACCAGGCCGAGGCCCAGGCAGGGGCAGGCCAGAGGCCGGGGCACACAGCACGAAATTCTGAAAAAAAAAAAAAAAAAAACTGCAGGAAACTGAAGCCAAAGCCAAAAAGAAATCAACTTGAGATCTGCAGGGAGCCCAGCACACAAAACTGGATTGGGCCTCGTTTTCCAAAGAGCAGAGCAGGGCAACTGCACAAGAGATTCTGGGATTTCAGTTGCATTGTTGCGGGATATGATCGGTTGAATATATATATACATATATATATATATATATGTTAGAAGGGAGAGAGCATCTGTTTCTTGCAATAAAGGCCTGGGTTTGATTGGGATTTCAATTTTTGAAAGCGGATTTGGTGGCTCTTTTCAAGATTTTGCCACTTGGTGAGTCCCTGGGAGTGGGTTTGAAGGTGGAAAGTACCTGGATGAGGTAATAATAGGATACTCCAGACAAAGACTCAGGTGAAGGCCCACTTTTTAGGTAACTATTCCCATCCTAGGTGACTTATTATTATTTTTAGATGAATGGAGAAGCACCTTTCTTTAAAAAACAATATAAATGCAGGTGTTTAAATCTTTAAAATCATTTCAGATTCTTGTTCTTATTTGCATTTACTCGAAAAACCTTTTTCCCTACAAAACAATCCTCAACTTTGACATATTTTGAACATGTTTTGGGTTTCTTTGTGAGAAGTCCGACGAGAAACCCTCGAGAAATCCCTAATCCAGAGCTACAGCTGCACACACACACACACACACCAACACACAGAGGTAGATAGCTCTAGCATAGATCGGGGCAATGACAAAGATACTATACCGCCACAGCGTAGATACAGATACGTACAAACATAATTCCCTGGCAGCGAGAACTATTCAACTTCGAACCGAATCTGATTTCTGAAACTGATTGTGGTGTGTATGCGTTGTTGTGCGGGGCAAGGGGCAAGGGGTGCAGGGTGAGGGGTAAGGGGTAAGGGACGTCAGTTAAACGAAGCCGACAAGAAGGTAAGCCCACGAGGAATCCTCTGCAGCTCCCCACACCAAAGCTACACTGCGAGAAAGGGTCTATAAGAAGGGCTCTAAAACTTTAATTATATTATGATTTTGGCTAGTTAGTCTAAGGTAAGACTATCTATAACTATTATTAAGTTTTGTATAATATTAGAACCCCCTTAGGATGTATCTTCTTGCAGTGCCTGTTGCCCCACACTCCTGCCACACACTTCAGGCCGCTTGCTCGTCGGCTTAAATTGGTTTTTATTGTTGTTGCACATGATGTCCATTGTTGGTGGTGTTGGCCCTAGCTGGTTGCCTTGTTTTGGCCATATTTCTTGTCCATGTGCCCGCTTCTTTGAAGTCGCATTTAATTCTTCGAGTTTCTTATTCTGTTTCTCATTCTTTCTTTTTTTTTGTTTTCTTATTTTGTTCATGTGTTCCCCCCCTTAAAGGAGAGAACGACGTTGGCTTGTCTGGCCAAGGTGTGAAGAAAAGAATTTTTCTGTGCAATAATCTTGATGCCTTTTTAAGATTTGTTGCTGCCGTTGGAGCTTTCGAGGCTCTCCTTTTGTGGGGACGACGTCCCAAGCCCGGCTTTTGTTCTCCCATCCCATACCATACCATCCTATACCGCTCGCGATTCGTTTCAGTTGAAAAATGGTTTGGGGTTTAAGGAAATTTACGCCATAAAATGCTAAAATAATTGGATACACTCCATCTCCACATGCCCCGCTCCACCAGTCACTCAGCCAGGCCATACCTGCGAGTGCATTTCAAATTGCTAATGATGAGGAGCTGCCTGGTACGCTGGGGCTTCTCTTCTGGGGAAGATGCTTTCGTGAGACAAGCGACATGCCATGGTCAAGTCTGGATTCCCCAGGGCCCGGCCCAGGCCACCAGCTCATCCAATTCGTGGCCAACGGAGCATTAAATGCATTTATTTATGAGACCACCTGATACAATCTATGGCTGAAATTGCAGCTCATATGCATATGATGCGGAGGTGATACTGAACTTGGCCAGAATTCACACCTCACCAGGGGCTGGGCTATAATATATTATGCTCAGGTGCCATAGTATCTATGATTTGGATCGAAAATAGGTTCAGGAACACAGAGGGCTTCGAGTCGAAAGCCATAGCCATAGCCACACTGAACAAAAATACGAAACATAAACCCAGAAACATGGTGGACATTGAATCCGAGGATGCGTCCCAACTGGCCGGCAGCGACGGCGAGTCCTTCACCTTCGGCCAGACGGAGAATGCGCCGCGCTTCAAGCAGGAGGGCGAGAAGGCCATCTGCATCATGCCCCCCCGCCCGGGCACCGCCACAATGAACTACCAGGAGCTGTACATCCCGCGCCACCAACTGACCGACGTCTTCTACCCCATCCAGGAGGCCCAGCGCTGGCTGACGCTGGTGGACAAGGCGGGCAAGTCGCACCGGTTCCCGCTGCCCACGATCCTGCCCAAGGTGATCCAGACGCGCTTCGTGCCCAAACGGCACTTGCCCAAGGACGTGGAGGTGGACCGGCGACGGCGTCAGTACCAGAAGATCAACCTGATAGTGGAGCTGGCCAAGGCCGGGCTCACCGACGACGTACTGCAGCCTACCGAGGAGCAGTACAACGTCATGTCGGAGTTCGCGTTCCCGCACAAGTTCCCGCTGAGCTACTTCGACGACAGCAACTTCGACATCAACTCCCCGGCGGCCTGGTTCGAGCTGGGAGTGGTGGGCAGTGACCACTACCCACTGCCGGCCCGGGCGTACCTGCCCCTGAACCAGAGCCTGCTCAACTGCCAGTGGGTGATGGCGGCGGTGACGGCGCACAACGAGGAGACGGACATGTGGACGCTGCTGTCGCTGGAGGACGGATGCACGTACACGGTGCCGAAGCTGCAGTTCATGTTCATGGCCGAGGACCCGCACAAGTACATCCAGCGGCTCCAGGCCGCCGTCCACGAGCGGCACAAGGGCGAGCAGCTGATGCTGATGGAGCTGATCGTCGACTGTGTCCTGCACGAGGACATCGAGTCGACGGTCTTCTACAGCTTCAAGCCCATCGAGGCGATCCTGCAGGCGGCCAAGGTGTCCCAGCAGTGCAAGCGGCGGCTGCGGTCCGAGGTGAACCTCGTGTTCGAGCGCCTGATGGCCCTCTACGAGCTGGAGCAGTACATCATCAAGATGCCCAAGGAGTTCCCGCAGTTCAAGAACATCAATCTGAAGGAGTTCCTGCCCCGGTCCTTTGCCGTGGACGTCTCGGCCAAGGAGCGGGACGAGCTGCAGGCCCTGGGCATCACCATGAAGACGAAGCGCTACGACTACCTCAAGGCGAGCCTCTTCTACTGCGGCGGCGGCATCGAGGCGATGGCCGGAGTGGCCGGCCAGTGCCAGTACATCGAGACGCTCTCGATCTTCATTTGCAGCTTCAGCAAGCCACTGGCCCTCGTCGACTTCCTGCAGGCCCAGGAGGCGCACAGCGACAACGTGGCCACCTACCTGAAGGTGTACTGGCCCCAGCAGCTCACCTCGGTCATCACCGTGGTGCTGCGGGCGCTGGGCAAGGGCTGGCTGGACATCTCGCTGAACACCTGGACCGTCTACCTCATGTGCAAGATCTCGCAGTTCATCCTGCAGGTGAAGTTCCGCATGCAGGAGTCCATGGAGGTTCTGCTGGAGACGTCGCTGCGCAACTTCTCGCACTTCGTCTGCGATCCCTGCCTGCAGTTCCTCGACCTGAAGCCCACCTACAAGTGGACCAGCAACTACATCGACACCGAGTTCCCCTTCCCCAAGCCGGTCTTCGCCCTGACCCTGGGCATCAACGAGGAGCGCAAGGTGTTCTACTCCACGGACCCCGACGAGTTCCAGCCCGCCCTCATGGAGATATTCAAGAGGTGCCTCGAGAAGTCGGCCGGCGTGCGGATGATCGATGCTGCGGTGATGTCCTTCCTCAAGTTCGCCCCCAACCTGTACATCCTGACGGTGGAGCTGATCGAGGACAAGTATCTGGTGGAGAACGAGCTGATCAGGATCTGCTACCAGCAGGCTTCGCTGCCCCTCAGGGCCTATGCCCGGATGTACGAGCGGTTCATCGACTTCTACCTGCTGAACGTCAACTCGTACATGGCGGCCTACGCCGCGGCCCGTAAGCCCTCCTCGGAGGTCAAGCGGGACATCCTGGAGCACAAGCGACTGAAGGAGGAGGTGCGCACCATCCTGCCGGCCTTCATCACCATCGGGCCGTACTACATCAACGTCGACATCCTGAAGCAGTTCATGATCAAGAAGCGCATCGACATCGTCCGGAGGATATTCGAGTACTACGTGGACCGCATGTTCGAGACGAACGAGGCCCTGCTGGAGCGCTGCCTGGAGGTGTACCGGAAGATCAACGAGCGCCCCATCAGCATCGAGCACCTGTTCGACATCCGCGACTTCGGGGCCACCGTGCCCGACGTGGTGGACCAGCTGCGGGCCGACATCCAGATCATGTGGCTGGAGTACGACCTGCTGGACAGCTTCTTCTACAACCTGAGCGACTTCCAGTTCGCCATGAAGTGGAACGTGTACGCCTGGCCGCACCAGATCCTGATCCGCCTGTCCACGCTCAAGGACGAGCAGAAGATCGACATCGAGGAGTTCCTGCGCCTGCACGCCAGCGAGTGCCAGGCGTTCGAGGAGCGGCTGGAGTCCCTCAACGACGAGGTGCAGGCCTACTCGCTGGCCTTCAATCCCAATCGCGCCCAGGAGACGTCGGTGGACATCAAGAAGACCTGGGCCCTGATCAAGGAGCTGGAGAAGGTCGCCAAGACGCTGCAGTACCGCCAGGAGCTGTTCGAGCTGGAGCCCCTGTCCGTGGAGTTCCTCGAGAGCATCATCGACAGCTTCACGCCGTACAAGAATCTGTGGTATGCCTGCGCCAACTTCCTGAAGCTGGAGGAGGCCACCCTGGGCAATCCCATAGCCCAGCTGGACCTGGACGACGTCTGGCTCAGCATGATGAAGCTGACGGAGGAGCTGAACGAGTCCAAGGAGATATTCGCCGAGAAGCAGGAGATCAGCGACGTGGCCAGTGCCTTTATCGGGAAGATTGAGGAGTTCATTCCGGTCTACAACAGCATCAAGGATCTGCGGAACGAGAACTGGATGTACATCCACTGGTCGGAGCTCAGCCAGGTGACTGGCCAGGAGATCAAGTACACCATAGCCATGAACTACCAGTACCTCATCCGCAAGAACATCCTCGACTTTCTGCCCGAGGTCCACGCCATCTCCGAGAAGGCCAACAACGAGGCCGAGGAGATCCGGCAGGCCATCGAGGAGGAGGAGAAGCGCAAGCAGGCCGAGCTGGATGCCCTCTTCATGCGGAAGCAGTTGCGCAAGTGCCGCAGGGATATCTTATAGGACATGTCATGTTTTATTTTTTGTTAAATAATCTAAGAATTTAAGAGGTTTTTCATTTCATAGAGGATGTTTTTATTAAAGAAAGGGTAGTATTGGAGTATCATAACTCAAGAAATACTCTACCAATTGTTCTGAAAATTGAGATACATCTTGGAAAGACTTCACTTGACTATCATATGACTTTTTTTCATAGGACTTAACCCCCTTACCCCCTATTTTTACCTAACCCTATGTTATTCTAGACATAGATCCCATCATAACTCAAGAAGTACCCTACCAAATGGTCTGAAATTTGGGATACAGTTGGGGAAGACTTCATTTGACTATCATATGACTTTTTTTCATAGGACTTAATCCTCTTACCCCATATTGTTACCTAAATCTATGTTGTCCAAGACATAGATCCCATCATAACTTAAGAAATACTGTTCCAATTGTTCTGAAGTTTGAGATACAGTTTGGAAAGATTTATTTAATAAGTCTTAACCCTTTTACCCCCTGTTTTTATAAACAAAGGGTAGTTTTGAGACCTATATTCCATCATAACTCAAGAAATACTCTACCAAATGGTCTGAAATGTGGGATACAGTTTGAAAAGACTTCACTTGACTATCATATGTCCTATTTTCATAAGACTTGGCCCTATTACCCCCTTAAATCCCAGCTTTTAGACTTTACTTTTAAGTTCAATGTTAAAGAAAGTATCTAGAAGCTCTAAGGGTTAAACTAATAGAGCCATAAAGAGAAGAAAACCATTATAGCATCTTGATATGAGGCTTGAAGAGGCCATCCAAGCCACATCTTCGAACTACAAATTGCATCAACGCCTGGCAGAGTGCGACGTGGCAGTATACGCCCAGTCCGAAGGCCCTTGCCGTAGAAAGCCCACTCAGATGCATCGACCAACAACACGAACAATAAGTTGCACTAATCACTAAATCCCCCATCAATGCTAAAATGTATAAATGCAAAAATGGAAACGGCACGAACAGCGAGGCCCAGATGGAGGAGCTCACGAATGTGGGGCCCAGAAACATATATACATACAACCTCATAACTAAATTGCATTAAGTGTAATTATAACTAATTAGAAAACGGAAAAAGCAGAAACTGCAACAACAGAGTAGCATCCGAAACGATATTTCGTTGAAATGGCGGTTGGAAAGTTATTAGAACCCATGCCATGAGTCAGCTTGGGAATAGATTGCGGATTTGTGGATGAAATACCCGATAGATTTCGAGAGAGACTGGCACGGACGACCAGTGGGAGTGAAAGATAAAGCCCATACGAGTCTCTATTCCAAGTACTATTCATATTCTCCAATTGATTGATGGAACTATGTCCGAGTTCTTGTTATGGGCTCTGCTTTGGAGGCAATTTACCTCAGGAACATGTATCTGAGAGATACCCAAGATTAGCATGCGGGGAGAGCTCAGGGTTCGAGCGGGGGCTATGGGCAGGCAGGGAAATAAATCATTTAATATAGCGCGCCATTTATCAGCCAACAGGCCCAAGCCGTATATCATTCATGGCCTCTCCGCTGGGTGCCTTGGGAGTCGAGTCTAACTTGTAGAAGCTCCACTGTAGTTGTAGAAATAGAATCACTTTGCAAAAGTCAATTTTTAACTTAATTAGGCAGCGGAATGCGGCATTTACTCACCTATTCAGAATGGCCGAGGTATCACGGGGAGCCGAGTGGGTGGAGGCGGTGGTGGAGGCGGGGGATGTGGGTGTGTAAACAAGAGTGCAAACGAGACAGCAACAGACGGCAGAGCCTTAATGTCTGCGGCGGCAACTATTACGTACGCCGTGAATAGCGCACAGTGTATACACAGATGTATGTGCGAAGGAAGTGTACAAATAGCTGTCTGTTTCTTTTTTCGAATCTATTCTGTTTCTGTTTGTCTATTGCCTGCAATGATTTTTCCCGTTGTTGTTTATTCGTCACTTTAACACGTTTCGTCGATGCTGTCGGTTCGACAGAAACAGAAACAGAAACAGAGAGTCTGAGGTGGGGGCAGCAACGTCACTGAACACTGCACACCAACACAGCACGCACACAGCCAGAACCTATTTTTATTTTCCCCAGTGTGTGTGTGTGTATATTTTTTTTTATTTTTTCCTCAATTGCGGTGGCGGCAAGCTCTCACGCACGCAACCAAACACACACACCAGCACACGCTGCCCATTGACAACAACACGGCGCACGTAACGAGAACGGAATCGAGATTTGACGGTATTTGTTGCTATTTGTTTGGTGCTGCACCTCTGCAGAGGCTCAGTTTCGATCAAAACACTTTGATTTGTTCACTTATCAGGCCGAAAAACAAACGACAGCTTGCGTTTCAATCGCAACCACAAGCATATGTATGTTTTTTTTTTGTTATTGCCGAGATTTTATGCTCTTGGCGTGCACGCTCGTAGCGTTCTCCCACACACGCACTCGTTTCCACAACTGATTAGGCCTGCGTTTGATATAAACCAATTGGATCTGGCCGATAATCTTCACACACTCTGATCGCTTATTAAAGTTATTCACTTCGTTCTTGTTTTTATTAATTGATTTCCAGCGACGACGCGCGCGGACGACCTTCGGCTCTGAAAATTAATCGCGGTGTGACCAGAGTGCTGCTGTGGTAACAGCTATAAGTTGGTTTCTTGTTTTTCGAATCACCCTGTGTTCCAGTGCTATAAGCACCCTCTGTTTATTTTTTTAAATATTATTTCCAGATCTTATTTTAAATTGAAGTACTATTTTCTTAATAAAAAATCGTATCTTTCCTATATAGACACTTTAATTATCTACTACATTCCGTATAGCCGCTTTTTTTCAAATAAAATACTAAAAATATTCATAACAAACCTTATTTAAAAACTATTATGCACATTGCTTTTGAAAAGAACTTAAAAGCTTATAATATTCAAAGACAAAATGAAAATTCTACCTTATTTTCGTACAATTTTTCAGGTTTCCGACAAAATTGACAAGCTGGCAGCCCTTAAAACAGGGTTGAAAGGCGCGCGCCGGACCAGCTGTTGTGTCCAACCGGGAAATGTTGTTATTAAGTAAGCTCCTCCGCATATCTCAGAGAGGACAGGTAAAAACCCAGTGGTCCAAGGACCCGGCTGCTGCCCACCGCCATCTCCCTCTAGCGACACCCGTTTCTCGTGCCATTTGGGGCTATGTGGCTATCGCGTTCAACCAAGTAGATGCGCAGAGACTGGAAAAGGTGGGTCCCAATCGCCTGTGTGCAGAGTGGATTATAAAGAACGGAGGCGGTGTCCGCTTTGTCGGTCACCCAACCAGGCTATGGAAGGACTATAACTCCTTGCCACCAGAAAGCAATCCGTTCTCCATCAAGGTAGTGGACGCCAGCAGCGCCTCGATCATGAAAATCGGACTGGAACACTTCAAGGGCTGCAATGACATTGATACTGTCATTTTTCACAACTGCAAGCATCTGGAGAACGACGGACTGGAGGGCCTACTGCACATCAGTTCGTCGCTTAAGAAGCTCCAGGTGTCTGGGTGCTATAACATAACCGACTCTGGTCTAGAAGTAATCGGAGAGTTGAGTAATCTGCAACAGCTCATTATTTTCGATATGCTCTATGTGAAAAACATGAAAGCAGTGGCCGCCAAAATACAAAAGCAGCTTCCAAGCTGTAATATCAAGGCCACCCGGCTAAGCGTTTCGTTGAAGCCCAAGGATAAGTCCTAACGTAAAGATTTGTTTAGTTTCGGTGCCAACAAATTTTTGTGGATAAGAAATGGACCACTGCCTGGTAGCAAACGGCAAGATTTATGTCTCATACTTTCGATTCTTCTAATGATCAAATAAATTATTGCAAAACTGTCTAATTTATTTGATTTTACTCTACTTCTAATGTCTAATTTGAATTTCCAGTCCCAGTGTTTGAATATTTTAAGAGTGTGGCCATACTTTATCAGAAAAAGGAAACTTCAGCTGATTGGTAAATAGCTCGAAAAAGCTAAAAACTAGCCGGATTGGCATCACTGATTGTTATTTTCACGAGCCATTAGGAAAGTATAGGTAAGAAGATTTATTTAATGAAAATTCTCTACAATTAAGGTAATATGTGTTTTAGCGGAGTTCCAGACGACCTAAATGAAGTAGAGACCAAAGCGACTAGCTAACAATCGCCCGAAATGACTTACACAGGGGGTCAATTGGGTGCAGATAAAATGAACAAATTTAGGCATTTCGTCGGATGGCTGACCCAGTCCCGCTCTATATCGCACACGAATCCCAAGGAGCAGATTCTCAACTTCCTTACCTATGGCCTGCTAGTAATTGTAGCCCTCTGCGCCGGATTTCTGCTGTGGGACCTCTCCAACAGCCCCCACGATGGATTCTTCCATGGGAAAAGGGAATCCCACACTCTAGTACTAGACCTGGGAAACATTCAGGAGGTGCCCATCAACCCAGAGGCCGAGCAGCGAGCGCGGAACGTAAACTGCACTTTTTGGGATTGCCTGAACATCTACAAATGCGAGCACGACCGCCTCAAGGTCTACATATATCCGCTGCAGGATTTTGTGGACGAACGCAGCGACAAGGTGGCTACCACTCTCTCCAGCGAGTACTTCCAGATCCTCGAGGCAGTCCTAAAGAGCCGATACTACACCTCGAATCCCAACGAAGCGTGCCTTTTTCTACCCAGCTTGGATTTGCTCAATCAGAACATTTTCGACAAGCACTTGGCCGGTGCTGCATTGGCATCCTTGGACTTCTGGGATCGCGGAGCTAACCACATCATCTTCAACATGTTACCCGGTGCAGCCCCATCGTACAACACAGTTTTGGACGTGAACACGGATAATGCAATTATTTTTGGCGGCGGATTCGACTCCTGGTCATATCGTCCAGGCTTCGACGTGTCCATTCCCGTATGGAGTCCGCGCCTGGTGCCGCAACATGCTCATGCAACCGCACAGAGGAGATTCCTTCTGATGGTGGCGCAGCTCAACATACTGCCCCGCTTTCTAAGAACCCTTCGAGAGCTGGCTTTGGCCCACAATGACCAGTTATTGCTCCTTGGAGTCTGCGAGAACTTGGATCTGACTTCTAGATGCCCAGTATCCCAGCACCACAAGTCGCTCGAGTATCCAAGGCTGCTGTCTCGCGGTAAATTCTGTTTGATCACCAAAAGCCTTCGATTGGGTCAGCCGGATTTGGTGGAGATTCTATCTCAGCATTGCATTCCGGTAATTGCTGTGGACAACTATATAATGCCCTTCGAGGACGTTATCGATTGGTCCCTTGCCTCTGTGCGTATTCGGGAATCTGAGCTGCATTCCGTGATGCAAAAGCTCCAAGCTGTTTCAAATACAAAGATTGTGGAAATGCAGAAGCAGGTCCAGTGGCTGTTCTCCAAATACTTCAAGGACTTGAAAACTGTGACACTGACTGCTTTAGAGATCCTAGAGAGTCGCATCTTTCCCTTGCGGGCTCGCAGCAGTCGAAAGTGGAACGTCATTGACACGAATGCCCGCTCCACCTTTAATCCACTCTTCTTGCCCACCTTGGCTCCCAAATCCCAGGGATTTACGGCAGTCATCCTTACATACGACCGGGTGGAGAGCCTGTTCTTGCTAATCCAGAAGTTGTCTGTGGTTCCGTCGCTGCAAAGTATCTTGGTCGTTTGGAACAATCAGAAAAAGTCTCCTCCCCACTGTAAGTTCTTTCAAAAGGCACTGGATTTATGTTTATAACTTTGTTTTTCCGTAGTATCTACGTTTCCTTCCATCTCCAAGCCTTTGAAGATCCGTCAAACCAAGGAGAACAAGCTCTCCAACCGGTTTTATCCTTATCCGGAGATAGAAACGGAAGCCATACTAACCATTGATGATGACATCATAATGCTCACCACGGACGAGCTGGATTTCGGGTACTATTATATTATTCACAACGAGTTCTTTATAATTAATCATCTATTTTATTTAGTTACGAGGTTTGGCGCGAGTTTCCCGACCACATTGTAGGCTTTCCGAGCCGCATTCACGTCTGGGACAACAATACCATGCGCTGGCACTACGAATCCGAGTGGACAAACCAAATATCCATGGTGCTAACAGGCGCTGCCTTCCATCACAAGTTCTGGAGTCACATGTACACCCATGCAATGCCGGGCGACATCAAGGACTGGGTGGATGAGCATATGAACTGCGAGGACATTGCCATGAACTTTCTAGTGGCCAACATCACGAACAATCCCCCCATCAAGGTTACCCCAAGGAAGAAATTCAAGTGCCCTGAGTGCACCAATACAGAGATGCTGTCCGCCGATTTGAATCACATGCGAGAGCGTTCGGCCTGCATCGATCGCTTCTCCAAAATCTACGGACGCATGCCATTACGCACAGTAGAGTTCAGGGCGGACCCCGTACTCTTCCGGGACAATTTCCCAGATAAGTTGAAGCGCTACAACGATATAGGCAGCTTGTAGGCCGGCACCATTCCATTGGAATTAGGAGATATACCAAAGACTTGGAATAGCGTTCAACTTCAGTAGGAAGACCGACTTTGTTGTCGAATATTTACTCGGAATTCTGGTTGCAATATGAAGAACATATCTCTAGGCTATGTTTAGCCAATTATGCTAGATCTCAGTCTGCATCTATATATCTATAACCAGAGAGTGGATTCTGTTTATAAAGACGCTTTGTCGTCTTCGGAAATTGATGCTCTTTGTAGACAAAATTAAGTTGGATTGAATTGGCGTTTATGGGTTGACTGTTAAATTAATTTATTTATAAGTTCGCTCTCTCTTAGACCGTAGTTATTAAATAGAATTCGGGAACGCTGCATGTAATTGAAATTACGCAAACATTAAAAGTTTATATTACCAAAAAATGTTTTATTTTTCGATCTGCTTTGAGCTTGTTCTGAAATCTCTTGCATTGATTGATTTTTTACGATTTTAAGGTGTGCTTTAAGGTTTTCGATGGATTAAATGCTAAGCTAATATCATTGCGACGATTGCTCTGATCTGATCTTAGGGTTCTAGGCCGTGTTGATGGAGGCCAAATACTCCTTATAGCGTTGCTCCTGTTGCTGCTGAAGTTTCTGCAGTTTCTTGATCTGTCCTTTGCTTACCTCCTTTCCTTCCTTGTCGAGTGTGGGCAGACCCTTCAGAGGAAAATTAAAGAATTAAAGACTGGTTTGTTTATAACTTAGCCGGGACTTACATTTTCATCAAATGCTGAATACTTCTCAGTCTCCCCCAGGAACATTTCTTTTGGATTCACACGCCGCTGAGCTTCTTTGGCTGCCGCTGCTTGGGCGGCTGCCTGCTTCTTGCGCTCCTTTTCAGCCGCTTTCTCTGCCTCAGCGGCCAGCTTGGCTTCCCGTTCTCGCAGCAGCGAGTCCTTGTCCACCAATTTCACAGCGTACTGCCCGCCATCTTTATCCTCCAACCGCACTCCCAGATTGGGCAACACATTGTCGCGGAGATCATCGCAGAGCTTCAAAATGTCAAAGGCTTTTAGTGCCTTGGCCTGCTCTCGAACTAGATTACGGAATTCAGCCATGGACTGGACATAAGGTAGCACCGTCGTTTCTAGATCCGCGCCGGCAGCCTGTGATCCTGAGCCTCCGCTCATGGGGAATCCGATGCCACCACGGGGACCGGCAATGGCACCAAAAACGTGCAGCAAGTCTGTAATGTATGTGGCCACATTTCGAAGTAATAAGCTATTAAGTCGACTCTTATTGTCCCGAATGTACACATTTGATGCGGAGACCAGCTCCCGGACGATGTCTAGCGCGCTGCGAGTGTCAATATTGTCTGCAGAGAGGGTTATGGATAAAATAAATAAATATTTTTCGTAGAAGACCCTTTCATTGCTTACCGCAAAGAGCAGCATAGACCTGTTCCTGGGCTGTGGAAAACTTCTTCTGTAAAGCTGCCTCTACCTCAGTCCAGGAATCAAATTGCCGGCGAGGCTCCTCAGAGAGCACATGGCGGGTCAGATCCTTCACGTTCAAGAAGAACTCCTGCAAAAATACCAATATATGTATATGCAATGGAAACACAATGAAATGTATAGTTCATTACGTTGAGGAACTTTTCGAATTGCGTGGCCATTTCCATGGTGTTCTCCGAGTAATCTAGAGTGTCTTTCCAAGAATGCAGAAGGAATGCGAGCCTTAGCTGGGTGGCGGAATGCTTCTTTAGGGCTTCCTGGATGGTCACAAAGTTTTTCAGCGACTTGGACATTTTGCAGCCGGCAATAGTGAGGTGACCCGTGTGAAGGAAGTACTTGACCCACTCAGACTCATTGAAAGCCGCCTCTGATTGCGCCAGCTCGTTATCATGGTGGGGGAACTTGAGGTCCACTCCTCCAGTATGGATGTCAAAAGTAGGTCCAAAGATATCCGAGGCCATGGCAGAGCATTCTATATGCCAGCCGGGACGACCCTTGCCCCAAGGACTGTCCCACCAGGGCTCACCCGCTTTACTCGCTTTCCATAGCGCGAAATCGTTAGCAGACCGCTTCTCCGAGAGACGGTCTTCGGCTACAGACAGGTCTCCCTCGCCCTCCTGGAGCGACTTGGTGTCACCATAAGCCTCTGGCACGAGCTTGGCATAATGATGCTTTTCTTTCCTGTCAAATCCATTTACATCGAAGTACACCGAGTTATTCGCCGCATAGGCCAGACCGTTGTCGATGATCTTCTGAATGAAGGCTATAATTTGAGGTACGTACTCCGAAACACGAGTTAAAACATCTGGTGGTAAGATCTGGAAGTATCGAAGTGTTATACTAAGTGAATCACGTTAACTTTGGTCTGCAATGACTCACGTTCAGTGACTTCATGTCGTTGTGGAACTGATCTTCCCAGTACCTAGGTAGAGCCTCAAACACCGCATTGTCGTTGATACCGGCGCCTTTCTGAGCATCCAGCCAGTCGGCTATGGGGTCCTTTGCCTCATTTAAGTAATGCAGCCGCTTCTCCGATATCTCCTTCTCGTCTCCCTTGCTTACCGCTTTGGTAAGGCCATCCACAGCATCGTTCATCCGCAACAAAGTCTTGTCCAGCATTATCTTTTTGTCCGGATCTGTGTTCTTGGCGCAGGTGGCCTCGTACCGCTGCAGCACCTCCTTCTGCTGGCCAAGCAGTTGCTCCAATGGCAGTTTCCCCGCCTCGCTGGCATACTGCTCGAAGAGATGGTTCTGCCGGGCACGCTTGATGATTTTGTCGTCGATGTCTGTAATGTTCATCACATAGTGGATGTTGTAGCCAAAGTAATTCGCCAGAATTCTCCGCAGAATGTCGAACGAAATGTAAGATCTGTGAAAGGGGATTGGTTCCAAATGAGATAAGATATGAAGCACACCATGCTGATGTGGCGCTCGACTCACCTTGCATGCCCCATGTGGGAGGCGTCGTAGACGGTGGGCCCGCAGCTATACCACGTTACAGTATTCCCGTCCAGCGGCACGAACTCCTCCTTCTGGCGGGTCAGGCTGTTGAACAGTTTCAGTTTTGGACGTTCCGCCGCCTTGGGAGCCTGCCACGCCGGTTGTACTCGTTTCGACATCTTAGGGAATCTTTTTTTGCGTACGTATAAACAATCACAACTGGCGTGCACTTGCAATGCGGCAAAGTTTCATCAGCTTGGAGAGCATGAGCAACAGCTGAATCGGAAGTGGTGGCAACTCTGGCCGGAACTGCCAAGCTACACGATTTTAAACGTTGCGTTGCGGGCTCCCCTAATTAAAATCAAATAAAAACAACTTATTTTATATAATCATTTAAACTTTTTTTATTGAAATGATTTTCAGAAAATATTTTTAACTCTTTATTCCTTACATATGGAATAAAAACATATCTTCATTTAATGGTCAAACGAACAAAACAATGCAAGCTTTTTTATTCACTGGTTCGAACAAAATTACAAATTTCGATGACTAGCTAGTTTTGTGACATTTAATTTCGTGGTCCGATTGTTTGAGTACATCCTGTACGCATCCTAACTATTAAATATTTTATTCCTTGGAAACGGGCTTGCAGGCAATCATATAAACAGGAAAGAGGCCCTTGGGAAAGCTTTGCTGCTTAACCTTCCGCACAATGCGGAAACCGGCTTCCTTAAGGAACCGTTCATAGTGATCAAGGGGTCGCGTTACGGAGGAATCCTGCTTATCCTCCACCGTCTTCCTGGAGCTGCTCACATTCTCCTTCATGCAGAAATAGGCGCCCGGCGCCAATCCCTGCCGCAAGCGTCGGAAAAACAATACCAGATCGCGGTCGGTGAGATGACCCAGTACCCATTGGCTCCAGATAAGATCGTACTCCTTCTTAGGCGCGAATTTCTGCAAGCCCACATTGAAAATTTCATCCAACTCTCCAGATCCGCCTGCTCCCGGGGTGCTGCAGTATTCCCTGGCTTTTTCGGCAAATGCGTGATCCTGCTCTACGATATCAACGCGACTAAATCGCGGCAGCAGCAAGTTCTTTGTAACTCTTCCAATTCCGGCGCCACAATCCAGAGCCAGCTTGTTCCCCGGGACTCTGATCTCCCGCAGAAAGGTATTTGATCCTTGTATATCGATAGCGCTGATGTATCCCAGGCCTCCCAGCATTCCATTTACTGTCGCAGGAACTTCCGACCAGTACCTTTGGGCCTTGTCATAAAACTCGGGCTCCGGCGCCAAGCTTTTTGTGATATCGGCACTGGTGGACGCCGTATTTTCCACCGATCCGGTGTTTTCAGTTTCCTCTTGTAGTTTGTTGCTGCCGGCCACCTCCATGGCTTGAAGCTGGTCCGATAGTTCCCTTTTTCGGCGTTGTTTGTCAAGATTTTGTGATGTGAAACAGCCGCATGCTTTGATGCTGTTTGTATACCGTGTACTACGAAAGCTAAGGGTGTATTGGTTTCAAGGGTTTATGGGACAAATAGATGAATACCTTACCGATGCAATAAATATTTTTATATATGTAAAACACCTAGTTTTTTTTTATGCTAGCGCTGGTGCAATAAATGAATTAATTTTTTTTCCTATACTTTAGTTCAATTATCCGAAAAAATACCCATTTATTTCTTTTTATCAGTGCTGCCAAATATTTCCTTTCCAGTAGTGTGGCAGCTCTGTCACTAACAGCTGATTGGGAGAAACAAATATTTTCTTTGTTTATTTTTAAAGTTTTGTGTTTAATTTTTTTTTAATCTTCACGATGACACTTGACTTGGATGCTAGTAAGAAGGACGAAAAGTTGCTGATCACAACTATCCAGCAAGAGTATAAAATCTTGGCTGAGTAGTGAGTTTTGAACTTGACTCATGTAGAGAACTTAATTTTCTTAAAACTCTTATTTTTAGCAAAATGATCGAGTCAGAGAAGCTAAGTGGAATATACGTTATACCCAGCTATGAAAACTCTTTGCGTTAGTGCAGAAACATATGTAATTTAAGCTCTTAAATCTATATTATTTTTATTATATTAGAGTGGTACGGTGTGTTCTTTGGACGCCAGGGGTTTTATGCGGAGAGCGTTTTCCGTTTCTCAATGTTGCTGCCCGACCGTTTTCCAGATGAAAAAAGTCTTCCAGTAAGCTTGCAACAATATTATCAAGAATACAGCTCAACTCCCCTTTTCTTAGTCTATAATTTTTCAGCAGGATGTGACGCATCCTCACGTCTGTCCTTTCACCCACACGTTGGACATCAGCCATGCGTTTCCTGAGTGGCGTTGCGGCGAGGACCATCTCTGGCAGTTGCTGAAGTACTTGCAAGCCATCTTTTCCGATCCGGTGGACAGCATTCGGGGCATTGAAACCGACAAGCTTAAAAATGCAGAGGCTGCGGAGCTACTCATGAACAACAGGCAAGAGTATGCAGCTAGAGTTCAGGAAAACATTAAGGAGAGCAAAGCCCACATCTATGACACTCCACCTACGGAGGATCCCCACTACATAGTATTCGAAAAGTTCCAACAAGATGTCCATGGACCTGTCTTGGAACGCATCAAAGCTGGCAGGAACAAGGCGGAGGCATCCCAGCAAGCGAATGGGGGACATGCCACAGGTCTTTCTTGGGTTAAAGAGGGCGAATTCAAACCTTTAAGCATTGAGTAAAAAAAGTTGTACCTAATTGTATCATATAAGCTATATAAACTGTAATGTCTCAATTTTAATCTATATTATATACACTCCTCGTTCATTGGAAATCGTTGAGTATCCTTGACCCAGTCGTTTTCCAGCTTCAGTCTTTCCCCGTTCCACTGAAAATGAGAGGGAGATGGATCGCCTGGCGGAAATTCAAAGTGCTGGCTTAGTTCTATTGCCAACTTCGAGCGAACCAGCCCTATGCCACCTACTTGGGGCTTTGCTGGGTGATAAACCCTTCCATTCTTGGGATCCATATAAAGTTTTTGAGGTTCGTAAGCCAGCGTAAGTACTTGTCCCGAGTGGGCATAGCTAAGTACTTCGCTGTTATCCTTGTTTAGCTGCTCCGTAAAAACGACAGGCGTATCATCACATCTTATAAAGTTTCTCTCCCGTCCGCAAAGGGAAATGTAGGGAAAGTCTTTTTTGTATCTATCCGTGTGGTTCAGACGTAATCGAGAGAAAAAGAACCTTAGAAAGTCTTTTTCCTTGAAGCAGCTGGTGAAGTTCTTCATTTTGGCATCGTCCAGAAAGAGCTGTGAAAGAGTATTCAATTAATTTAGTTATAGTTTTATTTTGTATAGCAAGCTTACCATTCCCTCATGATCAATGTAGTAAAAGTATTCACGTATTTTTGGCTCGGGAGACTGACCTTGAATATATTGCAAATTACGGGCAGCTTGTCGATTAAATTCAATAATTTTCGGGTTTATTAACTGCTTAGATCGTAGTAAAAACATTTTAACTTTCAAAGTGTTGCGATTGTAAATATGCAACAGAAAACAGCTGACTTTTGTTTACTACAGCTGATATTGTGTTTGAGTATGTAACTGTAAATTTATATTTGTTTGATTAAAATGTACATTTTTTTTCCTTTCCTAATATATTATTGTGCAAGCTATCTTATTTTCCTTTCTTTTTCTTGGATCCTCCGCCATTAGCCTTTTGCATGCGTCCCACCTGCATGTCTTTCAGCTTTGCATCAAGACGTTTCTTTGCATTCTTGACATCCTCCTCCTGGCGTATCGTTTTCACCGGCTTTGGGTGGAGAAAGTTTTTGCGCTCCTCCTTCTTGATATCCTCCCCACAGCCGTGCACCTCCGGCAATCCGTGCTTAAAGCAGAACCTCTTCTTGCAGTGGTGACAGTCCTGACCCATTAGACTCGTCTTGGTCTTGCAGCGCGGATAGTCACAGAGGTTGTCCACTTCTTTCACAGCCGTCAGCACATCGTCCAGCTTGAGATCCACCACTTGGCTTGGAATCCGTTCCAGCAGCTCCAGTGTGTTGTTTGTTCCATAATCCACCCGTTTTCCTGGCTTGGCGGGAGGAAAGAGAGGTGCTTCGTCCGACTTCTTGGAGGTAGAGGGTTTATCAGGGTCTTCTGTGGGATAAACAAATATTATACATTTGGACATAGGTTTATAATCGTTCCATGACACACCTGCCATTGAAGAATGTCGTCTTAAAGAAATTGCTTCCTTTTTGCTATCTTTTTGTATTTTTGTTTTTGGTTCACCGATATGTTAGAGATGACACAGGAATAGCCACTTTAAACATGTAATAGTACCATAATAGCATTTAGATTTTTTAAATATTGTCTTAAATGTAACACATATACGATATATTTAATTGTAATAAGATATTATTCATATATGATGATTTTCAAATGTTGAAAAATGTACATCTCTTATGTGTGACCGCGTAAAAAACCGGCTGGTATATTTGAACTGGGAAAGTGCGGTCACACAGCACAAAACTTTTGTCGTTCAAAGAATCAAGTGAGTAAAAGTTCAACTGCGCCGCAATATTCCCGGCATTTAATTCTATATGTAAAACATTCGTTCTGACGAAATCTAGAGTATATTTTATGCAAACAATAAACAAAGATTCAGATATTTATACCTTTTGATATACATATCTTGTTTTCTTTTGGCGATATTGCGCCTTGGCAGCTTTTTAAAGTTGAATGCACTCTGTTCTAGATGGCGACCGCTTTACAGTTAACTGCAACTCATTGTGATTATTAATAACTTAAATTTGATGTGCGATTTTCTTGCAGTTTGTCCATTTGAATAGAAAAGATGTTCGTCGTACGTCGCAGCACCCGCCTCTACCCGGCTGGAGTCCAGTAAGTGAGAAAAAAGCTAACCTGTTAATTGGCTTTAAAAAAAATTACAAAAAAAAGTAACCGTGGTGGCCATGGCTTCTTCTCACTTTACGAAGTGTTATGTATGCTATGCGCCGACAGTTTTCCTCAATATGCGATAAGATAAACAATTTTTGATTCAATCCAAATCGCTTTCGCCAGCGGGCGGCTTTCGCCATGCTTGTGTGTGCGTGAAAGAGAGAATTCTATGCTTACTTCATTGTTGCGTAACCGGCTCTGAGAAGTGTCTGGGTAGTACCATGGCTTTGGATAGCCATTGGTTCCACCCAGGATGTACTTAAAGATTATCCTTTCTTCTGACCTATATTATCCTTTAAGAAAGTTCTTTAAACTTTAATATAAATTTTTTTCCCCCTTTAGACTGGCCAAGATGAGCGGCAGCCAGGTTGGCGATCTGGGCAGTGGTGCCGGCAAGGGAGGCGGCGGTGGCGGTTCTATCCGCGAGGCCGGTGGCGCCTTCGGTAAGCTGGAAGCTGCCCGCGAGGAGGAGTACTTCTACAAGAAGGTAAGACCCAGCAAATACAAGCTTTTTTTTTTTTAAATAATTGAGTATAATTGATCTGTTGCAACATTAATAGCACGGTCTGCCGCTAAGCAGCTCTTGAACACCACATTTCTGAATGCGAAAGTTGATTTCCTTGAAATTCAAGCCAGCACCAAAAGCTTTCTGCAGGCGGTTGGACAGCGCCCATAGTTCTTCCTTTCCCTCGTGATTTCTCACAATTTTGATTCCGCTGGTGAACTGCAGTCGCTCCTCGTCCTCGACCAGCATCACCAGATTCTGATGAGCGTAGGGTGTCCCGATGTTCCAAGCCAGAAGACTGGCTGGATTTACCAGGCCACAGATCAGATATCCAGACTCACTCATGGCCGCACCCACACACTGGCTACCCCTTTTGCCCAAAAGCTGGAACTGATCCAGGGCGGCGCTCACATCGTTCAGCCGCCAGTTGCTGCCATTATTCACCACATCCAGGGGGATGGCCATCTGCCATTCGCTCGACAGGGAGTGGAAGTACAACATGCGTCGCCCTCCCAGCCCATGGGGGGTTACAGTGGTGGACACGGTTCCGTCCCATAGCTGGAAGCTCTCTCCCGCAATGGTAAACGTTCCAAAGTCCGGGTGTGGATAGGTGAACTTGTTCTCAATGCGCCACGACTGCTGGGCGGCCACGTCATACACAACGATTCCATCTCCTATGGAGTCCGCCATGTATACGTAGCCCACGTCGCAGTTTTGGGGATGCAGCTCCACGGTTGGGGTCACAAAGCGGCTGACACCTTCCTTGTACAATCGCTTGGGCATCCGGTACTGGTGCACAATTCTTCCATTTTCCAAGTCGATGGCATACAGCTGCGGCGGGCAATGCTGGATAAAGTCTATCTCGCCACTGTCCAATATCCACATACGTCCGCATTCGTCTATCTGTGTCCTGTAGACCGAAGTCAGGCCGTTGCAATCGGCTCCATGGGTTTTGTGCCATTCGTAGCTCGGATAGGCCTGAAGCAGAGTTCCATTCGGGCGCATCTCGTTGGTCACATAGGCCAGGGAATAGGGCACGCCCTTGGCGAACCGCGGAATTGTCACGAAAATGGAAGGCGTCGGATCACCATCTGGAAAGTAACAGTTTCAAGAAGCGCCTTCGATTAAATGTCAAGCTCTCACGTTTGTAATACACGTCCACATCTATGGGAATCACATTGCTGGGATCGTAGAGGCCCTCCCGCAGGGCTCGCTCTCTTTCTTGCGGCGAAGGAAACTCCAGCTCCAGGTTAAATGCCCCGAAAACACTCTCCAAGGCTTTGGAGGATGCTGTCAGGAGCAAGAAACAGGCACCAAGTAGTGTGTAACGATGCATTTCGTAATCCTTTCACTTTCGGGTGATCTGCTCCACTTAAAGACCAGGCGGATACTGCGCATGCGCGGCGGGCAGCTGGCCCATGTCTTTCTAATCCAGCCAGCCAGTCGACAGGCTAAGCAGGTCAGCTTTTGTAACTGGTTTAATTGCACACTCGTGTGCGCTCTGTGCGCTGAAATTCTCGTTGTTTGCTGGTGGACACCGCGGAACGCCTCGGAAAACAAGTTGCTGCTGGTTGGTGTTGACTAATTATGCACGGCACCCATTTGGTCCGATCGAACCGATGGGGTTCATCGCCCCATTAAGTGTTATCAATTATCCATTCAATATGTTTTGATTTTTCAAACCCGTAACTAACTGCGTGTGTTGGCGAAAGCCGAAAATTCAAACGGTTAAGGTCAGTGGCAATGGCACCAGAAGATGGTGTAATCTCGCCTCCCAAAGTTTTGGAGGGCCTCCTAATTTTCCATTTAGGCTGGGGCCTCAAGACTTGCCCAATCATCAGCCGATAACCGGTGACCCTGAACTCTGCCATTATTTTTTTGTGCCTCCAGAGATTTGAAATTAAAGTAAATACAGTAGAGATTTGATAGAATAAATCGACTTGGCAGTGCCTAGTGGGAATGAGGCATTTGAAGTGCTAATCTTTCAAGATAACGACGCTTCTTAAACCCTAAATAAGATTAAGATTTTAATCCAAAAGATAAACCCTGCAATTAATCTCCATAACCTACTACTTCTCCTCAGAATAAACCAAACAAATATGTTAATATTTACAAAGATTAGCTTAGGTATTATTTTTTGAGGTTATATGACATCTAGGTAAAGACTAAGCGGTTGGATAGGTCATCGTCGTTGGCAAAGAAAACCCCTCCCTGGACATCATCCAGCTTGCGCCTCAAAATCCGGAAGTTCACCTCGTTGGACTTCAAAGTGCCAGTTGCAATTTTCTTTAAAAGTAAAAGAGACATTAATATTATTATCAGACTAGAAATATTCAAACGCTCACCTGGTAGCGATTCGATAGCATCCAGAGTTCCTCCTGGCCATTTGAATTTCTGACCACCTTCATGCCGCTGACAAACTGCAGCTCATCCGATTTGGCTGGCAAGGTGCCAAAATATCTAGAATTGTACTGGGTGTTCACATTCCAAACAAACAGCTTGATGGGATTGAAGGTGACACAGTAGACATTGTTCCGGCCATCGATGGCCGAGGCGGCGCACTCGCTCTTTCGCCTGCCCAGCAAGGTGAACTGTTCCGGCACTGCCTCCGGCCCGTCGGCCCAGTTCGCCTGCCGGTTGAGTGCACTGAGGGGCACGGCGTACTCACTGACACTGGCCAGCGGATGGAAATACAGGTTCCGCTTGTCGTTGTTCAAAGCAAACATTCCGTCCATCAGATTGAAGCTCTCCCCGGCGATTGTGTGCTGGCCGTAGTCCGGGTCGGGGTACATGAACCGATTCTCCGCGCGCCAGGAGGTCTGTGCCTGATGGTCGTAGACCACCAAGCCGTGGTAGCTGACATCGGCTACGTAGATCATCGTGCGACTGCAGCGGCCCCTGGGCGGTGGATCCTGTACCAGGACATTGGGCGTGATGAAGAGGGATCCCCTGGGGATGTAGGTCTCGTTCGGGAAGCGGTAGCGATGCAGCAGCCGATCGGTGTTCAGGTCGAACTGCAGCAGTTGGGGTGGACAGTGCTGGGTGGTGCCAATGATACCGGAATCGATGACCCACATTTGGTTGCACTCCGTGATCTGTAGGAGGAATAAGGATTAAAATATGGTTTGCTAGGAGATTCCCTAAACTTACGGCCACCCGAAAAGCGGAGGTGATCTGGTCGCAGTTCTCGCCGTTGCCGTTGTGCCAGGAATAGCTGGGATAGGGCTCTAGCAGGGGTCCATTCCTGCCCTGCGTCTCGGAAACGGTAGCCAGGGTATATGGTATGCCGTTGGCGAATCTAGGGATGGTAGTAAACACCCTAATCTTGCCATTGGGCAGATACTGAGCCTGGACATCGATGGGAGTGCCGTTTTCGGGCACCAGGTTACCAGCAGCCTGGGCGTTCTCACGATCCTGGGCCGTGGGGAAGCCGTACTCCAGCTGGCGCCACTGCGTCAGCACTTCCACAGTACGCACCGGCCGCGATCCTCCAGGGCCATAGCCCAGTGCCAAAGCCACCACAAGGGTGATTACAAAAAGCCGTAGCAGTAGCTGCTCCATTCCGTAGCAAAGTCGAAGGGGAAGTGTTCCGGTCGCTCTAGTGGCGCTCGCTTATCAACCTAGTCTCTGGTTTTCGGGCCCTGATAAGTGAAGAGAGCCGCTCGAGGAGATTGAAGAGAGCAGATCGCGGATTAGTGTTGTCTATTTGATGAGTGGGCCAATAAGGCCTTTTCTGAGTATTCTGATATTGATGTTTGGCCAGATGCGGCCTGAAATGCGCAATAATTTTATACGATGACCCCGATCTTCCCGAACTTTACTTTCTTTGTCGTTTCCCCGTCAAAGCCAACTATCGACTGAAAACTGAAAACAGGCTTGGCATCATCGGAGCACACAGGCAGCAGGGCAGGCAGAACGAAGATGCTGATTCAGGTTCATCGGCAGGTGGTTTTCCCCCGAGTCTTACAGTCCAAAGTTTTGCACCTTATGTTGGGCTACCACTTGCGAGTGGACGGCTGCGAGTTCGTGCTAAAAATTTTAACCAAATATTTGACAAAGGGGCGATTGTTGGCTCTCTTGGGCAGCGTATAAGCCTCTTATATGTATGGATACCAGCTAATAATGACAGTCGGTTATTATTGATGAGCCGCCGAAAGGGGTGGGCTTAGCTAACCCGTAATTAGTTTTTTACGACTTCCAGCTATCTTGGAGATACTCACAAGCTAATTGGGAATTTGTATTTTGTTTATCTTTTTGTTGCAGCAACGGGAGCAGCTGGAGCGTCTGAAGAATGACCAGATCCACCAGGCCGAGTTCCATCACCAGCAGATCAAGGAGCACGAGGAGGCCATCCAGCGCCACAAGGAGTTCCTCGAGAACCTGCACAAGTGAGCTGTGTCTCCACGGAAGGATGGAGGAGAGGTGTTAACTCGAGACATTTACTTAAATGCATTTCACGCTCAATTGTGTTTACCGTCTTACCCCAAGTGCGCACTATAATTTCTTCACTTGCTAACCTAGAACTACAAACAAAAAAAAAAGATAATTGTTCATTGTATGCAACAAAACCCCATGAATAAACTACCAATATTTTAAAGGCTTTAATTTCAAAAGATCGTTATAAATACAGGACGGATGGGGGTTAATTCGGAAGCTGTTCTATGTAATTATTTCAGAATTGTAACCCCACTGGAAAATTGCATAAAAATATTTGAAAATATTGTCAGGTTTGCTTCTAAAACCGGCTATAGAGTCGTTATGCTCATCTTCCTTCATTTATATTCATCATATTCTAAATTCTTCCAAACTAGGCGTTTATTTATATGCTAAGTCATTCATTAATTTGCAAACTCGTCCCGCTTTCATTCAGATCTTCGTGTGTAAACATTTCATTATAATAAAGCCGTTAATTAGTAGTGGAAAGCTTCAATAATGACTTCTTTAAAACAACATCATAAATTCCGTCTTGAAACGCAATATTTTTTAACGGATTTTACATTTTACCTGGCCAAGTGGCGCCATCTGGTGTATCTCAATCTTATAGATACATTTTAGGGGGTCACACTGCTTCCCACCAGTGTTTCCATCAGATAATGTAGATAACAGCTGTTATACTCTGAACAGACTGTAAACCACCACTGCAGACACGTATTTACACTTTGGATGTGTTTTTTAATTAAAAATTAAACGGTGCTCGAACTAGGACTCCGAGGCAGTTAAAAAGTAGCGCTACAGTGGCCTCATCATGTTTGCCAACCTGAAGAACAAGTTGATCGAGGAGGTGAAGGCGTCACCCTCGAAATTTCAGCAATTTGCGAACGCTGCCCAGGTACTTTCTCGTTAGGAGGGGTTGCGGGGGCAGCTGAAAAGTGCAAATTAAGAAAAACATAACGCACACAATCAAAACAGACTGCGTGCATGTGTGGGGGACTGGGAAAGTGATTTTCATTGCCCATTTTGACCCATTTCAGGGAACCTAATAAAGCCAGCTGCTGCACTTACTCATTTGTTTGCTTTCGTTTTAGGCCGCCGTGAGCTCATCGAGCACTACACCCAACTCGGACTCCAACACCAGCAACAGTGAAAACTTTTTCAGCATCACCGAAGAGGGTAAGAGTTCAATCGCAGTTTTGGTTCAGGTTTCTTATCGCCCAAGTATGAATAATAACTCGTTTCCCCGTAGACACGCCTCAGAACTCCCCGTATCGCATCCAGAAACTGCCGGCCACCAGTGCATCGTCGCTACGGGGACGCTCCTCAACCCAGTCCCTGAATGGGCTCGGGGGTGGAGCCACGCCCAGGACGAGAAAGCTGTCCAACTCGTCGATGGCCAGCGATGTGTCTTTTCGCCTGCCCTCTTACGATGCCCCAGCCGTAACTACGTTTAAAGGATATCATCTTAGCCAGAACTAATCTTGGTTTCTTGTAGGTCTATCACCTTCAGTCCGATCTCGACGAGACGAGTAGTGAGTTTGATGACTCCGCCTCGACAGCTCGCCTGGATGTCGTCACCAAGGATCAGCTGTACGATGCCTACAAAAAGTCCCTGGACAGGTACCACAAGTACCGATGCCGCTACACGGACCTGGCCAAGAAGTACAAGGAACTAGAGCGCGACAGCTCCAAGGCGAGGGTATCTATTCGTATATCTTATCTTGGCCTTATCGCTAGGGGCTTATGTTGTCGATGTTACTGATAAAATCACTTTTTAGTCGGTGCTGGTGGAGACGCAAGACAAGGCTCTAAGACGGATCAGCGAGCTGCGAGAGCAGTGCACGCTGGAGCAGCAGGCTAAGGCTCACCTGGAGGAGGCCCTGCGCATAGAGATGGACGACATGAGCTGCAAGATGCAGGCCTATCAGACGAAACTAAAGCTGTTGGGTGAGAATCCGGACAACATTACGGCTGCTCTGGAGAGGAGTGGCCAGGAACAAGACTCTGAGAAGCTCATTGATATCGAAGAGAAGGCAGCATCATCGGCCAATGGCGCCTCTGGCGAAGAAATCGCCCTTCTGCAGCAGAAACTTCAAGAGAACGAAGTGAAACTTAAGGAGGTTACCGAGAAATATGAGGCTCTGCGAAAGCAGGAGGAGGAGAATGTCCTGCTGCTGGCCCAAACCAAGCAGGCTATCCACACGGAATTGGAGCACAAGGACATCGAAGTTCGAAACCTGCAGGAGAAGCTGAAACAGCTTGAGAGCCAGCGGGAATCGCACACCAGCGATGCCAAAGAACAACTGAAGAAGCTCCAGTCAGCAAAGCAGGAGGTGGATGCCAAGCTGATAGCCACGGAGCATCTGTTGAGTACTCTGAAAGGAAACTACACAGCCAAGGAGCAACAGGTGGCTGCACTCGAAAAACAACTGGAGGTCCTAAAAGCAGAAAGCGAACAGAAACTGAAGGACATTCAAAAACAGAACCAAGATCGGGATAATGAAGCCTCTGACTCCAACGAGCAGCTAGTGAAGGCACAATCTGCGAAGTTGGATGCCGAATCGAAACTTACGACCAAGGATCAGGAGTTGGAAACCCTCAAGAACGATTACAAAGCTAAGGAGGATCAGCTGGTGGAATTGGAAAATCAACTTGTGGCACTCAAGAAGGAGAACGAAACGAACCTCGATAAGCTTCGGCTGTACAAAGAGGAGCAAGAGGCCCAATCGAACGAAGCAAGAGACCAGCAAACTAAGTTGCAGACTTCCAAGGATGAAGTTGAGGCCAAACTTGTAGCAGCAGAAGGACAACTAAGCTCCCTTCGGTCAGAAATTGAAGCCAAAGAGGATCAGTTGGCAAAACTACAGAAAAACCTCGAAACTCTCAAAACCGAAAACGAGAAGAAGCTGGAAAAGCTGCGCCAAGAGAACCAGGACCGTAACTTGCAGTCAGATGAAATACAGGAAGAGCAAAGAAAGCTGCGAGCAGCTAAAGAGGAAGCTGAGGGCAAGCTCCTTGAAGTGGAGATGAGCCTAAGTGCCTTGCAAGGATTACTTTCCGCCAAGGAGGAGCAAGCTGATGCCTTGGAGCAGCAGTTGAAGGCCCTGAAAACCGACAGCGAACAGAGCTTGCAGGACTTGCGTCTGCACAACGAACAGTTGACCGAGATGGTTCAGCGCCATCAACAAAATGACTGGGAGGGGCAGCTGGCAAAGGTCAAAGAGGAACTAACTGCCAAGACCCTGGAGCTGGAGAAGAACCTGGAGATGGAGCGAGAGTCCCTGGCTGCCTTGACTTCGGAAAAGGCGGCCCTGGAGGAGCAACACAGACTTAAGGTGGAGCAACTGCAGCGCGATATCCAAATCCTGAACGACCAGCATGCCAACTCGGAGAGCGAAACAGTGGCCGCGCTTAAAACTCAACTGGAAACCATCAGTCAGGAGTTATCCAGCAGTCAGGCCGGTCTTCTGGCCAAGGAAAAGGAGCTGAAAGCCAGTGGGAACAAGCTGAACAAACTGAAGAAGCAACATGATCAACACCAGACGAAATCCAGCGAACAAACTGCCCGCTTGGAACAGCTTCAAAACGAGCTCACCACCCGCCAAAACCAGCTTCAGAAAGCGGAGGGCGAGAAGGAGGAGCTGCAGACTAGGGTGGCTGGAATTTTGGAGGAGATCGCCACCATTCAGGCGCACCTTAAACAAGTGAAGGATTCACACAGCGAACTGGAGCGCGAGCTGGAATCCCGGATAGCGTCCCAGCAGCAGGAGCAACTGGCCAGCAATGGACAAGCCGCCAAGCTAGAGGTGATCCAGAGCGAGAACACTAAGCTGGCGGAGCGCAACTGCCTGCTGGAGGAACAGGCGAACCATTTGGAGTCACAACTGCAGTCGAAGCAGGAAGAGATTAGCAAGATTCAGCTGAAGCTGCAACAGGTCCTGGATGAGCATTCGAAGCTTCAGAACGCCCAAGAATTGATGGATCACGATCACCGCACCCTGCAGGATAAATGCGATGCTTACGAGAAGGAGAAACTGCTGACCAAGGACACCCTGAAGAGCATTCAAGTGGGCTGCGAGGAGTTGCAGCAGATGAAGGCCGTTCTTGAGCGCAACCTGGAGGAGCAGCAGCATCAAGTGTTGAAGCTGATGGTGCGCCAACGGGAACAGGAACAGCAGCTGCAGGACCAAGCGGACCGCTGCGCTGAGCTTGAGAGTCAGAACCTGGAAAATGAAACGGAGCTCAAAGCCACGATCAAGAATCTTCGCGAGCAACTGGAAGCCTACCAGCAGGGGGATCAGGGAGTCCAGGAGAAGATACAGGCTGCCACTGCTTCCCACGCCATCCAGATAGCCACGTTGGAGGCCCGCTGGAGTGCCGCCAACTCCGACGTGGAGCGTCTGCACGAAGCCAACGATGCTTTGCAATTGGAGATGGATCAGTTGAAGAGCAGACATCGAGAGGATGTCGAAGAACTCAAGGAGTCAGTAGCCCAGAAGAACCGGCGGGTGGTAGAGCTGCAGGAAATCCTGGCCGAGAGCGAACGGCAACTGCAGGAGAGGGCGGAGAACTCACAGAAGCTGGCCAAGTACGAGGAGGTCCAGGTGGAGAATGAGTACCTTAACAAGCACACCAAACAGCTGGAAAAGGAGCTGGCGGAGGGCGAAGAAGTGAGGGAGAAACTCAAGTCGCTCCAGTGTGAACTGTATGTTCTACAGGAGAAGGCCGAGCAGCACGCCGTCCAGATGTCCGAGAAGGAGATCCAAAGTGAGGCAGCCAAGGCAGAGGCCGCTGAACTCAAGAAAGCCATCGAGGAGCAGGCCGTCGAGCTGACACGTCAAAAGGAACACGCCAGCTTCGTGACCGAGCAGAGCGACGCCGTACAAAAGGATCTCCTGCAAGCTCAACAGCAACTCCAGGAAAAGCAAAGTGAACTGACAAAGTCCCAGGAGGAACACTCTAGTCTGCAGGACAAAATCGAAAGTCTCAACAAGGAGATATCCACTCTGAAGGAACAAGCCACGACGTCTTCTGACTCCGACGGACTGCGCAGCCTCAACGAGCGACTGCAGCGTGAGCTGGAGGATCTCAAACACAAGAGCAATGGGGCCGAGTCGAGCATGCAGCAGGAGATTGAGGAGCTGCAGGCCAATAACCAGCAGATGGCCGAACGCATCAACGAGCTGGAAGCTTTGAGGGCCGGTATTCAGGCCCAGCAGCTTCTGGCCAGCATGGCGCCCAAAAACGTGCAGGAGGCTGCCGCTGCGGGTGAGAAAGCTGAGCTGGAGGCCAAGCTCAAGGAGATAGCCAACGAGGTGCAGGACGTGACCAATCGGAACCTCTTCCTCGAGCAAAAGTGCGAGAACTACCTGATACTGGAGCAGTCCAACGAACGACTGAAGCTGCAAAATGCGAAGCTATCGCGGCAACTGGATGAAACACTGGTACGTTTTCAGGGCTAATCCTCCAGGGCTTAAATATCTAATGCTTCCATATGCTTTTCAGGTATCCATGCAGCACAGTGAAAGTGTTCCCGCCAACACAGAGTTCGAATACTTGCGGAACATCATGTTCCAGGTGAGTTGGTCCAGCCCCAGACCTCTTTCCCACTGAATCTCATAAATATCCATCCTTTTCCTGGCAGTATCTGACCGGCAACACCAACAACGAAACGCTGGTCAAGGTGATATCAGCAGTCCTGAAGTTCTCGCCCCAGCAGGCCCAAGTTGCCCTGGAAAAGGAGCACCAGCGCAGATCATTAGTATGAGACATATATATCCTACGATCTTGAAAGGATACCTAACTCTACTTTTCTTTCCAGTTAAACAAACTAATCTAGCACGAACTGAACGCTCTCTACGACGACAACTGGGTCTGGGACTCCTGTCCGAACACGCTTCGTGGCCACCTTTGAATATCGAAACGCTGGGCCCGGGATTTCATCAAGTACCTTATACCTCACATCCGGCAGATGGGCATTTCGAGATGTTGTTGTGTTGTTGCAGACCCCCAAGATAGATAAATGTTATTGTACAGTCCACTAATTAATTGTAGCTACTTGTCCTTGTCTAAATTCACGCTAGGCGCACTTTTGTAAATGTTTACTACGCTCTCCTATGTTTCCGGCAAGTCCCAACTATCGTCCATTCAATCCCAACCTATCCTATCCTAAGTGCAATCGATTTGTGTATTTTAGTTATAAGTTCAAAGTTGTAAAGATCCGTATCGCATTTGGCATTTAGTTTAATTCAGAGAGTTTAATTACACAATCATATATATAAATAGATGCAATTTATATAATTTACATAAGGATAAGCCTAATCTCGTTGGAATTTCCTGAACGAATAATGGTATTTCCTCCTCCTCTGCGCGAAACTACGAAGCATGGCGCGGGTCAGCGGCTGCAAAGCATACTCGGGCCTGTAGCTCTGCAGGACGTCCATGACATGCCCGAATCCGAATCTCTGGAGCCGCAAAATACCCTGGACGACGGATTCCTGAACGGCCGGTCGCGGCACAGCCACTATGAGGTGCTTGAAGAGCCCCACGCAGGCGGAAATGTTGGTTTCTACCGGCAGCGCTTTGAGGGCCATCGATATGCACTGGACCAGGGTCTGCAGCCGGTCGTCGAAGTCCTCGGTCTGCGTGGCGAGATCACAGTAGCTGGCGGCCAGCGGCAACAGATGCTCCCCGAAAACAGTATCCATCACCTTCACATGCGGACTTCGGCGACAGAAGAGCGCGAAGGCATAGCCCAGCTGCTCCAGACGGCCCGCTTTTATCTTCTCGACCAGGTTTTCCAGCACCTGATTTCCGGTAGGCTCGAACTTTTGAAAGTGGTACTCGAAGCGCAGCTTGGACAAGAGCATTCGCTCTGGACTATCGGGATCGTTCATGTCGTACTTTCTGTTCATCAAAAGGTGCTTGATAACCGTGATCAAGGGATCCGAGTGGTCGTACTCCCGCTCTTCTCGGTGCGGGATAACAGTTGGGCATTGGGACAAGATTTCAAAGACCAAGCCTGGCATATCCTTATCGCAGTGATAGAGAATTTTGGCCAGCAGCAGCCGCGTCGGATTCTTCGGTTCTTGCATCAATGAGACTATTATTAGGTACAGCTTTATATATTCCATGGCCATGTCGAGCTGGGGGCGATCCTTGTTCCTAAACAAGCGTAGCTCGATCCCCAACAGGAACCTCTCCGTGAACTCGAAGTGTTGTAGGGCAACCATCAGGCGGGAGACGGGAATGGCTTCCAAACCGACCTTACAAATGACCGTGATCATGGCCTCCACTGATTCATCTACATTGTGGTTCCCCTTTCGGAAATTCTCTTTAAAATCCTTGAAGCTGGAATCTATGCAAGTTCTGTCCTCGAGATACTTCTCTATCGTTTCACTTAATGTCTCCTGCGCATCCTTTGACAATTTTCGCTGCACAGGACCATCCCTACTGGATATTAGGTGATGGACTAGCAGTGGTGGACCGTTGGTTTGTTGGCACTTGTCCTGCTCTAGAGGAATATCGATGGGCAGACTCAGTTCCTCAATTGGCTCGGGTGGGGGAGAGGCGGGAGAAGCATCGAGACTCACACATCTTCGTTTTGGACAGGGTTTATCCTCCTTTGGCTTAGACTTCTCCTTGGGTTCGGTCTCCCGAACTCGTTCGGGTTGATCTTCTTCCAGAGTTCCTTCGAGGCCCACATCTGCTGCCTTGCTATTCGACTCCAAGGGTCTGCCTTCCAAGTCAGAGGGCAGAGACTTTTTCAAGCGGTCCCTTATCTGATCCACCAGAGATGTCCTTCCATCCTCGTTTAGTTTCTGGTCCTGTTCCGTTTGCAGTTGCTTGGCCCTGAAACGGGTCATCCGGACTTCTAAAAGATTGGACGCCATCTTTAGTGGTTTCTTTGGTGTTGGAGACACCGATAGAGGCGACGGGGTCTTCTCCATGTCAGATCTACTGTCGGCGCTTTCATCAATAATCAGACGAGGATCGTCCGACTCATCGCTTGAGCTATAGAAGTTTTTCATCCGGCTCTTCATAAGTGAAAGAATCGACGACGCGTCTTCAGGAACTTTGGCATAGTCAGCTTCGATGTCCACATTGGTAGTTCCGCTAATGCTGCTTGGTAGCTCCGATGTGAGGTACTTATCCAGTTGAATATCATCCATATCCCTCGCTGCCTTTCCTCCACTCGTCTTGTCTTCTGAGCGAGAATCCAGAGTCTCAGGGCAGTCTGATTTAGGATAATCAAGGTACGAACGCACATCCACGCGGTCCGAGGATTCCGATATGGAATCAGTAAGCCACGGAGACACATACATATGTTTAGGAAAATCTAAGGAAGAGTCACTCTGGCATGAGAATATATCCAGACTCTCGGGGGAATCTGAGGTAGAATCACTAAGGCATATAGGTGCAGCCAGATGCTCAGGTGATTGTTTTGGAAGATCTACAGACCTTGGCATCTCCTCACTTGAAGTGGATGTAAAATCGGAATAAGAATTAGGCTTCCGGACCGTAAGAAGGCGGAGAATAGCAGCATCACTTTCAGATTCTTCTTCACAAGATTTAGAGTCTGGATGCGACCCGGGATTAGTTTGCCTCTTAACTATCCCATCGGAATCGGAATCACTGCCGAATAAAATTTTCAATGTTTCCAAAGTTTTTCTTGTTTTGGCATCTCGGGATTCCTCTTCTACTATTGAGCTTCCAACAGAGCGTACTTCCTGGATAGGAGATTCTACTTCTGTTGCAGGTGAAGTACATGCCTCGAAAGTTTTAGGATCTTCAGGTTTCTTTATAGGATCGATGGGCAAAGGTTGAACGTCTTCATTCTGTATAGCAGGTAATTCATTGACTTCTAGCGGCACCTGATCAGTACCCTCTCCAGGATTATTCGTACAGGTTGGTTGTTCAGGCTCCTGACTCTTCTGAGTTGTCAGCTGAAGCAAGTACATTTCCTCTTCATCTAACTCCATATTGAGATTATCACAGTTGGCCATGTTAAACTTGTTCAAGTTGCTTATAAACTGTATAGCCGTTTCCGGCTCTTCTTCATTCCTATCCTTATCCTGTACAGGATCATTTTTTTCATTATTTTGGTTTTCTAATATCTCCTCCTCACGGCATTTTCGTTTCGAAGAGGACTTTACGGGCGAAGTCGCTTTGCGCTTCTTCTGTTTTGACTTTCGTTCTCTCGGTTGTTGGGGTGGTAGTCGAATGGGTGTTACGTTTCCTCCGTAACTGATGTTCGGCGATTGAATGATGGGATCCGTGCCAACGTCCACGCAATCTGTGCCGGCAGCGAAATCTAGAAGGAGGTTAGTCTGAATTATTCCGCTGACGGTAAACTTTTTAGGGCTTTTACCTTTTGTGTTGGTGGCTGGTTGGTTGATGCATAGCGCCTCCGGGTAGTTTCCCGCGCCCTCGTAGAGTTCGTGAAGCCAACTAGCAAAGTCCGCATTGCTGACACTCTGCTGAACCGAGCGCCTCTGCAATAGGCCCAACACCATTTGACCAAACACCTGCCACAGCTCGTCGAAGGCTTGAGGCGACATGTTGGCCAGGCAGCTTTGGTTTTGGGGCAAGAAGTTTAACAGTTCTTTAGCGAGCTCCTTGTTGCCTAAAGAATACCTGGACTCTTCTTTAATGCCATCCATCATGCCGCGCGAGGGAGGCCTTGAAGCGGACACCTTTATTTGCGACGGCACCTCCGGCATATAGTCGATTTCCCGCTGAATGTTGCACAGGGTTGTGGATGTGGCCACGCTAACTGCGCTGCGAATTTCCGGCACTCCACTGACAGGGCTTAGAGGGGACACAACTTTGTCGATGCTCCAGGACAGCATTTCATCCAATATCTCCCGCACCTTTGGTGTGATGACAGGTTCAGGAAAACTGGTGCTCACATCCCGCTTCTCAATGAAGCACGCTGTGGTCGTACTCCTCGTAGTAGTTGTTCTCTTGTATTGTGATCCTTGACTTCGCGTCTCCACAACTCTGCCCACCTGCACGCCCACCGAACAAACCACTGGCTTTTCTTTGACAGGTTCCTGGTCGGTTTGGGTAGATTGGTTGACACTATTTTGGAGGCTTTTTCGCTTAGGCCGCGAGTTCGGACTTTTTGGCGGGGCGATTGGGATTTCCGCTGACTTGCAATACTCCTTCAGCTTCTTCATAATATTGCTGTCCCTGCGCGTGAGTCCGCAATCGTCGCCCAGTCGATGGTGGAACTGCATAAGGATGCCCAGAACATCCTTTGCTTCCACCGGCAGTCCCTTTTTCTGCAACTCATCTTGCAAGTTCTCGCAGGTCGCAACTTGTACATCAAATTTTCTTTCTAGTTCTAGACATTGGGCGGCAAATTTGTTGGAGCTCTCTTCCAGCTCGAGTCGCAACTGCTTCTCCTTCTGGTAGAGTTCGGTGACCTCCTTAGCGGTTTTCTGCAGTTCCGTCAGTTGCTTGTTCTGGGTCTGCAGCTGCTTCAGCTGTCGGATGAGGTCGTCGCTTTGCCCGATCCGCTCAGCTAGTTGGCTCCGTTTCGCTTTGACATTTCCGTTGATTCTTGGCGTAGAAATTTGCCTGTAAGAGGATATCACCTCATTTTGAGGCGGGGCTGGATCGTTCAAAAGTTGATCTATATTAATTTCGGAAAACTCTGAGAAATCCATGGCCACTTCTCCGGGACTTGTTGTTGCTGGATTTCACGTGGTCACGATGTCCGCCACCTTTGCGGCTTTTAAATAAAAGTAAAACGGATTATTGTATTCATTTTGAGTATAATCTGCAAGCCTTTATAGCTGACTTGGATAAACGACTGGCTATCGCAATTTTAATATACAAATCAAAGAACTAAAATAATCCGCGTTTTCCTCAGCCGGTCACCAAAACATTTCCCTTAGAGATGAAACAAGGGCGATAAAAGACTTTATCGATAGAATACCACAGAGAGAATACCATTACGTGAAAAATACCAAACATTTTTGGCCATCGTTATCGCCCATGTTGCCAAAATATCATGAAAAAAGATTATAAAAATGAATAGTTTTCAACTCTTTTTATTCGCCGATCTCACGTTAATCCAAACACAAACAGCTCTGAAATGTTGATGCAACTATTAAAACTAGATTAATGTCCATTTAGTGGTGCTCGGCGTGCTCCTTAGCCTGCGACTCAGCCCATGCCTTCTTGTTTTCGGGAGAGTTAGCTAAAAAGATACGAAAAATTCAACATTTACCATTTAACAAAACAAGGTAAAGAAGGTGAAACCAACCCAATTTGCTGATCTTGTAGAACACAGGAACGCAGGCGACAGCCGCAATGAAGTAGTAGCGCCAGATCCATTGGTTCTTGATGTAGTGCTTGATGGGGAACTGGGCAATCTTCGCCGAGAAGGTGTACGGATAACGCATGGGGCGACCCAAGGGTTTCTCGGCAGCAACTTTGTCGGCCATTGTAATTGATGATTTGGTTGCTGCAGCGGGATTTGCAATTAAAGAGTGCTTTTTCCAATTTATGCAAAAAATTATGTAATTTTCAGCAGTGGCAGCCGAACATACGTACCTCACAAATAAAACGAAAGCAATCGGAATGCCAACTTGTTTCATAGAGGTGAAAAAGTTCGATAGCGATGTTTTTGGCACATCACTAAGATGTTCATTAGTGACAGTATTTTCGGCCTATTTTTAGTGTTGAAAATACTTAAAAAATGTGGAGTTTAGAAACACTGACAGTGCTGGCCAAGTGTTTATCGGAATCGGATTTTTGGCCACACAGCAAAAAATAACAGCTGGATATTTACACATTGCCTTCGTTAGCAAACTTTAACGCCAATTAAACAAAAGTATATATCAAGGTAAGTTGATGGCCTTTGCCAAAAATTGAAAAATTTGTTTCTATCTTAATATGAAAAACTAATAACTCACAAGGTTCTGTCAGGAAGCTAATAGTGGCTGCTTCAGCAGCTCTCACATGCATCTTGCCACAATCTTTTCCCCTAAAATTGCAATGTGTCTATCTCTTTTCAAGCATTCAAAATGGTTTTAACGGGAGAACAGGTGCCACAGGTAGCTAGCCTCATTCACTTCAACCGAAACCTATTTACATAGAAGCTCAAATTTAGACTTTGATTTTGCATGTTCCTGATTTGATTATATATTGGTTAAAACCTTTAACTTGAAAGCTTTTCAACTGCTTTTGTTCTATAACTAATAATATTATTCGCATTCCCAGTCAGGCGGTAGGCCGGCCAATAATAAGCACAAGAAGCAAACCCCGGAGACCTCGACTACAGATTCTGCAACTGCAATGCCAGGAGAAAACAGTGTTAAGCTAGATGCGGCGGCAACGGAGAAGACTCGCGAGCAAGTAATGGCCGAAAGGGAGGCAAAGAAGTTGGCGAAACAGGCCAAGAAGCAGAAGACTCCAACCCCAGCAGCTTCCCCAGCTACCACAATCATCACCGAAGTGGAGCAGACAACCATTACCACCAAGCTGACGACCACCACAACAACCACAGCGAAGGAAAAGCTGGAACTGCCATCGGTGGTAACAGCAATCAAGGAAAACAATAATATTACTCAACAAAAGACAAACACGTCGCAAGCCACCGTAGAAAATGGCAATGATACGGAAGCTGGTGAGAAATCTAGAGAACAAATTAAGGCCGATCGAGAAGCCAAGAAGGCGGCCAAGCAGGCTGCAAAGGCGGGGAAGGCTGCAGGAGTCAAAGTAGAGGCCACAACACAACAATTGGACAACTTGAAAGTGTCGGATAAGACCCCAGCAGCACCTGCGACGACTGCAGCCACACCCTCAGCCCGAGAAGCGAATGAGGACAAGGTAATGTCTATAGTTCTTTAATGTTATGAATATATTCTTGAACCAATTTATTTACAGAAAAAGCCAGCCCTTACTAAGGCCGAGCGTCGAGCTATCCAGGAGGCCCAACGGGCAGCCAAGGCCCAAGGACTGACGAAAAAGCCCCAACCTGCTGGCAAAGCTCCTCCCGCTGGCAAGGCTCCTCCCGCTGGCAAGGCTGCTCCAGCTGGCAAGACTCCTGCAGCTGCAACCACCATCCCCAGCAAAGATCTGAAAAGGGAAAGTGCCTCTCCCACCAAAACAACTACCAGCAGCTCGCCAAGCAAATCCTCACAAGTTACTTCCCCCTCGGAGTGCCGGGTCAAGCTATTCAACCACTTGGTGTGCGCCAAGGGTGATAGTCTGTTCATCAACGATCCCCTCGTGCATCCAGCCATTGCGAGACTGGGAGTCCAATATGCCAAGCGTACGGTGGTCGGATCTAATGCACGTTGCATTGCTTTTCTGCATGCGTTGCGGCAAGTGGTTCAGGACTTTGAGACTCCGGCGAAAAAGGAGTTTGGTCGCAGTCTAGACGCGGCTGTGAAGCACCATGTGGATCATCTGCACAAGTGCCGGCCGCTGGCGGTTTCAGTATCGAATGCCTATAAACAGTTTAAGAACCAACTCACCCAACTGCCGACGGACACACCCGAAACGGAGGTAAGTCGCGAACGGTTAAAGGTTATGACCCATCTTCATATCTATATTTTTCCGTTTTAGCTGAAAGAGTTACTTGTCCACTTCATCGATACTTACATTGAAAACCAGATCGGTAAAGCTGCCCAGGCGATAAGTGGCTTTCTGCAAGAAAAGATTACAGATGGCGATGTGATTCTCACTTTCGCCTGCTCCTCTCTGATCCAGTTCATCTGCGAAGAGGCGAAGCGGCGGCAGGTGGCCTTCCGGGTGATTGTTGTGGACTCCCGCCCCGGATGCGAGGGCCAGGAAATGCTGCGCCGCCTGCATGCCACTGGAATCCCGTGCACTTATGTGCTCATCAATGCCGTGGGCTATGTGATGGCAGAGGCCACCAAAGTACTGTTAGGAGCCCACGCCCTCTTGGCCAATGGGTACGTGATGGCGCGCACAGGCACGGCACAGGTGGCCCTGGTAGCCAACGCCCACAACGTACCCGTGTTGGTTTGCTGCGAAACGCACAAGTTCAGTGAGCGCTTCCAGACGGACGCCATCGTCTACAACGAACTGAGTGATCCCAATCAGTTGGTGCGTGGCGACAAGTGCCAGCTGAACAATTGGGCGGCCAAGGGAAAGCTGTTGCCTCTTAATCTGAACTATGACATTACGCCGCCAGAGCTGGTCAGCGCTGTGGTTACGGAAGTGGCCATCCTGCCCTGCACCAGTGTCCCGGTGATTTTGCGCATCAAGCCCGATATTGGCTACTGAAAATCGTAATTATAATCTTGGATCACTCGGTAAACACTCGCAGTTGTTGAATAAATAATTTTTATTACACTTTTGATCAAATCGATAAAGAAGTTGGCGTAGTACTTTAAGGGTGAACTGCCCTAGCTAATGGAATATAGGTGAAGCCAGGGCGAGGGCTAAGCCCGGTCTGTACATACTTGATCCAGAAATTGATCGGAAATTATAATTATATGACATAACATTAGTGCTTCTGTAATATTTTACATTCAATTGTACTTTTTGCTCGTTTGTGGGATTGCGGAAAATTAGTCTCTCTATTCTGGTAAACAACAGAATAGGGGTTTGTGCCCGACTTACAGACTAGGATGATGGATAGACTAAGGAAGCCAATCGCTAGTAGATCGTTTTGGTTCAACTCAGGGGTTTTCATTTGCAACAACTTGAATGAGCTTCTGTAAGCAACTACGGCTACAAATGCAACAATAAATACATACAATATAATTGAATAGAATTTCCATGCGATGGCCAATCCCCATCTCGCATCTCTCAAACAACATTCAACTAGGCTATCCATAGACCTTAATTATGTGATATTTACGGACTCTGTTTCTGCATTTGCCGGAAGCAGCCGCGGCACACGGGCACCGCTTTGCCGCTATCGTGTCCAGGAAGAGCCACATTCTTGTCGATGCATCGCTCGCAGAAGATGTCCCCACACCGCCAGCAATGTGTCTGTAAAAGAAGTATTTTTATATAGAACTCAATACTTAATTGGATAGCACCCACCTTTTTGCTGAACTGATCAAAGGGCGTGGAGCAGGAGCAGGTGGTCACATTGCGCATGGGCTTCCAGTCCACAGCCACGGAGTTGAGTTCGTCGGGCAAAGCTTGAGCGGGACTAGATTGTTCGGCGTTTAGGGATAAATTGGCAAAGGACATGTTGCTGGCCTTCAGCGGATGATCATCGTCGGCTGCCGACAGCTCGCTCAGCTTCTTGTCATAGTTATACCTGAAATGGGAGCTCATCTTTAAAGTCAAATCCGATTCTTGAACGGAATCCGACTTACTTGTTGTCATTGATCTCGGTGCTGGAGGCTTCTTTGCTAACTTTCGAAGTGGTGCTAGTTGCATCCTGTAGTTTTTTGGCCGACTTGGAGATGTAGTTCTTGAAGCTTGCAATACGCTTGGTTAAATGCTGCACGTGGTCTTCCAGCGAATTGCAGTGCTCCTTGCTGTCTAGTAGCAGGTCACCCAATGGCTCTCGTGGATGAATACCGCTCTCGAAGCGACTGTACATGCCCCGCCAAAATCTATAAAGAAGCATAGCATGAGATGAGTATCAAACTCCTAAAATCCACTCTTACTTGATGCACTGGGGCGCTAGATTGGCCTTAATAGACTCATCTACGTTGGGCTTGTACAGCGGGTTGATGTACTCGTTCAAATGGTTGGCCATAAAGCCCCAGAGGGAAAAGGTGCGCTCTGCCAGCTTCAAGTCCAGCCGGTCCTTCTCACAGTTGCCCACAAAGGTGCCGAATTGGCAGGAGTGCACATGGTCGTGTAGGATTAGCAAGAAACGCTCGTTGAATTCGAAGGACTCGCTGCGCTGGGACATTAACTGCCAGGTGCAATCGAGGAACTGCGTGAAGATCGGGGACACTTCCCGGGCATCCGTCTGGATGTGGCCACACCGTTCACTGAACTTGTGACCAAAGGCCAGCCAGTCCTTTTCGATTAGCGCCTGGAAGCCCTTGATCGTCCTGTAGTAGGGATTCAGCATCAGTTGAGCCAGCGAGCAGACTTGGGCGGTGCGGTCCCAGCCGTCGGAGCAGTGGACCACCACAGAGACTCCCTTATCCACTGCGTTGGCGATGAAACTGCAAAAGCGGATGTTATGAATTATAAATAAAGCCCCAAGATACACTTGAGAGTGCTCCTAGTCCTGCTACCAACTATTTGCTCACCTTGACGTGTCCAATATGGAGCGAATGTGCTTGAGCCATCCAGAGGACTCGAGGGCATTCAAGAACGCGCTCATTGTCGGCGATTTCTGTTCGCAGGCCTCCAGAACTTTTTGTAGGCTAGTCCGTTGAACGTGGATGTTCTCGATGCCAAGGAAGTGGAACTTGATGTTTTCGTAGAAGGCCTCGTTCTCGTATCCCTTGCCTGCGGCTCTGTTGGCCATCGCATTTATCTGCAAACAGGGTAAATGGATTATTTGCATATGCCAATCGCTTGGGAATTCCTCTGCCTTCCAACTTACCCGTGGCCGTGTGTCCACCACGTACATGTAGTCTGTGTTGGGATTGGTTTTTCGTATAGCCTCCAGCATTTGTTCATCCTCCAGGCAGCGGGCACTAAAGCCAGACAGCGGCTGACTGCATCGGCAAATCGAGGCCTTAAATTTTGGGACATTAAATAGGGTCATTTTTTTAACCAAAAAGGCCTCCTACCTTGTTGTTGTGCAGATAGGTGAGCGCCGGTAGACGACCCTTGGAGCGGAAGCGGGAGCTACTGATGAGCATCAGCTTGGTGGCCTCCTTGGGCACGTAAATCTGACGGGGATAGGTGTCGCATAGCTCGTAGTTTTCGTTCATCGAGCAGAGGGTCCAGTTCTCGTTCGGCACCAGCATATGCTTGAATTCCGCCTCCAGCTTAAAGAAGTCCCATCCGGCGTTCTTGGGGAAGTCATCTTTGGCCGGCTGATAGTTGAAGCAATACAATTTGTTGATGGACACTGTTCGGGGGAATCAGAGTTTATGGCTGGTTTGGCAAGTCCTTGGAGAACTCTTACCTGGTTGAAAGAGTTTCAGCAGCGAGGTGTACACATCGTGACACTCGGAGTCCTTGGGAATGACAAAGGTTACCGACAGGAAGGTCTTGCAGCGAATGAGCAGCGGTGATCCTGTGGTGCTGAGTGGCAGCTTCTCAATGCTGGCCACGTGCATGTGCAGGATCTAAGAAGACATAAAAATACACGATATAATATTGCTAGTGACCTGAAAGTCTTGCAACTTTTTTTTATTAGCCTCCTTCGTCAGCTTATGACCATGACTTCCACCAGGGATGCGATTATGCAATACTCGCCAAAAAAAGTATAAAGACACACAACTCAACAGAACTTTAGCTACTCCCCCTTGCGATGGCAGGATGGGTGGCTGACTACGTGCCCGGTCCAAACTGCTCTCGGCACTAAATAATTGATGCGCCTCTGTGGCGGGCAGTAAAAAATTGAGAGCCGGAAAGCAGGGCAGGACGGAGCAGCTGGATTATGGAGAACTTAGCAACCAATTTTCAATGGCACAGAAAATCAATACAATCCCCAGCACTCCCGGCAAATGCCAGCAGCGAGACCACTTTGCTGTCAAGTGTTTCAACTTTTAATTAACCACTTTGCAGTGGTCCAGGATTAACCAGGATAGTTGAGACTCCCATCTCGGGGGCCACTTGTGGCACTCACCACGCTTTCGCCCACTTTTGCATAATTAATACAATTTTGGCAATTAAAATGCGATGCATGGCCGCGCTTCGTACCTTGCAAACAAATAAAAAGATTACGTATACGCCGCGGGTGACGCTGTGCCACGTCCATGGCAATTCGCAGCAGGAATAATTAAGAGCATTTAGTGGCACTTGCATGGCACATGGGCATGGGATTTGAGCGGTTACGGCCACATATCAAAGGATACGAGCTCTGGGGGGGGATTTACTTTATAAGCTAACGCGCTAAGCCCGTGTTTTCCGCGCAAACAGGACATACATTTTCCCAAGGCCCATTCAATAGAGACCGCCTCTGAAACTAGCAATTTGCAGCAACAGCTTTTCCTCTGTTGGGGAATTTAAAGAGTTTCCCTCATATTGCGGGGGTGGTGGGTGTGTGCAATTATTCTACATAAGAGCTAAGCTGGGAATTTAATTTGTTCGTGTATTTGTGCAATGTGGCGTATACGCAACACGCTTATGCAAAACCGCCTTTGTGTTTGCCAAGATTGCAGATGCGAATTAAATTCCTGTGTAAACAGAACAGAAAACTTTAAGCGCCCACAACTATCTGCAGGCGTTCGCGGGCTTGCTACGCTTGATGGGGGAAACTATTCTTGGCCAAAAACGCGGAAGTGCAGCAGAGGGGATGGCTGGCTCTAAACTTTTTGACAGCCAGCCGAGGTCGGGTCTCAAACGAAGCAAAAAAGAAATCCATTTGAGCACGTTCCTCCATGAAGGTGACTCACAAAACACTGCTTGTGGGCCAGCCACGCAAATAAAAATATCGCTTCACTAACTGAAATGAAAGCCTTCTTAGCCCGAACAGAAAAACGTTTTTAGAGCTAAGGAGGATTGATGATGTCATCGGGGGTACTTACCCAGGTCTCCTTGTTGCTGTCGGGCTCCACGAATATCAAATGGGTCGCCGTCAGATAGAGGGTGCCCACTGTGGGATTTTTGGTATTGTAGCGATCTATCATCCGTACATTCTCCACCTGGAAAAACAATCGAGAAAGAATCATAGTGGTTAGAGTTTTGATTTAAATTCCCTCACTGACGGCAGTGAAACCCACATGAATTCGATGAAAAAGTAGACTCTATTGACACAAGAGGAGCAGAAACTTTTTCAATTAACAGAATCCCCTGTTACCGCAAAAAAAAAAGAAGAAAAACGCATCAGCAAGCACTCGTCTGGTTTGGAGAATATGAAAACTTTAAAGCATTGAATAAATAGAGGGCTCAGAGTGGCCTTTGCGGTTAGTTGGTATGCAGCCATTAAGCATAACCGTCCAGCAGCCAGCCAGCACATTCATTCCTTTGATGGTCCTTTAGGCCCAGGCTCTTCCACTACCACTCCCACTCCCATCCCAGACCCCGAGTCGGGCCAGTTTTTATTGCCCAGGAGGCATACATATTGTGAGTCCCGAGAGCTGTTCATCATCGGACTAATTTCCTTTCATGTCACTTAGATTGAGGCCTTTGTTTGAGGCCGGTCCATTGTCGGGATAGATAAGGTTAGTTAATTGTCTGATTTAGCCAGTGGGAGTTCATTACTCCAGGCCAGCGGGCAGGCAATTCAATTTAAGATGTAAATTATTGCAGAAAATGCTGCAGAAACTTGAGTGAAAGAATCATGAACCATGAAAAGTTCAACATCAAAAGAGGGAGCTCTCTTAAATATTTAAAATTGCTTTTAATTTGCATAGATAATAGGTTAGAACTGAAACAGGTTAGAACATCTTAAAGAGTATAATTAAATCTTAAACTAATCTGTCTTTAAAACGACACAAAACACATGTAGCTGTCCAGGGAATCCTTGCAATTGTCAGCCTGTTGTCTACGTTGGATGACCGAATACTTGATGACCGACATTGCCATCGGGCAGAACCCGGCCAGAAGCATCGGCATCTGTGACTTTGATAGAAAACCCATCCACTTAATTGCCAGAGCTCCGCACTCGGGTATCCTGCTGACAATGCAACAATTTGTCCGTTCTTGTGGGGGCAGGGCGGAAGAGTAATTCGCCCATTACTCCAGCCACAATTGTGACGCAAATGGTGCCCGGATGCAGCCAGGATAGATTGAACTTGGACTGCTGCATGTGACCCAAATTGAAATACGTTTCAGGGGGGCTTTGCGGCCAGGGTGAAGGCGGAGCTGGGTCTCCGAACATATTGCCCAAGCGCTCGATGGTGATTTGCATATTTTCCGGCCATTCAGTAGCCGGTGGCAATGCGTAAAACGGAAAATTAGTCGGATTTTGTGGGGATTGTTTGGCTCCTGGGCGTAGGATTTGCATAATGGTGATAGACAGAGAAACCGAGAGTCAGTTACCTTCTTGAGCACACTGTTGCCGTTGTAGAAGACGGGCGCCTCGTTGAACTCCTCCTCGATCCAGGACACCACCTTCTCGGAGACAAAGGGCGGCACAGGCACACCCCACAGCCTCTTGTTGCCATCCGGCGGCTCCTCCGTCTCCGGTGATATGTTGTCGAAGCTAAGCCGGAGGGCAGAGGTGGGGGACAGCTGGCGCTCGATCTCGTTGAACTTGTTCATGAATCTGGTGAAGTCCATGGTGCAAGTGCCGAGTGGCTCACTTGTTATTGAATGGTTTATTGATTTTGAATTAACAGCCAACGGGGAGGAGCTGTCGAAGTAAGCAGGCGGAGGAACCGTCGTTTTTTTTTGGCTTGGCAAATCAAACACAATCACGTGAATGTGGGAGGTGGATAACTTTCACTTTTCGCCAGCCACACGAACTCGATTTTCACAAATATACACTGAGATATTATGTGCTTTTCCTGCCTGACTTTCGCTGGTGCTAGTGCACAAGTGAGAGTGTATTTGGATTACTGCCAAGTGGAATCCACTGAGACGAGGCCCTCGCCACGACCGTTGCGAGTAGACTCAGCTGCTCCAGCGAAAGGCGCGCGCTTATAAGCGTGCTACGGTTTGTGTTGGGGAAATTTTCCAAAGGGAAATTCTCTCATTGAGAAAAGCCATACCCTACCAGGAAAGGATGTCTTGGAAACTACAGTCTTGATGTATTTTAAAATATACATACCTTAAAAATAAAAAAAAAGTTACACATTCTAAAAACACGTACATTTATTTGCTTATTTATTAAAAAACCTATCCGGTTATTACTAGATTTCCCGCCATGCTTACTATCCCAACAGCCTCCGACTTAACCAAGTTCAACAGGCCATATCGAAGGCCAGGTTTGAAAACATCCCTTTTAGATGCTGGGAGTGTGTTTCGGTGGTCTAGAGCAACACCTTTTTCACGGCTAAAATTTGGCCTCTTAAACTGCGCCTGTGTGGGTGGGTGTCTGATTAACATTGGGCGTGTGGGCGCGTTTTCGATTGAAAACAGAGAGAAGTCAGGACAAATTTTACTTTCTTAGTCTATGCGCATGTTTTACAAACATATTAATAGATATGAATTGGCTTTTTGAATCCCAAAAGGATGGATGGTCCCAACGGATGAGTGTGGTCAGGGGGAGGCCGGTCCTTTTGCCACGGAACAGGTGGACCATCGATTTTGAATGAATGAAGCAGCAGGAAAAGGATGACTCACAACTCTTTCGCTGCCTTAAGGTGCCCCGTGTAATGACCACGACTGTACGTAACCACATCGCACAATTGGGCTTTGATTAAGTTAATAACTAACCTTGGCCAGCTTGATATCGTCCATTGTTTACGTTTTGATTGGGTTTTCCTGTTGCCTTCGTTAAAAGCGCGCCGTCCGGATAATACTTCCGTTTTATGTTCAACCGGCCTAGAAGCTCAGGCAGCAATCAGTATTTTGGATAAAATTCACAAAAGTTATCTATTTAATTTGCATTTTAAATAAACAATAATAATTTTGATCAGCGAATGTCCACGGAAATTAGAGATGTGACTATACCGATTACCGCCTTCGATAACACTCTCCTTTTCAGTGTTATCAGTGTGGCCAAACTGTTCACCCATCCGGCAACCTTCAAGAAAATTTGAATTTTGTGCGCAAAAATGCATTAATGTATTTTAAACTGTTACAAACAGCAAAGAATGCGCGTTTGCTATCAAAAACTGACTAACATTGACGGTATGGAATGGTTCAACCATTCAAGTGCACTTCAGGCGTGGGCAGAGAAGTTTAAATGCGGTGAGTTCGTTTACATTGTGCTCATTTACGCAGGCCTACGTATTTGGTCCAGACACCCTTGTTGTCGAAATAGGGCTTATTCCGGGAGCAGATGATTGCTTCCCTGAATACATCCGAGTAGGAGGATGGCATGGAAGCGAGCTTGTAGAGATTAAAGAGGAATTCGTAGATCTGCAATTGTAAATAAATATAATAGAGTTTTGTGTGGTCCAGACACCTTTGTACCTTGGCCTCCTGATCCTTCCAGAAAATGTGGTCACATAAGTATTGCAAGCTCTCTGGAAACAGTGAAAGTCGCTGTTTTTGATTTGTGGCCACCACGTCCACGCTGCCCAGGAGAACTGCACAGCCGGAGAGCACGTCTACGGCTAACATAAAGATGTCCAGAAGATATAGGGCCCGGTTAACCTTCTCCTTGTTGGAGGCCTCAGCCAAGAGCATTTGGATTTCCAAAAACATCTCTGATATCCAGTTACTGGCATGTTCATCGCTTCCGAATGCGTACAGGGTGGCAGCTAGATGGCGGTAGAAAAAGGGACGCTCCTCCTCCCGTTTCTCATAGGCATCGATGATGGGCGTAAGCCACTTTAGGGGATTGGGGAGTTTCTCGTTGTACAATACCAAGTAGCAGCGAATAATTGTGGCCTTTTTTAGCTTTCCCATGGGCGTCTCCCACCAATTCGCAGGTGTTGTAAGTCCGTCAATGGCATTTGGATGCAATGTGGACACCACCTCCGTATAGCGTTCAAACAACCTCGAATCCAAGTCCATCGAATCCATGTAACGCTCAACAATCAGGGTGAAAACGTCAAGCACCTCGGGAATGTCACATTGTCCGGTAAAAATGTACTTGACACTTTCAAGGAACTTCTCAAAGAGGCAGCCTAAAAAAGACATTTACAATTTAAATCCTTCCTTTCTTGCTACATACCCTCAGCGAAGTCATTCAGCTGCGACTCCTTGAAGCAGTAGACGGCCACTTTTTCGGCGAAATTCTTTAGAATTTGCAGACTAACACTGTTGGCAATCTCCGGGAGTAGAGAGAACAGCAACAGGAGATCTTCCTCGAAGCAATTGGGCTCAAAGTCCACAAGGAAGTTTTCCAGGAGACGCTTGGCGGTTCCTGAGTTCAGGGCCTGATTCTTTGCTATCATTATGCAGTACTTTCGAGCATCAAAGGACAGGTGGAAAAAGCTGGTCAGGCAACTCCAGTCGAGCGGTGGAATGGGCTTGGAAAACTTCTTCGACAGCGATCTTAAGGCAAATGTCACGGCATAAGGTTCGGGCACGTAGTCCCCAAATCGTGCCTGACTCACAATGTAGTTTGTAACGGCCCGTAGCGGGCTGGTGGCAAATAAACCCACTAGCTTTCGTGGCTCCGGTTTACCTTCGGGTAGCCGATAGACTCCGCTTCGAAAACCTTCAATTTCACCGGACACGTAGTGAGATATAAGGTCCGCAGCCGCGTCTCCGCATTCGGGACGAATCTTCTGCAGCAATTGTACCCAAACTTCACCGGGTACTGATTCCTGCTGTAAATCCAATACTTCTCGTCCTCCAGGGGCAGCCACACCGCCGCCTACGATCTCAAAACGAAATTGGGCGGGAATATGCCGAAGATTAAGGGTGCTTCCCGGTTCATAGTTTTTGAGAGCTGCGAGCGCTTGTCGCACTTGGACGGCATCTGTTCCCGGTCGGCTAACAGCTTGCCAAAGCTGCTCCAAGGCATCGTCAGCCAGTTTCTCGTACTCCAATGTGGGCGTTTGCAGTAGTGGAACCAGGCCAAAGAATTTATACAACGATTTGAGAGTCTGGGGACGTTGTTCACTACGAAACTTGCTGCCGATTGCTTGCCAGGTCGAGGCTATATTGACGGTATGACTGTCACAAAGAGCATAGATGGCATCCATGGCCAGCGAAGTAGCTAAATCGCCGGCCTCATCGGAGCAGTTATTAAGGGTGTTACTTAGATGAGGCAGAAGTTCGGAGCCGTGCAAAGTAGGTCTAAAAAATAGAAATAATATAAATTTCAGAGATACACTTTTCAAAAAACCTAAGTTACTTTTCTTGGCAGATTTCTCTCATGGCATGGGTGCGAGCTATCTGCAGTTCCCAGCGTTTGTCTCCATCTGGAAGTGGTTGGGCAATTTGCTTTAGCAAAAAGGGATAAGTACGGGTCTCCACGCGCCACAAACGCAGATACAGATCCACACAAAAGGTGCCATTATCGGTGGAAAGATTTCTTATGGTATTAAGGATCATGGGCACATTATCCTAGGATATGGATTATATATTAGCTTATAGGAGTAACAAAATAGAGTTATCATATACTTTGGAAACGGCAAAGCTGGCCAATCCTCTCAGGAGTTCCAGCTGCAGTTCCGGACTATTTTCATGGGCCAACTTAAAGATGTAGGTCATCAGAAAGTCGTAGGCAATGTTTTCGTTAACCTTGATGATTTGCAGAATAACCTCATAGATTTTAAACCAGCAGTCCACAGCTGGTTCTCGTGATAGAAAGAGAGCTCTCAGAAAAAGATGAAGTCGCTGACAAAAGGCTGTGTTAGACTTAACATTTAAGGCGTCCACAAAGGCGAAAACGTCCTGATTGTCGGAGGCGTCAAAGGATTCTACCAGAGCGGCCAGGTCGAAGGCGATGGCTATATCAGGATGATAGTTTCTCATGTGGGCCGGTTCTAGTTGCCCTGTGGAAATCCGCTCTGCCTCCTCGTCTGATCTCTTGGGATCAAGAACCCTTTGGACTATCTGGTCGGCCAAAGCCAAGCCCTCTGCGGGTATGAATGCAGTCTGAGACATCCACTGAATTATCCCGTCCAGACACATGTTCAGAATGTATTCATGGCCACAGCGTTCCTGCACCACCACAAACACTATGATGCGCAGCAGATCCGCCAGATAAAACGGCGAAAGGACATGCACCACTTCTGCCAGGAGTATTAGAAGGACGTGGTAGTGATTCTTAGTGTGTTCTCGAGTGGCATGGAGTGCTCTTAGTAAGCACTGGAGGCTGGGACGAGGATCGATGCCATAGTTGGCCAGCTGCTTGATGAGGCAGGCCTGGTAGATTGCAAGATCGATGGACTGGGCGTGATCCTCCTGCTGCAGAAAGTGATCAATGGCTTCGATTAACAGGATACTGGTGCATAAGCAAGTGGTGGCGTTATTGAATTTGCTCCAAGCCAGCAGCTCTTGCATCAGAGCACGTGCCTCTGGTCGTTTACCACTTAAGTTCAACAGGCACGTCCAGATAGGCTTTACGTCATGCAGTGTTTGGGGATTGCAGAGCACATAGAGGAACACGGGCCTCAGAAACTCAATGCTATAGTCTCGAATACTGTAAAGTTTTATATAATTTGGCGATAATTGAATATAAACTTTAAGAACACTTACCCCTTGTCGTGGTGCTGGCAAATCCCAATTACCTTGTTGGCCACATCATGCATGTTAACACTTGAGTGCTGAATCAAGGATATTAAAGGATGCTGCTGAGTCTTAAGGCCATAGGGACACTGGTAGGTCTCTGAGTCCTTCAACAAGGAAGTTTTTCGCTTTAGGTTGAGCAACTGGAGACCTAGAATACTCTCAGTGATGATGGCAAAGTGCATTGGTCTACAAGAAGAAAGAGTTAGTTATTTGTTCTTTTTTAAAAATTAATTCTTAATTAACTATAAACTTTTATCGAAAACAAGTTTGCAAATAAAGGCACTTGATGGTCGTCTGACAATTAAAATGCAAGTTTATAAGTCCCTAATGATTTTAACAGGCGTTTAGCAGCCACTTCCGGAACAGCAAATCAACAGTCAAGGATGGAGCTGGCCACAGGTCGGAGAGGTTTTGGAGGTGGAGTAAATCGCTTTGCGTTTGACGGGGTAATTACAATTCACGCGCTGGCCACCGGATGACGGGGTCTGGCCTCTAATTGCGGTTGCTCCCCTGCAGGCCAATTAATATGCAATCCTTTTTCCCTGCACTTGCAGGCGCTCGCTTATCAAGGTTAATTCCGGCATTACATGACTCCTTGCTTGTCCTTCGCCGCTCCACAAACATTTCTATTGTGGCTTTCAAGTTCAATGCCAGACTTTAGCAGTCGCTGCTTTGCATACATCAAATATTTGGTAGCCAAGGCCGCGCTTATGGCAAAGCAATACGTGGGTGGTATGGCAGTGGACTCTTCCTGTGCGTGGCGGGAAACGGCAAATTGTTTTTATGGCTCTGATCCAGAAGATTGAGGACTGTGGATTGCGGCCAACCGGAAATCGAGCCAATGCCAAACACAACATGAAATCCGCGTCATAATTCATTTTCGCATTTATCACATGACGTGCCAAGTGCTGGGCAATTAATTTGGAGCACAGGTGGGGCACGCGTCCAGCGGAAATGCGAAGGATTGCGTGCTGACACTCGGACAACAATGTTGGGAGCACTTGAATCCGAGCATTGGCAAGCGTTAAATGGCAGCTTAATTAAGTGGCGGAGTGGGCCCACCACCGAGTAATTTATGCAACTCTGTTTGAGTTATTCTGCAATTTTGCAATTGGAGTCGCTGCGCTCCACTTAGGTCGCTCCTCCGGCTGTTACTCCTTCACCTGCTATTGCTGCTGCACTCCGGAAGTTCAGAGGCGCACCCCTGCGGAATTGTGCTATGTGGGTCGCTTCGGCCGTGGGTGTGTGTTTGGATTATAGGCTAGCTAGACAGCCCGACAGACGAGTATCCTAAATGCATATTCTCACCCCGAATTCCCCAGCATTGAGAGAAGCGAGTTTTGGACTCCATTGGCCTCCAGGGCTCCCTCGTCGACCAGGCGTACCAACGTCTGACAGCTCATCAGGCTGAGTTGCATGTGCTCGTGCTTGCATTGCGTCCGGAGGAACTCGATTTCCTTGATCTGGTGCTCCGGCACCTGCTTTTCCCGGCTCTCCACGATTTTGGTGTAGATCTTCTCCAGGCAGGAGGCCAGTTTCACCACCGAACTGTTTGGTTTAATGCTGCTGAAGTCGTCCATTTTCGCGGGTGCTGAAATGGCAAACACAAAAGTTTTCTTGTAGTCGGGTTCAAGTTTAAGATTTATGGTTTGTTTGGGGTTTCCAGGTTTCCGAGAAACCTCCGTGACGCGTGTCCTTTCTGCTGCTCGGCTGCCACTCGAATGAAGTCCGTTTTTTGAACGTTGCCGCGTTTTCCTTTTCACAAAGCCCGAGGCCTGCGCTTTTCCACCACCCATGCCACCAACTCACATTGTTCTTGTTTACTCCTTTGGACTGCTGCGTGTTAGCTCATTGAAAATTTAGGCATGCAATTTTCAGCGTTGGGGGTTCTGCGGCGGGTTTAATTCCCGGGGATTGTGATTTTGGTAGGAAGATTAAAAATGTAAATAAAACTATAAACACCGGCTTTCCAATTGGTTTGTTTTGCCCATCAGCTGTTGAACAGCTGTGTGGATATTAGAGTGACCAGCCGCGAGCTTTTATCATAAAAGGTGGCAGCACGGTTGTTTCCAACGGTTTCTTAAAAGGAACTTATCCTTAAATGGAACGTTCAAAAAATGTTAAATACTTAAAACATTAACTTAAACTTACATAGAAAGTTATTTTTAGAGAATAAAATAAGATATTTTAAAAATTATTACTCCGAAGATTAGAAACATAAGAAATAGAAACATGCATTAGTGCAGAATACACAAACCTCTAGGGATTTGTGAGCTACAAGCTTATTAAATATATTAAAAATAAAAGTTAAATTATTTCCCAGACCTGAATACAATTCAATTTAAATTAATTTACTTTCCATGCAACGTTCAGCAGAATCTCTGAATCAGCACTTATAAAGAGTTAACATTCGTATAATGGAGTGTCCGTGGCCGAAGCCCCCTAGAATTTATGTCGGACACCAACTTCACCCGTTGATTTATTTACAGCATGCTCAGTTAAGCCACTACAACCTCATCAGGACCCTCGGCGGTTCCTGCTGCTCCGGGTGCTCCAAGGATCCATCTTGGCATTCGGCCTGTGCTCCTGGCTGTGGGCTCCATTCCCCGACTGCTTTTTCAGTTAATTGACTTTATGCATTTTTGCAACTCGCCTCGTCGTAAAATGAAATTAATTATGCTGCTGTTGCAGCTATAAAAATGTAGCCAAGCAGAAAGGAGCTTCATAAATGGAAGGCTGCGCTAAAAGCGGAAAAGGTGCGGCCCGAAAGGAAAGCTCTGCCAAAGTGTAAAAATAAGCACCGACGAGTTTAAATTGCAATCATTCATGGCGGCGAATCCTCAAAATGACTACCAAAAGCCAAAAAGACAAAGGTTAAGCCGAAGACAGGTCAACATAATTTCCGCTTCCTGACCCAGAGTCCTTGTTTTTGGTTTTCCCTTTTTCTCCGCTCTCTCCCCATTCAACTTTTTGGTTGGCGATTTATGATTTTATTACGAAAGGCGTGGGGGAAAAGAAATACTTTTCACTCCGCGATTTTGCACATTTTCTTGAGGAAAAACGACTCTGCGAGGATAGCCTTGTTTCTGTTTTTTTTTTGTCCCAGATTCCGCAAAGAAGTTCCTGCAATTCGATAGCAATGTTAAATTATTTCTTTCAGATTCGAGTGTATATTTGGGGCTTAAAAGAGATTTTGCGGTTTCTGTTTTGTGGTTTATAGCAAGGGCATTTCATAATTTTCTTCGCCTCCACAAATCCCAGGGCATCTGTTGCTCCATGTCGGCATATTGGAACTTCTCACCATAGTATTCCAAATTGGAATATCCATTAAATACCTTTTCATGTACTTACCACAAACCAGTTGAAAGCAACGAAAATAAAAAATACTAAATACAGGAGCTAGGACCTGTTGACAGGTAGCTGGATATTTGCGGTTAACTTGAGCTTACAGGAGTTTACGATTTTCACTTTGGTTGCAAAATTTATTGAGCTGTATACCTGAATAAACCTTTCCCCATTTTGCCACAGAAAATAAAGAGTTCCCCGAAGTGTGCTTTTGTTTGTGGTTGTGCTTTATACGTGTTAAAATAAAATATTTAAAAGTCCCTTTTTCTTATTGTCCTTAAATTGAATAGAAGTGAAAAATAAAAGATTTGATACACTATGGAATGTATGGTAGTTCTTGGTAGAACACTTTGTTTAAAAAATACTTTCAATTTATTCAACATTAAAGCCATACATGAATGGTAATTAAACTGACTGTGGTAATTGAATGCCAATTAAATTCATGTTTTTTCGTTGCAATTTTAATGTTTCTGCCTCAGTTTAAGTTGCACAGTCACAGTTGGCCCACAAAACTCACAGTGTTGACACTTGAAAATGGCAGTCGTGTGTCGGCTAACATGGACCGGGGGCAGCATGGAGTGGCATGCTGTCTTTCGTGGCATGTAGCCCGGAGCACGTGGCAAACCGAATTTGCATATGCTCAGGCACGACAGGTGTTCAGCCTGGTTCGGATCAACGCACCAGCCGCCAGGATGGGCGCTTACCTCCTCTTACCACGGCGCTGTGGCGCATGGCCACAATCACATTGCTTCAATTAAATGGAGTCGACTCATTAATAATGCAGACAGCGCATATTTGGATGCTGCATATAAACATTGTGTGTACAAATGCGGGCAGCCATTTCCCCGACCCCAAAGTGTACGACAACTTTAATAAAGCGCGACGTAGGCGAATGGAAAGTTTTAAAACAACACCCCGACTTTCATCACATACAAGATTTTGTCGAATTTATGAATATTTATGCTCCAGCTGTTGGCACTCGATCTGCGAAAGCTCCAGCAATGAATATTTATAAGTGCCACAGTTAGTTACCTGCCGCTAAAGTCGGCGATTCAAGTTGAATATAAAGCATACGCACCGTAGTCCCGGAAACGATTCTTGTTCCTTCAAGGAATAAATAGTATTGTCGGACTTCTTTAATGCTTGAAAGTTTATATTTCTAGCTGCTTGAAAAAATGTGCACATATGTTAGCGAAAAAGAGGTCTTTTACTAAAATGAGTATGTTTTTTAGGGGAAATACATATTATGTGGAACTTAAAGCTTGTCAGATCAATTTAGAGTGCGGTCTCTTCAACAAATTGCTGAAATTTTATGTTGCCTACCTTTGGACGCTCTAAAGAGGGCAACTTAATAAGCAAGAGTGTGCGGTTTCTGTTCTATGGGTTCTTCTGTGAGGTCCTGAAGTGCCTACATGTGTGCAGACCGCCAGGCAGGCGAGCACATTTGTTGAATGATTTAACCTACCACCTATTCATGCGTTCTTGCTTCATGTGGCCCACGTAAATTGTAGACAAAAAAATGAAATAAAATAGAACCAAACCGAACCGAAGCGAAAACCTTTTCAATTTTCCACTAACGTTATTCTTTGTGCCAGACTCTAAATTAGGAAAATGTTTAAATGTATGCGAGGCGGTCAGTGGGCATAAGTTTGAGCTTGAAGCTTGGGTACTGGGTTTGTGGGTGTTTGGTGGGTATCCACGGGTGTGTGTGTGTAAGGGCAAACATAATTTGTGCGGCACGTGCGTTAAATTTAATGAGGCAACCGCGACCCACAAATCGAGCTCGAGTTGCGTTTGCCTTTGACCCCCAACCGGCTACAGGACACTTCGCTGTTCTACATGAAAAAAAAAAAAACAAAAGGAACTGTTTATTTTGGACCATATTACACACACACATTAATAGGTAAAATATTTCCTTGGCATATTTTTCAAGAAATTTAAGTTATGCTCGAGGCTTAGTAATGTAAAAAATATGTTTAAGGAAGTGCGGTTCAGAAAGATTTGTGTCTCAGGAAGAGCCCTAAAATTATGGCCTAAAAAATTACCTTTTTATGAGAATTTTTTCATAGTAATTATGCATAAATTTATAGCCTAAAAAATTGTATACAAATTATTTACGGAAAATGCTCTCTGGCTTTAAAATCTATAACGAGGGGATACATTTTTAAAAACCTTTCCTTTTCAGCCATTTTGTTGAATTTTATTAGGCCAATTTTTCCTCTTGTTTATGAACTTGGCTAAACATAAAAACCCTGAAAAGGCCTGTTGCTGAAAAATACTCGTATCAGTTGGCGTTGAGGTAAAAACGAGCCATAAAGTTCCGGCCAGGCACTAATTAAGAAATTTAAATAGCGACCACTAACCGCCGCCGGATGTGAGTGTCCCCCTCCACTAAACAAACTGACCCTTGACTGGCCCGGAGGCGGAGCAGAGCAGCCAACAAGCCATGGTTTTCCGGTAGGAGAAAAGGGGCTAAAAAGCATAAAAGCCCTCCGAGTATTTAAGCACATTTACACAATGCATGTTGCCTGTATCGTGCATTCATTTAGGTGTGACTACAGACCCCATGCCCCATACAGGCTCCCCACTTGCACACTCCATCTAAATTTGGGGCACCCAAGTGCCTGCGGTTGCAGAGTGTGAAATATTTTGTTCGCTCACACTTAGCGGTGGCCCCGATTGTGCTGGTGTCTGTGTGCCATATCTTGTCTGAGGTCTGGATCTCACCCATATAGAGGCAAGGAAGCACACTAGCACATGCATGTAAGCTCCTCCTAAACAAACAAGCACCGATGCCTTGGTATTTCGCCAGGCTTCCAACTTGAATTTCCACCGAATTTTTACAGATCCTGTACCGACAATATGCTGCTCGTCCTCACAAGCGGATGCCATTTCAATTCATTTCCCTGCATTGTTGTTGGCCCCGGCCCTTGTGGAAATTGATTTAATAGCCTGAGATCCTTTTTAATCAACAACAAACATGGGAACAAGCAACGGCTACCAGGAACCCTTGTAGTTGAACGTTGGCCTGGGGGGGGGGAAATCATCAAAGTAAACATTTCAGTTTAAACAGTTCAGTTAACTTGACTGGCCGAGTAGTAGTATGTGACTGTGGGAAAGTGACTGAAAAATGTCAGAGCTTGGTTCAACGAAAGGCACACAATAACTCTCTTAATTATCCTTTCCCCAACTGCCTGGAATTAAGACCATTTATCAAACTTATTTATGAAAAAAACTATTTTATTTCCACATAATCAATTTTGTCTGGGCTTAAAAAGTCCAATATTTTTTCACCTGGTGTTTTGTTTTTTTTTTTATAAAAAGTAGCTTAAAAATACTGAAGCTAGATTATTTCTTATAAACGTTTTCAAGCTAATTGCAGGCTAGCCCAGAGGAGCCGCGGCCTGGGGTTGCTGGGGACCTCCGCCTGTTAGGGCGCCAATTGATTGCTGCAAGGAGCGAAGGATACCGATGGGGATCTGCCAGGAGAGAAGCGAAAACACAATTAAATGGTTAAAGTCGAGCTTCTGTTAAGGATTATGCTTTTAATTTAAAACTCACATCGAGGGCTAGACCGACAGGCCCCTGAGCCTGAGGGGCGATGAACGGATGGTTCGCTGGCTGCTGCCGCTGGGCAGCCTTGTATTTGTGGGTCTGCACCGCCTTGGCCTCGCTCTTCACTGGCGCCTGCGAATGGTAATGAGATATTTTAGGTTCCGGATAAATAATAACAATGAAAATAACTTTTCAAGGCAAATAAAGGAGAGCATCACATGCACGAAAAACTTCGAGGGGAATCTCTCGACCGGGGGAAGTAATATTTAAATTGTATTAAAATATAATTCACGGAAATAATAATGGAGCAGCTGACCCAAGCCCCGCCCACATTGTCCGCAAATGTTTTCAAAAACAAAATTACAGCCCAAAATTTCATTCCTTCTCAAAGCAAAAGTTTGTTTCCAGCTCCACCAAAAAAGCCAACAATTTGTTTCTGTTTCACCGTTAGAGTGCCGTGTATCTGTGTATCTGTAAGGATACAAATCTTTGTAGGTGTGTGTGTGTGTGGGCGTGCTTTTGTAGTATCTGTGTGTGCGACTGTGCTCATGTATGTGTATGTTAGCCGCAACGCACCGCATTCGATGTTGTTGGTACGTTTACCTCAACCGGCGACTGTTCTTGTCGCGCCTCTGCATCCCCTTCCGCCACTTCCACTTCCTCTGTTTCCGGAATGAGTTGTTGTTGCTGTGGCTGCTGCTGATGCATCACGTATACGGTACGTTGGCGTTGGCGTGGGCGTTTAACGCGTAGGCGTGGCCGCTTGACAATTATCAGGCTTGGGGGCTCGTGTTTACCCGCCGCATCGGAATCTGCGGCCGTTTTAACATGATTTTCAATGATTTCGCTGCGGTCCGGCTAAAACATCAACGGTGGGGGCGATTGGTTGGGTGGGTGGTTGGTCGGTGGGTGGGTGTGGCCAATGGATTGATTGCTCGTTGTGGGTTGGCCAACAGCACTACGGCGTTGATCAATATTCGACCACACTCACTCATCGAACTTTCTAGTTAAATACCAGCCGAGAAGGATTTATTGCGCAAATTCCCACGAATTGCGCAATTGAAAAACCACCGATTGGTAAGCCAATATCCTTAAAATCTTTTAAATTTTCACCGAAAAACTTTTCAGGTGTTTTTCTGTACAAAACTAAAAGTTTATCTATCTGTTTTAACAATTATTTAGGAACTTTTTAAACTTGAAAGGTACTAAAAACTTTGACCCGAAAATGTTCAACAACTTATTGCTGCCTGCGAATAAGTTTTCGATTGCATTCGGTTTCATTATTACTTGTTTTAAATTTTTTAAACACATAGTTAGCTTACTAGATCAAAGAAATCTATGGCTTTTTTTCCAAATCTTTTTGATTTAATAAGTTTTATAAAATTTATCAAAAATTTATCAAGAATTGCAATAAAAGTTCTGAGAAGTTATAATTGTGGATTACTTTTCTTCTGAAATATCTTACCCCCCGTAGTTCTATTTTTAAATACTTACATCCTGGCTGATCAGCGAGTACTTCTTTGGAGGCTTAACCTTCTGAATGTAAGAGCGAACGGTGGGCAGTCCGGGTCCCTGGGCCGGGGCAGATGTGGGCGAAGCAGGTGCCGGCTGAACAGTGTGCTGGGAGGAGGAAATCAGCGTCTTGCCGGGACTGTGGGCCTCGGCTCCGATATAGCCATGTTCGCCGACACTGCCGCCCAACAGAGCACTGGCTCCCACCGAGGGATTAGCCTGGGCAGCAGCATAGCCCACTCCAGCAGTGCGTCCTGTTAAAAAGGATTTTCACGCATCAGTTTATATCGAATGTATTAGGCGGGGATAACCGTCATCAATTACCATCGAGATTGCCGCCTAGGCCGGCGGCTGCCCGCGAGCCCCATGGTGTTCCGGCGGAGGCGCTGAGTCCGCCGTGGGCCGAGTTTCCGGTTAGGAGTCCTCCGAGTCCGGCATCCGCATGGTAGCCGGCAAAATTAACGCCCACCTTGCCGTCGCGCAGGGTAATCAGCTGTTGGCGAAAGGCGTGATGAAAATTTGAGATTTTTGGGGAAAACTTGAGCAAACGGTGCGTATACGTAATGCTAGTGAAAGTTTTAGCCTTCGGTTCTTTGGCCAAAAACTTTAGCACTTAGATGTTGGGTCCGTTTTTCAGTTTTAGTTGAAAACTTGCGGCTCAACTTTCGGCAGGTCAAACAAAAGATGGCAGAAAGGATAGAACAACAGGAGAAAGCGCCTTTGCTGTGCGCGGTTAAGTTACTTCATAAATATTCCTTGGGCCTCGAGGCCTTTGTTAATCAATTTATAACAAAATTTCTCAACGTCTTGGGCTAGAAGTCAAGGTGGAACATCGTATGTCTGATAAATATTTACACAGGTCGTTTTTAGCTGTTGGCGTTTGAAGAGAAATAAATTCATAATGCTGTGCGATAGATAAGCAGACAGACACATTACTTGGCTTACCCTCCAACTACAACTACTTCGATTCGGTGATAACCCAATACTACAGAGAGCGAAGCAGGTAATTAGATGGCCCAAAGAGTTAGATAACAAAACTGGGTAATGAGAGCAGTGAGAAACGTTCTCTAAAAGTTATCAATAATTGTGACAGTTAAAAGTCAGCTCACAACCGGGCTAAATGGTTAGATGATGGTGGCTAAGGTATGCTCTTTAAGTTAGTAACTTTTTTGACCAAAATCAATTGAGAATTTCAGGGGCATTGAGGTAAAAATAATACCTAAAGCGCTACATTACTTAGTCCCTTTATGAAGCACTTCATTATTAGAAAGGTATAGTTAATATTATATATTTGCTAGAGCTATCTAATGTTAGGGTATTACAAATTAGAGTGACAAGATAAATGGCCCTGGGAAAAAGAGAACAAATAATGAGAACCAACCACACCTGCAGTTGATAACAGTTTTTCCAGCAAGCCAGACATTGTGATAATATTTTACTTGGCTTCCTGACGGCAGCTCATTTGAGTTCTACAACCAGACCAGAGGACAAGGAGGCGGAGGTAGGTGGTGGGAAAGCCAGAATTCATTGAAAAGTGAAAGCGTTTGCCAAGAATAAGTCCAGAGGAATCCGGAGACCGAGACATACAAACATACATATGTACGCTGCCATGTTGACAAGTGCGAGGGTGTGGGAATTGAAAGTCCACAACCTCCGGTTGCCTCAAATGTTGTCATTGCTGCTTCTGGTGATGCTATCTGGCCAGGTGTTGCTCAGCAACGGCGCCACGGTCACCTGGGGACATGTCAACAAATATGCCAGCCTGCTGCACACCGATGATGTTTACCTACCGCCAGGGACCCCGGGCCGAGATCTCATCTACGGCTCGCAGGTGAGATTTATATCAAGCACTTTCGCCGCAAATATACATGACTGCAAATTGCTTAATCTCCTTGGGAATCTCCGGCAGAATGCCAGCGATAACTACCGGATTACGGGTATACACGTCGAGGATCTAACCGAAGGACCGGATGATGTGGCAACAGCCTCCATCACTGGAGGCGGCATTGGCCACAAGTTTGTAGTCGTGCATTGCCAGGCTAGCCAGAAGAACATCACAGCTCAGGGCATAGCTCATCTACAAGTGTCTTTTTATGGCCTGGACCTTTAGAATGGCCTTAATATGGACTAGGACTTACAACTGTGGCATTACATTGTAAATACTATTTACTTATTGGTAAGAGAATTTTAAAAACATGGAATCTGAGGAGCTAGTAGCAATAGAGTAGAAATAGGCCTATTTTGTAAGGTATTTATATTTTGAACAATTTATCATTTGTTAGAAACTGTGAATTTCTTGCCTTCTTAACTACTTTATAAGACACCTTTACATTTTCCCATTAATTATAGCTTTGAACTTTGTTACAAAAACTGAAATATTGCTAAGCCGATAATTTAATCTAAGTTAAAAACAAAAACATTAAAAGTGTTAAGTAAGAAAATCTCACTAACGTCATTTAGAGGTTGAGGCCAGAGGCTATCGGGTTTTTAATGAAATGTAAATTTTCAAAGTGACTTTTAAACTGAAATGTAATATATTTATATTTATATCCTCAACTACTCAACTACTCAACTACTTCCTTCCTCTTTAATGAAAGCTATTTTAATTAAATGGTTGCTGGTTTTGTACTTAATCATGGGAAAAATAACTATTTTAATAAAAAAGCCATTTCCAGCTAACAAAAAGTTACAACTTTATATAGAAGTTGCAAAATTCCTAAATAATGAAATAATTTAACTCAAAAAGCATGAATATTAATATAATTATGGAAAGTTTGTTGGACAAACAATGGCAGAACTTTTGTTTATCTAAAAAAAATAATAGCTGAAGTGTTTATACATACCTGTCAGGTAAATGTCGCAAATGTGCATCTAGTTCATATATTATATACTAGCCCTATTTACAGAACATTCATTTCTATGATAAGAATCACGATGTGGTTACTGTTGCCTCAGAGTGGAGCTGGTGGCGTAAATAACCGCACTGCCACAATTGTGCCTGTCTAATTTAAGGTAATGGCCACTGGAAGATTAAAGATTGGCGACCAAAGTTGGTAAAATTCATAAGCCTGGGCCACGAGTCGCAGTGATAAGAAAGTCGACAAAAAGGATTTCTAGGTTGGTCACCGCAAAAGGGAATCAACGGCTGGCAATTTGCATGAGTTCCATGGAATTTGGAGGGAAACCCATCTCAGGACTTTTTATGTTCGTTCTTAATTTCAATTCCCACGACCCAAACAAAAAATTATTTGGGTTCTTTCCATTTAGGATTTGGCAAAGCAGAGCAAATGCAAATTTCATGCATGCGTTGATTAAAATCTAATTTCTGTTAGCCCCCAGGCCACAGAACAGAAATAAACTTTCCAAAGTGAAAAAAATCTTCTGAAGAATGAAAACAATGGAAAAAGGTGCCAAAGGGTGAAAGAGTGTTTTGGCCAAAAAGCATTCCAGCTGAGATGTGTGAAAATTTCATTGGTCAGGCAAGGATTACCATAAAGTTATTTAGTTCTTAACAGTAGGGGTGTGTAAGCTTTAAGAACAATGGAATTGTTTTTACTGATGCTGCAGAGATATGAGGAAATGGAATATTTGAATCTTATATCTCCACGAATTTCAAATAAAATTTTTAATTACTTTCGACAAGCTTTAAAAAAATAATCCCCCAAGTACAATATCCAAACCCCAAAAGTGTACTTTAGTGCAACATGTCGTATGAGTAACGGGTGGTGAAAAATGCAATTAAATTGATATTAGTTGGCCAAGGCGTGCAAAGTTCAAGGTGGCCACTAAAGCGGTAACTAGCCAGCCACAAACAGTAGCAGTAGTTATTAAAATGATGTATAATCGTTGGTCGCGGCTCGTGAAGCCAAGATTAATGATAAGCAAGCCAGCCATCTAGCCAGCGAACTAGGCGTGAGGTACACTACGGCAGGTAATTGCTATCCAGGCAGGTAACTAAAAGGTTACCTTTTCGTAATTAGAGTCGCGGCGTGTTGAGAAATCGCGCACTAAAAATTCTTCATTGCCGGACATTGCGCAACGATTTGTTAGCCAACTTTAAGCTGAACTTTGGCCAAAACTAAATTAGTTCTTTTTGCATATTTATTCTTTTAAAAAAGAGCTTGTTTATAAACACAAAGTAAAAGTATTGGAAAATTTATAGACTCTTGATAAAGGCAACTCATTGCTTGATCTATTAATCAAGTTAATGAATTCGAAACAATTTATGTACTTCTCAGAATCATTTCTGATTTGTAAGAACCTGACTCAGTAGGGGGCTTACATGTTGGAGGCTTTGAACTTGTGTCTCTCAAGCTGTAATAAATATTCTTCACCAGAAATGGCAAATAAATAGCAACACAACCGCGTTGTAATTCCAATATTTTTTAACCGCACTTGGCCAACTGAATGGCTTGGCTAAGATAGCCCTGTCCACAAAATGGGCTCCCCCTGGACTTGGCTTGATGGCAGGTGTCAGTCTGCAGTGACTGTTTTAATTAATTTCGAGAACTGGAATCTGCAAGGATCGGGGGGACACCGAAGGCAACTTACCTGGGCTGGCACCAAGCTGACCATCTGCAGCAGACAGAGTACTCCGAGTAAGATAAACATATTGCGCACCTAAATACACAGGGAAAAAATAGGTATAATGTCAAAATGGTTGGAAAGGATATGGGTAATTTTGCTTCGAATAAAAATTGTATAATATGACCAAGCAATCTTTAAGAAACTTTAAATAATCATTTGTTTTATAATCAAACTATTTTTCTCTGTGCCAAAAACAATCCCAAAATCGAATTCAATTCCAGGTTCGTTTTATATGCGAGACGCGTCCCCAGAATTCTTCCTCGCACTTTTCTGGGGAGCGGCCGAGCATAATTGTGCCTGGGCCTTCTGCTTACGGCTTTCACATGCGAATTCAACTTTTCTGATTAATTAACGAATCTAGCGAAGCTGTCGCTGTTGTCTGTACCTGTCGGTAGATGCCTGGCGATTTTATTATTATGTCGGTTAAGTGTAAGCGGCCGGTGGTTCGTTGTTGTCGCGACGCGTTTTCGCCTCAAACTGAACTCCAGTGGTCGAGTCGAGTCGATTGTCTGAGCCGGGCTTAAACTTGAATTCTGCCGAAGGGGAACGGAATCCACCGTCTACTGTCTGGCTTCTGCCTTCTGTCTACTGACTGCGAAAACTGGAAATGTGTCGCAATTAAATATGCAGCCGTCTATTTATATAGGCTACATATTCTGATCAGCAGCCTGTCGTCTTCCTCTTTCTCTTGATTTATTATAATTTATTATCTCTCAATCGAAAGCATATGAAGCCAGAAATCTGGTTGCTGCAATGATGATGATGCAAGAATCTCAGACAAAAGCTATACATATACATGGTGGTGGCGACGACCTATTAGCACTTCCATGGCATCTGTTCTAACAACTGAGTGAGAATTTGGGAGTATTCCAAGCGTGTTCTTTTCTAGTGGACAGGGGTCTGCTATGCGATTGATACTTTGAGCTTTCTATGGTTATATCACATACTACAAAGTCATCTACTAACTAGAGTTCAAAGCCGTATGCAATCGATTAACCTTCCCAGATAATCCTCTATAGATTAACTTCAGCTTTTTCCTGCGTTATTACAAAACTAACCAAGACTCGCATTAAAAAAAAACATTACTCATACGCCCCATTAAAACCCAACCGATACGGCCAAATTGCTGCCAACCGGTTTGGAAAATTATAGCGAATATGCAACTTACTTTATTTTGGGGGTTTTCCCCCAACTGCCCCTCTTTACCAACCAACAGATTTTTTTTTTTTGGCATTTAAGCAATTGGCCGCTTGTGGTTGCCTTCGGCTGCAGTTGGCCACAAAAAAATTCGAGCTTGGACTCGTTCACGCTCCAATGATGCTGCCGTCCAATGGCGATTGCCAATTGCAGTTGGACAAATTAATAAGCATTGAGTGTGATTTACCAAATTCGATTTTACAGAAATCGGCAATGCTTTTGGGATTTATTCGCAGTCCCAGCCCACGACTTTGGGCCATTTCACGGCTGGGTGAAACGTATCGCATTGGACTCTCTTCTTTTGTTCCGACCATTTGTTCATTAGGTATTCAAATGACAAACAAGCCACCAGCCGCGTTAATGTGCCGCTTCTACTTCGGCTTCTGCTATCTTTCCTTTCTTCTGGCTCCGATTTCTGGCCAAATCCGCAGAGCACGTGCTGGATAATTTAGAATGCGAATGGCCGAAATCAAATGCCACCCAACTAGGGTCCCAACAAAAAATATAATTAAATTCAATCCAATGACGATTCGATACGGATGGACGGGGCTGGTAGCCTCTAGTCCTTTGAATCACGCATGATTACTTTGGGTGTTTTTTTTTTCACAAAAACAAAAGAGGAAGAAAAAAGGTGATGGATGGATGGTTGAGCATTGTTCCCTTTCATCACTGTTTTTCGACATTAATTATATGCAAATGTTTTAGGTGCCCTAGAGTTAAAATTCGTACTCCGTTTAAATTAATTAATTTCGACTAGTTGGGTATTTGTTTTACAAATCATCGGAATGGCATATTCAATTCCGGGAAATGCCAACGTCCAGCTGATAACCCAATTATTCGATTTTTGTTGAGAGATTAATTGGTGGGGAAGCGTTTTTGGTCAATGTGCTGATATGGAAACGACAGATGCGTTTATTGACTCGCCGATAGCCGTCAATATTTGTTCAATGTCCAGCAACGAAAACATAGTATTTTATTGTATTCCATTACATGGAAAATGTTTGCATTTATGAATTAATTTATCAATTTTTTCTACACATTCGTTGGTGTGTGTTTCTGTGCGCTCTTAAGTATGCAACAGTTTTGGTTTGAATTGTAAATGTCCGTCTATTTGGAATTGAAATTTCATTGCGGCCTTTGGGGCTCTACGGTTGAATGTAAAACGCTTGTAAAAATATTATTTACAATTTTAAATTGAATAGACTTGAAGTAAATATTTAAACTACTTCTTATATTCGGATATTCGTTGAAAAAAATAAATAAACAAATTCTGTTTTAATGTATATTTTATCTTTGTAATTTTTGTTACAAAGAGTAGTTTATTTCATTTCGTTTAGACATAAATATTCTTAAGCTAGGCTTACAAAAGGCTCACATATATCACAAAGGTCAAACAAAAAAGGTAAATGCACACCCAAAACACATTCAACATACACTGAAACATAATTACAACATTCATTCAAAAATTACTAACTAAATTGGACCCCAAAAGTTACGCCATCTCCTCGCGCATTTGCCTACGCTGCATGTCGGGGTGGGGATCCGGATTGGGGGCAGGCGGGTAGACGGCTCTGCCCGTGGGCAGGGCGGTGCCGGCTGCCACGGACTTCTGCGACACTTCCGGGCCTGGGGCATGGCGATAGCTGCCGGTCAGTCGACCCACCAAATTGTTGACAGCGCGCAGCGTCGAAATCGGAATCTGCGGAATATTCGAATGAACAATTGTCAATGACGGAATCGGGGCATGGTGGTGGCATGGTGCCACGGGGCGGTGGTGCGAACTCACCTCGAAAATGCTGTCGATCAACGGGCGCAAACTGAACACCGGGTATGTGCTCTCTGCCGTCTGAGCGGGCTGGGTATCGCCCAGGGCCAGGATGGCCCCGTTGCTGCCGGGAACCGCACTGGCCGCTGCAGCTGCTCCGGTTCCCACTCCCGCTGCCGCCCCGGCCGCCAGGCTGGTCAGCAATAGTGCCGCATTTTGTTGCAAGCTGTTTACAGGAGAGGCGGCCGCAGCAGGGGAGGATGAATGCTGTTGCGGGTAGTGGCCGTAGTCCTGGCCGGGGTAAAGGAGCATATTTTGAACGGGCATTGGTTGCAACAGTGTCTGAAAAGAGGTCACAAACATTAATCACACGTTGAATATGGAAACAGTAGTTAGAGTAACTAACACAAATTTAATTCATTTAAAATATCAAAGGCCCTCTTACGCAAACTGTTTTCCGCGTCAGTGAGTAAGTAAACCTTTTAACGCTCAACGAGTATGATTTCATACTTACATCGTTTAGGAGAACCAGCTCGTGACGCTGGCCGCGCGCATATCCCGAGACACGTGTAAACTCGGTGACCAGGTGGGACATCACCACCAGCAGGACGAACCAGACGAATCGGTCCATGGCCGTGATGATTATCTGAATGAAAATAGAAGGAGTAGAAAACACAGAATTAAATGCAAATCATTTATACGATGGACCACACACACACAATACATCATACATCATTGTTGAAAGTCATGCTACCGCATACTGGTGATCTTGGCAATCCGCTCTTGAACGGCACTTGTTTGGTGCTGCACTATGACTGAAAGTCAAGTTGCAGCTAGGCAACCAGTTGAGCATTTACCCGACAGTTTGTTCTGGACAGCCATGGCTAAACGTAGGCCAAACACTTGAGAATCGAGTTTGGCTGCCCAAGTTGAAACAGAATCTGCTTGCCTGTTGCTGCGGCTCTGGCTCTGGCTGCGGCTGCTGCTGCTGCCTGGTGGTGATTCTGAAATGTGGATTAGACCAAGGCCAGCTTGCCTCGCCGCGTGCCGTTTGCAGTTTGCCGTTTTGCGAAGCGTAACCAGTTTTATGCTGCCACCGCGTGGATGCATGCAGTTTTTCCACTTGGCAGTGAGTGAATTTTCCCGCCCCACTCCGACTCAATTGCAAAAGCATTTCAAAAGCGGCCCGGTCCGTCCAAGGCAAAAGGTTCAAATCCAACGAACTTTGAGCCCGCATTTAGTTACGAAAATGTATAAAAGTATATGTATGTATCAGACGTCCATCAATGGCTGGCTGTCTGTGTTTGTTGTGTGTCTGGGGTTCGTAAAGCAGCAAATCAAAACATAAAAAAGGCAAGTGCAGAGCAGGTCAACGCCAGCCGGTACCTCGGCTACTTTGGCAGTAGTATTTCGGTCTGAAGCGACTGAAAGGAGGAGTGAGGCGAGACTGTCCAGCCAGCCATGACAGTTGAACGGGCGGCACTGACTTTGGTCCAAAGGGGCCGGCAGTTAACCCTGCAATTGCTACCCATCTAATTGTTACTCGAAAAGCATTTAAACGAACATTTGTTATTCGCCCAGAGATTCTGCGGCAGCCCTGACACGAATCGCCGGCAAGGTGCACCGCAGATACAACATGTTGCCGCTTAATTAAACAAATAATTAAACAAATCTCCACCCTGACCCTTGCTGGACACAAAAAACAATAAGATTCTGTTTGGTTTGTACTTGAAAACAGTAAATGGCCAAAAAGGCTTGCAAAATATGAAAAAGATGTTAACTTGCAATTTTTGTGTACAAAAGATAGCTATTGTTTTTATTTACATTTGTTTTTAATAAAGAAAAGCAATGAATTTATTGTTTAAAAGAGGGAACTCCATTTATAGTCCATGTGGTTTCCTGTTAAATCGTCGTTATCATAATAATGCGCATATCAATGGGATGCCCAGACAGGGCATTTATTTGTTTAACAAATATTTCAAGAATTATTTAAATAAAATATGGAATATAAATTATTATATAGAAAGTATTCTTGTAATGTGTTTGTACATGTGTTCCGCACAAAAGTAAACACAAAAAAAGGGAAAATGTCAGAAATTGTTTCCAATAATTGGACAGCAGTCTTGGGAAAAGTTGTGAATGTGTAATTAAAAACACATAAAAACTATTTCCAACAAATATAAATTACAGGGCACAAGCCAAAGGCTTAACTGGAAAAAGAGTCTTTTTCTTTAATTTATGGGAAGTATGCGTTGTGAGTCCTCGGAGACACTGGCTCTGGTAAGTGAATTGTATGTAAAATGTGAGATTCCATTTGCATGAGAAAAACTTGCCACAAATACCACAGAATAAAATGGGACACAAATCGAGAGAATAACAAGAAGTTGGCCTGAAAGGCCAGGTCTGTGCATGGGTCTGTTCCATTCTGGCCATTTTGTGTCTGGCAAGTGTTTCGGGGGCTCCGTTTGCGAGACATTTGCATTTCGCAATGCAAATTCAATTTGTTTGCAGTTGGCCAAGTTGAATTACGGTCAGTCGGATTGCAGAGTGTCTGTGGACAAGACATGGGCCCATAACATTTGTGGTCGAGCGTCCGAGCCGTTTCCGTCTGTTGAAATACTAGGCGTATGCGTGATATCTCG